CCTGCTCAGAGTAAGGAGGATGCATGGTTTTCAGTGCAATAAACATGACAGACAACAAGACAGCTAAAGTTTTTGTTCAAGTGGCACTTAGAGAAACAGGGAAGCAGTAAAACATGAGGAAGAGAAGTTTCCATACACCTCCACAACACATTGAGTAATAATCACATCAGTACACACTAATGCTAGGACACAAACATAGGTTAAATAAACAAATAAATAATTATGATTAATGATTAAAATGCTATAATACAATACTGCTTCAAGATATTGTATGCTCCGCTACTGAAATTTTGCTAAAAGTTCCTATGGGTAAGCAGCTAGTTGCAGAATTGGGGTCCTCACACTGGGGTCCTCACACACACTCCAGTCCAGTGCACCCTCTGCTGCTGCCTCCTGGACTGGTGCAGGGTCCAGTGGATTACCAGAGGGCACACAGCTGAAAACATCACAATTACATGACACCTCATTTTCCCGTTGCGCACTTAAATCCAGCCTCTATTCCCAAGTCATCTGCCACCAGTGACCTCTTCCCGTCATGAACATAGTATCTAGGAAAACTCCTCAAAACTCAGCCAATAAACAAATACTTTTCTTCCAACAGCTGTATGCAGTAGAAACAGAGTGAACTAAGATTTTCCCTCCAGAGCGTGAAACAGTTGCATTATTTAACAAAAGTGCCAGAGAAGAAGATAGAAACCTTCTCCTCATAGGACTCTAAAAATGGAATCTGAGACAGGAGGGAAAAATCGCAGCAAAGGGAAGCATCATAAAAGCACATTCCAAAAGAGGAGCTGTTTTACCCGAAGTCGTCCAGGGAGTACATGGCTCCAAGTAGTCGCCAGGAGCAGTTCTGAGAAGGATTATGGAGCAGAGGGACGCCAGCTCAGCCACATTCTGATCACATCCTCCCCACAGCACAGCAGAGCGGAGCGGAGGCGAGAGAGGAGTGAAGGAGTGAGAGCGGAAGACCAGGAGTGAGGAGCAGAACAGGGAGCAGGTCATGTGACTGATGCTGACCAATCACAGCACCCGAAAACTGTGACTGAGCCGCAATGAAAACACAGCTTTAAATTCATTCAAGACACCATGAAGAGGGCACCCGCAAAATGATATAAGCAATAAGCTGCTACCGTGAGGTCTGAAGATAAAAATAAGAGAAATCATTTTTACAGGCAAAACTAATTAAATTGCCACTGTTAGAAATTGATTCTTGGTCATTCTGGCTCAGGTTTATACAATAACAATATGTATAAATATTTAGATTTGTGTATTTTTGCAGGCAAACGGTTGGTCTCAAGTCTTTATATGAAATATTAGTCAAAGGTATGCTGGATATGCTTAAAAGTACTTCTGTCACAGTTTAACCATGTTATAACAATGTTCCCTCATCATTAATTTACATGAAAAAAACAGGACTGAGTCATACACATTATACACACTAGAGTTAAAAAACTGTTCAGTAAAATAAAAACACGATGAACATGATTAGCCACTGCTGCTTGCTATGGAGAAATGCCACTAAGACTACTACCTATTATTTAATACTTTAAAGTTATAATAGGTCCTCTTTATTAACAATCCAACAAAATCTCCCTATTGACCAGTACATTAGTTGCTAAATAAAAATTTTATTTAAAAGCCTTTATTGTTGAAGCATTAAAAACACACCGACACGTGAGTGCTTGATATTTTTCTTTTTCTCAATGACCCGCACCCTTTTTACAAGCGCCCTTAGTCACATGGATACCAGCAGCTCCCTGTCTCTGTCTATATTAATTCATAGTAAAAATCAGATCATATTCAAACTGCGTGATTTATCATCAACACTTTAAAGTCGTTTCTTCTCACAAAAACACTCAACTTGTTTACTGTGACATTGCAGGGCCACAAACGTGCTGATTATATTCCCTAACAGACTCATCCCTACACTGGCCCGTGTACTGCAGCTGGACATCTGGAGCAGATCGGAGCAGGAGGATGAAGGGAGGAGAGTGTGAGACAAAGCCCTGGTTCTTCTGTGGTTCCCCTCGACCCCTCATTAGAACTCTCCCTCAGTGCTGCTCCATCTGCTCCAGCAAATGTATACCATTAAGCCTCTTTACACAGAAGCAGAAAAAACAAAGAGCCAACCATCAGATAAAGATTAGCATTTCACTTCAAGAAACAGTAAGGCGGCTAAAGCTTTTTTACAAGTGGCACTTACAGATAAGAGTTGTTTGCAGTTTCAAGGCTCCATACATTTTTCCTGTTTTATTTAATCTAGTTAGGCTTGGTTTTGGATTATTAACGCATTATATATGGTTTATTCAACAGTCCTCACTGAGTGTTGATTGAGACCTGATTTAGTCCTGGTTTTGCTACATCAAAGACACTGGTTTTAATTGTATTATGGCTGTTTTAGACCTGGGCTAGTATAAATTTATATTTTTTGAGGTAAACAAAAGTTTGACAATCCCCAATGTTATACACTGAGTTTGGGCTCTATATTGACTGGATTGTTAGGTAATGTTAAAGTCAGACACAGCAGAGATGTACTATCTGCTGGAGGTTTATGAAGAGGTCACTTGATAGCACCCACATGACCCTGCTGCAGCCCAAGGACACATCATGCGAATAGATCCCTTGTAACGATGTATAGAATATGCCGGAAATGGACAGATTAGAGCAGCACAATAGTGAAACATATAGAACTACACTGTCATGGCTCCTGGGTGATGTCATGTGAGGCCAGCTTCATCGCCGCTTCACTACCTCATGTAGACTCCTGCAGCCAGTCCTCACAAGGGCTGAGGATCAGGAAAGAAAGAGAATATGCTGTTTGAGGAAATGGGACCACTTTGAACGTCCATGTCTAGTTTTAGTTTATCTTAATTTAGCTTTGGTCTAGTGGGTTAAGTTTAGATTTTGGCACTAGTTTGATACAGATAAACAAAGTGTTTTTTGTGCATTGCCAAATTTTCAAACTGCGAAAGGAGAAGCATCTATATAAAAAGTTTCTCTCACGAAACACTTTTGTAGTTAGAACAGTGAAGACAGTGAAGTGAAGCAAGGATAGACTGCCAACAATAATCTTAGCAACGTTTACAGCTCTTTTGTCCAAATAAAATACTGCACTATTGGACACAGATATTATTAAATAACTGAACACTACAATATCATAGAAGGTTATGAGGCGATAAGCAACAGACAGTAGTTATCTGCAGAGAGGGAGAGGTCTGAATCAGCTGACCCTCAGCTGAGTGGGGCCTAAACTCTTCTCCTCTTTCGTTTTATGTCGCTCTATTTTTATTTTACTGCTTTTTGAAGGAACCACATAGCTCCTCTTTTTCTCATATTTTGAGATAAACTTTTATTACTGCACAACATTAGTTACCTTAATTAGGCAAAAGCAATTTGTAGGTGAATTCAGAATGCACCCTTTTCAGCACCTGCAGTGCGAGCTCTAGCTCTTCAGTGTTTTTGGGATCAGCTGCAGTTGCTTCCTGCAGACTCTCTAATGCCACTTCTCATTTAATTCGATGAGTCACAGATTCACAGACATTCACAGCCCCACTCTTTCACATCCTAGTCCCTTGAAATAAACAAAATATGAGCAAGCAACAGAGGCCAACCCTACCAAAGTCCATGTCTAAGAAAGCTTCTAATGTCTTCTGACTATAAATAACCATATGCACATACACAGTGCAGAGACAAAAGCACATGCACGCCTCCACAAGAGCTGCAAAGAGCCAGTGATGCTGAACAAACACTGTTCTGAATCCCTCCTCTTCGTCTGCTTTGTGTGTAGACTAAAAGAGGGACTTTTGGAGCTGCCACTGGCCTGCAGGCCGACTGCTGCTTTGGTACTATGACAGAAAGCTACAGCCCAGTCCCAGTCTGCACAGAGGATACATTTTAATGATCTGGATAAGATGCCCATAGCTGCATTGTATTGGCTTGCATAAACATCCCAGGTTAGTTCCATGACCCTGGTGGGACCTTTCTGAGAGAAGGTTTTTCATCATTTAAGATTAGAAAATTATTTGTAAAGATTATGAGACTTACATCAAAGAAGAGACCAGCTGTTATAGTCAATGGGAATACTGAAGAATGGGCTAATTATTTAGTTATTAATGACAAATTATTTCACTGTAATTTGCCAGTGCGTTTATTGTAATTCTCCAAAATGTTTCTATTGACAACCATTTGTACAGTGCCCACAAAGGTAGGGGTCACTAATAGAAATGGGCTATGTTGTTTTCGGCCTTGCACAACCTGTAAAAGTATGGCTGGGGGAATTGTCCAGGATATATACAAGGCTGTATGAAGTCACCCAGGAGTCGAACTACAGACCACAGGGATCAAAGCTCCTCCACAAATAGACGTGTGGCAGACAAAAAGGGGACTAGGCCTCTGCCTTAGTGCATGTTTTCACCGCACATGATGGAAGAATGGCTCAAAATACCGCTCAGATATAGACACCAGTGGATCTGTTACATGCCGGGCCGACGGTGAGGGATGGGGGTGGGGGTCTGCTAACCTGCCTGGCAACCATCACAGAACAGTCACAGCAGACGGTTAACACGGCGTAGCCCGTGTCCTCCCCGTGACAGCACGCGCCGATTCCCCCGCGAGCTACCTTTACCGTGATGCTGCCGTTTCCATGACAACATGACCGAGCCCGGCTAAGACCATCGTTCATCCTTTGGGCGGGTCCAAACGTGACAATGGAGGGCTAAAACCGGGGAAACGGTGGATTTGGTGCGCACGACTGCTCTTGATTGGCTGTTAGTGTAAAGCTCATTGTAAAGAACAATATATGCGACGGAGGGCCTGGGTGGGCCCCACAGGACCCAACTGGTTTTACATGTCGATCGTAAAGCAGCAAAACAGAAGTACAAAACTATCTTATGAAATGTATCGAATGAATTATACGATCATGAATGGGGGAATATGTCCCCTCACAGATGGAGCGGAGGCTGAGTGTGGAGCGCATCTGTCATGACGCATGGCCCGCTTACCTCATGCTCTTCCTCCGGTATTTCAGTCAAAGATGATCCTTTTATACTTTCTATTCAGGTTACAGGTTTATAAAAAGGTCTTTGATGCTATGGAGTTCCACAGGAAGGTTAGATGGGCTCAGGGTGGTCTCTAAGCCTGGAGAGGAGCCCGCGCGGCGGCCGTCTGCTTTGTGCTCCGTTGTCTCGGCTGTCCACGCGCACTGCTGCTCCTAGGGCTGAAGATCCGCGCGGCCATGTCCACGAGCAGGTCCGCGGTGAACGGTGGATATGAGCAGCCGTCTTCTCCAGGCACGGTACTGCTCCATTCACGGTGTTTTGGTGAGGTGGACAGATTTGGGGTCCTGCTAATAGGAGCGCAGAGGAAGAACGGGAGGTGGGCTAGCACAATGCCGCCCCCAAGTGGACCAGAGGTTTCCTTGCTACTCAGAAAGCATTGATTTTTTTAATACTATAGCTAAATATCTATTTTTATTTTGGGGGATTTTACAGTTATTTCATCTTTTTATTTAGAAATGACAATGTTTGAAATGCAAGACTTTTTCTATAACCACGAGAACATAGCCCTGTCCCATTTGGAGAGGATCTTGATCTTGAGTTCATGAATTGTTGAATCTGACCATAGTTTTAAATTAAAGGATTACAAACACGTCTCACATACATATATTAATGTGCCCAAACCTATTTAATTGATCTTTGATTGATTAAAAAAATAAAATATGAAATGAATAAATCAAAATTGCCATTTTGTAGTAAAACAATAGATTGTATTGTGTAAAATGTTAGCAATTTTAAGTGACATATTTCATTGTAAACCTATTAATTTCATACAGTGGATAAATCCCTCCTGTAATATCTCTAGTACATTGGAACAGTATGTTTCTGCTCAAAGAATCAGTCACTCAAATTTATCAGTGTTCTTTCATGAAAACGAATTATATATCCATTTTAGATTTTAGAAATCTCCACATTAGTGTGGAAAAGACTGATCACACACATATTAACTGTTGCTCTTTCTTAGATGAGATGGGGAGTGCCACAGGCCTGCTCTCCTGTGTTTCAGTGCTTTCCTGAGTTAATAAATAAAAACACAAACGTATTAGAAAATTACATAAAAATATCTTATCATGCACAGTTTTTTTTTTCCAATACTTTGACTGTAAGTGGTTCTAAGAGGCCACAACAACCCTGCAAAATCTAACTCTTTGACATCTTTCTGGAGCCTTTGGTGATGGATATGAGCCATTGGATATGCGTAGTTTAGTCCACGTGAGTACAGGCTACAGTATCAGTCAGGGTTTAACCATAAAGTGAGATTAAATCAGCAAATGTACAGTTGTTTTTCAGCTCCCCATCTCCTCCTCTTCTGTGCCTCCTGGGTGCGATGAGCTCTTTGAGACTTGACTGGTTCAGCTGGTTTGTCAGACTATCCTCCACTGCATGATGCTCATGTCCTTGCCTCCAGTCGAAACCAAGCAACTATCATCCAACAGGAAGCTCACGTTGGTCACATGACTGCTATGGCTGCCATAAACATGACTGGGAGCCTGCAAGCACAAGACAGATGTTTACTTAAAATACACAGATATAGATAACAGAAGGCATGGCATTTTCATGTGGAGAGCAACTTTTCATTACATCATATATATAAATCTAGTTCTACAGTGGTGGCTCAGTTAGAAGAGTGTTCATCCCAGCTTCAACAGGTGCAAACTGTCATTGTGTCCTTGGGCAAGACACTAAACCTGCCTTCTTGCAATGTGACTATTTACCATTTATAATTATGCCTTTGTGTTGGGAGTTCAAATCCCTTTTCCAGAAATTAACTGAAAGTCCTCTCTAGGGTATCCCCAGGTTTGACTACCCCAAATTTAAGACTTTTTAAAGACCGTTTTAAGACCACTTAAATGAAAATTAAGACCAACATCACATCCATTATGCGAGCGAAAAACACCAGATCCATTTCTAATAATGACCAACCAACTACAGTACTATATCTAGAATCTAAGAGCCACTGTGGATTAAACCTACACTTCCCCATGATCTATTCCTTCACTGTACTGATTGTTTACTCATTGCTCCCAGTGCCAGAAACCAAAGTATTGTTTGCACATACTCCAAAGTAGTTTTTTTCCTCACTCCATTCAACATTGCACTGCAGCCTGGTTGAGTATACAAAAAATAGGCTAATGAAAGTTAAGACCTTTTTAAGATTTTTAAGACCCTACGGCTACCCTGCTTCCCCACTCTTCACTCCCTCTTTACTTCATTCCCATGTTGAGACATCAGATGTTTGCACTGTGAGCCTTACCCTAAACTGTGAGCAGGGGAAAGAGAAGAGGTGGACCTTTCCAAAATCATCTCCAGTCACCAGCAACCTCTTATCGCTGGACGTGCAAGCAGCGTTAATATCTGTGCCGTCTGAACCGTCTGGCCACACTCCTGAGAGAAGAGCCTCAGTTAAACTCCTGCATAAAAACTTATATTTATACAACTCTATTAGAAGTTAGTATTGGAACATTTACCAAACACATGGAAGCCCAGAGTACATGTGTGGCTGGCCCATTCTATGTCCCTGGTGGTCTCTACACTCACCACCTGCTTACACACAGAGGGGATCCCTGCCGAAATACACATTTATGTATTTATTTAATTACATATAGGACAATGGAATATAATTGTGGTATTAATATGACTGCAAAACATCTCATACTTACAATACAATATTTCATAGTCTCCTGAATTTGAGACCAAGTACTGGGAGTCCACAGACCAGTCCAAGTGGGTGATAAAACTAGAGTGACCCTGACAGGACAGAAACACAGTGTGGTAAACTTATGGTAAATACATGTAGGTTATGGAGGTAACAGTTGACGTCGTTAACAATTTTGAGGCTCACCGAACATTTGCCCACACGACTGTACTTGCGCCCCCTCTCCCCCACGGCATAGATGTAGATATAATTGTCATGTGAACCAATGGCCAAGAAGTTTCCGTCTATATAAAATAGGATAGAGATATGATATGAAGTCTTTTTTTTTAAATCTTTTTATAGTAATAGTATTTAAAGTTAATTTCCAGGAGCTGTTCTGTCATACCTGGTCCATATCGCATGGTGGAGAGCTGTTCGTTCCCGTCTGTGTGGACAGTAACTAAGTCTTTGGATTCAGTGTCCAGTACCAGCCACCTGCACAGCACCAACACAAATCAACTTTTATACAGGCAAAACTGTCATGCGGTTTTTGGGAAGATATTCTTGTCTGAAGTCCACACAATACCTGCCAGAGTGGGTTCCAATGGCAACCACATCTCCTGAGGGGTGGAATCCTGCTGACTGAGCTGTGTCCTAGTAACAAGCAAAGGCACATATTATTATAGAGTAAAACTTTTTGGTTATTGCAGCACACATTAAGTAATGCATCAATGCAGTAAAGAATGCTTTCCGCACTTAGAAAAAAATCTGAAAAGCTTAATAAAAGTGTAACTGATGAAAAATTATATATTGTATTTTCTTGAAATAAAAAAGTAGCGTCCTCATTGTCATGCCCTCGCCTGAGTCCAGGGGGCAGTAGTGACTCACCTCCAGACTCTTGGCCCAGATGAGTTGATGGGAGCTGGAGTCCCATAAACACACCTGTCTGTCGTATCCACAGGTGAGGAAGTGTGGTTTGGAGGGGTGAGCTGCCAGGCCCCACAGTTCATCCACGTGACCCTGCAAAACAAGCTGACTGTGAATTTCAATACAAAGTCTCTCTCCAACCACCACAAAACACATTCATACTGGACACAACAGCAGTATCACAAACCCACCTGAGTGATGGGCACAAACTCTCCATCCAGACTGCCCTGTAGGATCAAGTTCTTGGTGGTTCCAATGAGAACAGTGTCTCCTCGACCTTCAGCAATAGTCCGGATAGGGCCAAACGCCTCTGGAACCTGCAGTGCAACATTATTATTCACAGAGCACTATAGCACTATAGCACTGACATCAGCAAAAATGCTTTGGAAAAGCAAGATGTTGAAAATTAGCACTGAGTACACTACTTGAAACAATGCATTTGGTTCACCCAAAGTAACTGGTATGTCCATATAAAAAAAGTTAGTTAATTTCATCTTTCACTTAACATATTGACAGACTATAATGTCAGAAGAAGACATTAATTAATCTGTTTTAATCTGTAATGGCAACATCATTGCACTGTTATGAAACCATAATGATAAACCTATACTGCTCACCTCCACAGCTTGTATCTGTTGTAGACTACTGTCCCAGGACACCAGCCTGCGGTCCTTCCCTCCTGATACCAGTGTCCCATTGCGGAGCATGCACAGAGCAAAGATACTACCCTCATGTGCTCCGGGGATGACCTGGCTGATGCGGTTAGTGCCTATGGGCCACAGGGCAGAAAGGTTAAGACATCTCCTTCTCTCCTGGCATCTGCAGTTGTACCTAAAAGGTTGAACTGTCAGTGTGGTGTAGTACCTTTGCCCCAGACCAGGATGTTTCCTGTGGAGTCGCCTGTGATGGTGTCTCCATTCTCCGCAAATGTTACACACAGAATAAACTTAGGCTTCTCTTGTTTCTATAATGAGAAAAAAGTACCATAGGTCAACTTTTACTGTACAGACTTAAAGAAGAGATATGCTTTTGATTTAAGCAGTCTCATATCCTCCAAACAACAGCATGCATGCCTAAACTCTAGACATGTTACCTCAAACAGCCCCTGCTTCTTGACCAACATCCCCTTCTCCATGTTCCAAAAGTACAGATGGGACTTTCCACACGTCACCACCACATTACTGTCTGTGGGGTGGAAGTCTGCAGCAAACACGGACTCGTTGGAGCACTGAATCACAAACATAGGGGCCTTGATTAAATGACCACAACAAGAACTACAAGCTTGTATTTGTGCTGGCTCTGTGTCTTACCTTGACCTCCGCCAGTCGCCCCTCCCTCTGCCACTCCCACACTGAGAGCACATGGTCATTGGAGTCATCTACAGCACAGAGTGTGTTTCCTCCATTCTGCAACACAGAGCCGAGGAATATAATTGTAATACATTTTGTATTTTGTGGCTATATGCAAATAGAATGACAGTAATAAAAAAAATCGGAATAATTGCGACTATTTGGCTACTGAAATAATCGCGATCGTATTTTTATCATCGTAATCATGTATCGGGACTAAACAAACTGAGAAATATTCCAAAAGACATTTTATAACAAAGGCAGCAGCATTATTAAATATAAATGTCAATCAAAAAGGAAAAACAATTTCTGAATAACAGAGGCCTTCTGTCATGGTTCATGTTTGGTAGTGGTTGTTTTTGCTTACTTTGGTGTATCTTATTCCTTTAATGTTGTGTGCTCTCGGTCTTATTTTGACATTTGTCCTGTCTGCTTCTAGTTTTGAGTTTTACTTTCTGTATGGTGATTGTTTGCCCTACCCTAATGTGTTACACATTATTGGTCCATTGTCTTCATCAGTATCATGTCTGTTGTAGTTTCTATTTTGTATTTTTGTATTTGGTTTCTTCTGGTTTTTGGTTTTGTTACATTAAACAAGTGCAGTCCTGCATTTTGGGTCCTTTCCTGTTTCTTTGTGACACCTTCATTCACCATATTTTAACCTCCGTTTGGTTAAAAATGCATTTAAAAAAAAAAAGTATATTAAAAAGTTATTTCTACAATAGAAATAATTGTTTGACCTTTAGTCCTTAGTTGCAGCCCTAAGCACTACTCATATTCTTCCATTCATGTATTTCTCTTTGCAGTTCTACATAGTATAACAGTCCACTCCACACACAGCCAAATTCAGTAAGTAAGGATCATCAAGCTATATATAAAAGCAAAAATAAACCAAAGTAGGAAAAAAAACAAAAACTGAGGCACTCAAAAAGTACAAAATAATTAAAAGCCTTTAATACCACGTAACAGATAAAGTTAAAATCATGCCAATGGGTATTTGAGACTGGTCCCTACACTGAAGAGCACCAAAATGACAATTCAGCACATTTTTGTATATCCAACAGCACTCCTGCATCCCAAAGCTTTGCAAAAATAAACCATTTTGCATAATTTCATTCACATTTAATTCTTTCAAGACTCTTTAAAGTCAGAGTAAGGACTTTATTCTTACCGACTTGGAGAAAGCGAGGCAGACCAGGCCACGATCGAAGAAGCCTGCCCCTAAAACGTGGAGTGTGTTAAGGCTGACCGAGTCCCACACGCGGACATGGGGCAACTGCTGCACAGACACAAGAGAATGACTGGATCAGACAAGCTCATCAACATCTCCGGCCAAATGATGTGAGCAGGACAATACAAACTGACTTTTCCATCAGATGACGTCCCTGCCACCTGCCCTGTTGCTATGGTGATTTTGTCAGGATGGACGGCCAGGCTGAGGGCGAGAAGTGAAAACTGTTAACTTGGACAACAACAAAGCATAACATGTTTACTATTTGAGTACAAAGTATTACTATCTCTGAGCTTTTATTTGACCATTTCTGCATTTGAAAGTACATACCATTTGATATCATCTGTGTGGCCCGTGTAATGGCGCTGCAGCTGTTCATCCACGTTGTATAAAACCACCACAGAGGCCATGAAGTAAACTGTTTCACCTGTCGGCAGTAGGTACAGGTTGGAGCGGCAGTCCCGTCCCCGGTAACCATAGCTACACCCCAGAGGTCAAGGGTCAAACTAACTCACCAAATACAGACAACTGGACTGGCTAGAAAATGTATTCTTTCCACTTGGTAGGGTACTGAGGTAATTTGTCTCACAATATTGTTATTTTAAGTAAAATAATAAAGCTACAAGGGCTATTTTTAGTTAAATGAATGAAAAAAATCTAATATTGACTAAATGACAAAAATGATTAGTGTTGTAACCATACAATTTCCTTTGACTATGGTGCCTGTCAGTGGTGGAGTTAGGAATTTTGGAGCCCTAGGTGAACTTGAGTTTGGGGCCCCATAATGCAAAATTTTTTTCGGTTTTGTTTTGTTAATATTTTTATTGTCTGTTTTTCCCCATTGTTCCTCTATTTATTGGAATTGTCGTGGATTGGAAACGTGTCTTATTAGTTAGGTAGCCTACTAACTGGAACTGAGAGTAGTTTTATTTTTTTGCTGGTACAATTACATTTTTGTTTACATCCATTACATATGATTTATGCAATTATTAATGTAATTATTATTTTTCTTGTGATTATTGTTTAAAAGTAAACTACTCTCATTTAATGTAATATTGAGAGAAAATCAAATGAGGCCTTGGCCTTTAGTGGAACTGAGGACAACTGGTTGGGGGCCCCTCGCAGTTTGGGGGCCACAGGCAGCCACCTACTTTTGCCTAATAGTAGAGCCTCCTCTGGTGCCTGTAATGTCTACATTTCTCCACGATAATATAAAAAAGGCTGCATGTTTTTACTCAAATTAAAAAAGAAAACTAAAATCCGATAAAGATTATGTGCCACCCATAGCCTGTATACAGTTTATGGTGCCACCCCATCAGAAATCTATGATGATCAAAATACAGTTCAATACCACTACATCTGTCCTAAAACAAACCACATATTTTAATTGTCTCCATGGAGATGTTACTGCATTTTATAGCTGAAAAATACCTTAAAAACATGCATTTTCATTGTCAGTGTAGTCTCCTCTCCACACTTCTGACCTGCAACTTGGCCTTGTAGGATCACTTGTTTCTTTGGAAATGGTTTAATGCCGCACTGTAGAAAATTCCAGGCAAAGCAAAGACATCGCCATCGAAACAAGCAAGCTGGCCACCAGAAAAGTTATACACCTTTAACAGAGGCAGTGTGACTAAAGGATAGGGATGTAACAGTAATTGAAATATTGTGATATCGTATCGTCAAACGTGTCACAATGGTATCATGGGGTGTCACAATATATCGAGTCACAAGTTCCTCTGCTTAAATGTATCGTTTTACAGCTGCAATAGCTAAAAAACATCGGGAGCGACATATCCAATAATTCATTTCAGCGCAGACAACATGAAGAAATATTTTTTTAACTTGAATTCTTGGGATTATGGCAGTAATAATTCATACCAAAATCTTGTCAGGGTATTTTAAAAGTAAAAAAAAAAAACTTCCTTTCTACAATTATATCAGCCTCTCCAAAATATTGCAATAAATATCATATCATAAATATCATCAAATAATAAATCGTTACATCCCTAGTAAAGGATACACCCAGTGGAGTTTGAGGCGGTTGGGGGGCAGCTCTCCTCGAGCCTCCAGGCTGTAGCTGTCCACCTGATCTTTGGGCATGTGCATGGTGACAGGACGGCCCTTCAAAAACATTTTCACATACCCCTCCTCTAGAAGACAGCACAGAGAGAGTCAGGGCAGACAGAGAGCGAGGATCAGGGTGGGTTGATGTGAGTGAGATGAAGAATTAGACAAGATGCTTTTCGGACAGAATTTACAAACACAAACATATCAGCTTAGAAAACACTTTATTAATATTGTCAGACACTACAGCACAACACACATGCGAAAAGCAAAGTGAAGGAAAAATTCAAACTCCAAACAGAAAAAACTAATATATTCAACATTAACATTGACAAATAAACCGATTTTTAGCAACAGCAAGTCGATTATGCTAAAGTTTTAAAAGAACCCAATGAGAGAGCTTGCAATGTTCCCTAAACCAGAGGAAGTTTTGGGACCCTTTGTAACACTGCTGTGTCAGTTGCAGATCTGGGAGTACTGACTGGGAGATTTGAGAGGGTCGTAGTAGCTGGGGGTGTCCAAAGAGGAGAGGGCGTGTTTATGGGAGCATGGGGCCTAGACGAGATACAGGCTAAGCAGACCCTGGTCCAACTCTATAGATTGTAGTCTGTAGATATGCATTACATTTTGTGTCAGAAAAAAAAACTCAACTTGGTCCTGTTTACCACTATAGAGCTATCTTAACAATGAGAAATGCCGCAAGGTCACAGCTGACTCTACGATCAGGGATTTGGACTAAACCCAACAAATGTGCATGATCCAGGTGTGTTAGAAGAGACAGCCAATTCTTTGTTTAGTCAAACTGTCTTTGCTACAAATATAAAGGTCCTGTCCTCTACTACAATGATGTTTTTTCAGGCGTACTTGTTTGATATTATGCAGAGCAGCCCACTACCGTAAACCTTCATTGCACTTATTCTAATATAAGCACAGTTTGCTCCAACTGCAACTGTGTTTACACTCTCTTCTGCCATTTATACTCATAACTTACAGCATACACATTATTCTAAACATCTATGTATGTAAACCCAAACACCTAAATAATGCATACTAGTAGGATCTTTAAGTTCTACTGAAAAGTCTGGACTCATTTTAGTTAAGAGCTTTCACTACAGTGAGGAGGGCACAATGTGAGAAAGTTGGCTTATAGTGTGTAATGAAAAGTTCCTGCGAAGAGTGGGAGAGGAGAAGTCATGTGTGATTGAAGCTCCTGCAGTGGGGCCAGTGGCATGTTTGTACTGTTGCCGTGGTGATGCAGCCTTGTGCATTGACTGTGTTGTGTGTAAGTGAAACACTCATGAGTAGGGCACACACTTGAACCCCCCTTTTTTTGTCTGCACTGCTCTTTGATGGGAAAAGCAAATCTGCCCAGATACAGTATAAGGTAGAGGCCAGTGTCCAAAGAGCAGTACATGGAGGCATGAGGGCAGAACATCAGGGAGGCCTACCTTTGCAGTGGGTCACACGGCGCGTGCCTTCGTAAAGGTCAGAGAGAGACAGGTGAGGGCACTTCCTGTCTGTGCTAACACCACTTCCTGTTTGCTGTTGCTTCTGTTCTTAAAGGTGTGAACTGTCTAAACAAAGTGTGTCTGAGTGTGGAACTGTGCCAATCAAACTCATCATTAGAACCAACATGGGCACAAACAACTAACTCTTTAAAAAATGAATGATATGGAGTATGTGACAGACAGAGGTAATGGATAGACCACATATCATGTATCATGAAATTAAACTACAAAAAGGCTAATAGTATCCTTGTCTTTCTGTAGGTGGCTGTCAGTGTCTTACCTGGGTTGAAGACTGGCTCCTTTTGTTTGCTGTAAGAGAAGCACAGAGGTCACTGTATGGTCACTCTATGGTCAGTCTGAGGTCAGCGTCTCTTCGCTGTTGTCAGGACAGTGTTACCTGTCGCTCCTCTTGCCACTGGAGTTGCTGCCTGTGGATCCAGCACGCGCACGCTTGGTCTCTGCAGAATCTTTCCGGGACAGAGAGCTCACATGTTCATTGGAGTTGGCTCTTCTCACAGTGCTGCCGGAAGACACCGCATAATAAAGATGGAAAGTTTTTAGATAAAAAAATGGTATTCCTCAAATTAAATTAAATGTATTAGTTAAGTTATTAATTACTATGTATTGTATGTTTTGTCAGTTTTTGAGAGTTGACATCACTCCTTATTACAGAGCAGGTAAGTCCAAACTATGTAATGTAAAACAACCCAGTGTAATTTAGTAAGTGCCCTCCATACCATATGTCTCTGTGTCTGAGTGATTAATATATAATAATAATTTTAGACATGTGGCTTGACTTTAAAGAGAAGCTGATGGCTAAATCATTGAGCAGCATGACAGAAATATTGAAAAACTGAAATAAAACAATAAAATCATTGATCATTGTTTTACAAGTGGATTTGGTATATGACATACTAAATTTAAGATAATTTAATGGCAAGTTATTTTGGCATTAAATTACATTATTAAAACCTGCAGATATAATGTAATTTCTTTGCAGCATTCTTTCTGAGCTGAGCAGATGTGCTGTCAGCTGACACTGACAATGAAAAGGCCTCATCAGCAGTCCTCTCTGCTGTAATCCAGAGCCTTTCACACAACCAGCCTGTGCACCGCATGTCCACAACCCGGGTGTACTTCCACACAGGACCTGTTGGTGCCCATGAAGGTGGGAATGTCAATGATAATCAAAACTAGGCAAGATAAATCTCCAATTGCAGGTTGCAGTTGAATAAGGTAATTTTATTTCAGTGTAGTTATTTTATTTTTACAATGACAAATTATTGAAGCATATATTGAGAGTGGATGAATTAGGAGCCAAAAAAACAACAAAAAAACACACACATCATGAACTCATAGTTATGCTTATCCATGTTGATTAAAATCAAAAGCAGTTGCTGTTAGTGAGCTCACCTGAGAGACAGACCAAGAACTCTAGAGTGATACAGAGAGGACAGGCTGGACACACTGACAGACACAACAGTAAGTGGACACACTGCGTTGGCATCTCAACATTAAATCTTATTCAAAGGAATTCCAACAATAATTTACAAATGAAAAACTCTATGTGTTTTGTGGTATTAATGCTAGCAGCTCAAACAGATGTGGGCCTGTAAGGCCTTCTACACGATGAAGACAATAAAGGATGATGTAACAAGACAAAACAAGCTAACTAACACATTGAAGAGATAAGAGTCTCTCAGAGGTCCTTGTGCTCCTCACCTCTTATTGACTGCAGTACTTGTGTCCTTCCTGGTCCCAGATCCAGATGGGGAGGGTAATCCACTGCCTTTCTTTGGTAGGACCGTCCCATTATTGACCATGGGCCTCACTGGAAGAGTGGCAATCATTGGTCGAGCTGGGAACAGAAGACACATAGTAGTTTTAGGGGTATATAAATGTGGTAGAACAGTTAGTGGTCTTGCCCCACAAGATAAAGGCAGTGAGATTAACTTCATCCACCATCCAAAGACATGCATGTGTTATGAAAACTGCTTTATTGAAAAGAATGTGACATTTAATGGTTTGTGTATATTATTTGTGCCAGTTATGTGACCCTGTTATGACCCATTGGCTCGACACAGACCCTTGTGTGACCCTTACCAGGACTCAAGACTCAAAAAGATGAATGGATGAAAGTACAGATAGCAAATACAACATACTCTCTAGTCAAACTTTTCACCTCATCAAATAATAGAGGATATGCAGTCCAACTCAAAATATTATTTTTGGCAAAACAGAAATATCTTAGTTGGAGTAGTATAGTATTTTAGACTTGTTATAAAAGTAGTGTTTTAAACACACAAACAATTAATTCTAACCAGAGTGTAAATATGTACATGACGGCCATGAAGCTATGGAAGCAGCCACTTTTCATGTTGTTTTTCCTCAGTAAAAGCACACAGAAACAGAAACACCAGATAATGGACAGGTCTCCCATCTCAGAGACATGAATGGTCCGAGGGCACATGTTTGCAGCATGAGGGCCATGCGTGACACAGTATGTGCATGTTAACATGACAGTGCTTTGATCGGCAGTCGTCCTACCTGTCCTACCCACACTGCTGTCTGCGGAGGGGGACTTTCTCATCCCTGCAGCCTCTGAACACGTGATGCATTTACAGCACAATCAAAGGTGAAGAGACAACAGTAAGAAAGGAGAGAGTTCTCATAAGGAGGGAGGTAGTGTGTTTGGGGCCCTGGATGTTACCTTTGGTGGGGCCCCGGCGTGGCCCTAAGGCCTGCTGCTCCTCGGACATGTTGAGTCTGCGGACCACATCTGCCAGAGCAGACTTGAGCAGCTGGATCTCATCCTCCTGCATCTGCACCCTCTGCTCCAGCGAGGCGATGCGGTCTGTCACCTCCATACTGCTGCAGGCTGACGCACTGTCATCTGCACACACGACACAGGACACATCACATACACAAATATATACAAACATTTTATATTTTTGATCATTTTCCACAAGGTTTAATCACAATTTATATTTTAAATGAACTCACTAAAGCACAAACATGGAGATACCAAATAGACAGGATTGCAGGCCTGTACAACTTGTCAAATTTTAATCAAGATCGACATTCTGTCATTTCTAAATGTCAAAGACATGCTTGGGTCCTTCTAGTCAACAGTCTTGAGTCTATATCATGAATAAGCATGTGGTTTGGAGCTCAGAAATTGTTGATGTCTAAGTTTAAAAATGTTTATGGTCACGAAAGGAATAATGAAACTAATTTCTATGTTTCTAACAACAAAAAACAATATTTAATCATCTCCCTCAGCCTTACAGGGCTGGTATTAACCTCAATACTACACAGTTCTCACCCTGGTATTCCAGAGGCGAATTAGTGCGGTTTAGTCCAATCTAAGAAAGAAACATTATCATCATAGCTCACCTGATGAGACAGGAGTGAGACAGAGCCTGCTCATGTCCATTTCCACATAAAGCTTTTATTATCCCAGGATCATCTGTTGTAGGTCTGCTCCAGCACAAAGAGGGCACAATACTATCAGCTGCTCAGCACAAAGAGCACTGTCACAGCCTCTCTTTAGCGCCTACAACAACAACCACGCCCCCAGCACAGTAATCGAGTACTCAAACAGACAATCATTTATAAATCTAAAATTATAAGTAATATTATATCTATATTGCATGCAAGAGTACAGCCAGAGAATGCATTTTCATCTGCTCCAGTCTCTTGTCTCCAATCGATACAGCATAATAATAGCATACTTCCATTAGCCTTCTGACGCAGTGTGGCTCCATCTGTCCATCAAAACTCCACAAGTTTAAAGTTTAATGAGGTTTCTATTTGGGCAGCACTCTCACTTCATCATTTGTCATGCATTACTCATCAAGAGACAGCAGAGGTTGTAGGGCTATAGAGCAAAAACAAAACTTTGTCGCAATGATCAATCTCCATTTTCAATTCAATTTAACTTTTTCATTTCAAAAACAAAATAAAAGTAATTTTCAGTTTAGATTTCATGCACCTAATGTAACACAAAAATAGCCCAAAGTCCAAACTCTGCTCCAAACCATATGCTTAAAGGTACACTGTGTAACTTTTCTGATAGAGGGCCCGCCAGTCTCCATGGAGATGTTATTGCTTTACCTCCAATATTCCAAAGTGCTATTAAACTTTTCAGTCTCCATAAAAACAAGCAGGAGATGCCACCAGGCCAATTTACAGGTGAGATCTGTGCAGAGGTGACACCACTCAAAAGCATGTTTTTAAAGGTATTTTTGAGCAATAAAAACGTAAATAATTGAATGAATGCATCTTGTATACGTTTAATATCATATTGTGGAATATTACAGGGAAAGCAATAGCATCTCCATGGTAGCAGACACCCATCCTGAAAAGTTATGCATCGTATCTTTAAGACTGGCTGTGAACCTCTCAATTAAAATAACCCAATCATTGACAATTAAACATGTAATCTCGATTAACATTTGACTAATTGCCCTGTCCTAATTATATCTAAGCAGAATCTATTTGTATGTATTTTCATTGAAAGAACAGGCACTATATATGTGTGTGTGTGTGTTTTTGTGTGTGTGTTTCCTCTAACCCAAAACTCCAAAGTGAGTTCATCTCAGTGGGGAACAGAGGAAAAGCGCCAGAGGAACAACCTGTCACAACATTCAAAGTGTTTTTGTGAGGCAAAGCGCAGCAGAGAAGGCCCACCCGTGTCTGTATTTTAGATCACTGCCAAGATTACTTTACTTTACTTTACATGTAGACAACTTAGTCATTTCGTTTTATTTTAGTATTAATCCTCTTTAGATGAAATGTAATAACTGTGGACATCCTCATTGTAATGTTTCCAATGAACCACGCCCCTCTTATGATGCTACAGCAGTCAGCTCACTTTCCATTAGCACTCCAAAACCACAAGAGTAGAAGAGTGACCACAACACAAGTCCTCATTTTAGTTGTTTACATAAAATAAAATCCTAAACATACACACAAAATACACAAATGTTGGTTCATGTCATTCACAGTGAAGTCTTTTACCATGTAATATTAATCCAACTACAACTACAGGTGAGCACATTATCCAAATATCAACATCATGAAGGTTTCTTTTAGACATGTGCAATTTGAATATCAAGTATATTGTCTGTAATAAAAAATGGCAATAAAAAAATTATAAAAAGGCAAAAAGGTATGTTGTAAACTTCCAAGACAACATGTAATAATGTATTATGTAATATTTCTACAGTTCTGTGGGGGACTTATATACAGTATATATATTATATATTATATATTTATTTTGATATTTGAATCTCAACTACCAGTAAGATGAACAACCCTAACAACAACACAAAGCATATATGTTCCACTTGAACCTAAAATGTCTAGTATACTTCAGCTGGGATACTCTTAAATTTGTTGTGCTGCAGTGATGTAACCTGGTGAATTGACTGTAGTGTTGAGTCTAAGCCTTTGTTGTATTGTATTTTAAAGTTAAAAATGAAATTATACTTTAATTTAAAAAAACAAATTGACTTTGCTTGCCACAAACATCCCAATTAATCAGCCCTAGAGAATGCTGTGATGCCATCTGAATTCCTGCAATAAGAATAAATCCTTCTTGCCCTCAGCCCTCACAGTGGCCCAGTGTTCCCTGAAACAGAAGAACAGAGGAGCGGGAGCAGAGGGAGCAGAGGGACAGAGGGACAGAGGGACCAGCGGGATGAGGACTCAGAGGAAAACCCACTGTTCACTGTGTGTTGTTATGAAGACTTGTTTCCGTTTGGAAAGAATGAGCTGAGTATAGGACAGACACACAGATCTCTGGAGGAAACGTCAAAAAGGGCCTGTCACCATAAAACAAGTGCGATATATTGTTACAGAACCAACAATAACTAAACAGCAGAAAGACACACTTTAACATAGTCATAGAAATTACTTATTCAACCTTTTACCTTTTACATTACACTACAAATAGCAAAACTTCACCCACTATTTCAAAGAAAGGGTGCAATAAATATTGAAAATATATTGTTCCATTAATCATTTATTGAAAAAGTCTGTATAGTATTTATCATGACAGGCCTACTTCATACAGATAGGCTACTTATCATTGTTGCTGTTGTCATTGTTATATTGTTTAATTCAAATAAACATGTTTTTGTTTATATTTGATCGGACAAGAGGCATACAGCATGTTGTGAAACTGATACAGATTTTTATCTAGTACACACAAGAATACTTAGTTTTACTTTAATTAATGAGACCCTTTACCAGAAATATTCTCAGTATTCAATACAGCAAAATGTGTACTTTCCCACTTGACACAAACCCCTTTAAGATAAACTGAGACAAAGCAGAGATCAATAGTGACAATAATGACAGGGTGACATGGCCCTCTGACCCTGACAGAAACAGGACCCTCGCCTCTGCAGCTGGGGCCATGATGGATCTATTTTTAATGTGCTTCTAGTGGGATTCTCCTCTCTCCATCTGTGTCCTACACACACTCGGGTTTACACACGTTCTGTCACAGGGCTTTCCCATCTGCAGCAGCAGCCATTCATAATGCTCTGAGTGGACTTCTCTCCAGGCCAGGACCAGGTTAATGTGAGGAACACCACAATTAAAGAGAGGACTCAAGAGGCAGAGGTGAGGAGAGGCACGGCACAGACCCTCATTAGCATAAACATATGGAGCAACTCTGAATAAGATTAAATATGTAGGCTATTAGAACTGTGTTCTTGATATACATAATGACCCCAGAAAGTGCATGTGCGAGCATTCATCTGAACTGTTAACTACTGGGCAAAATGTCTATCCCAAACTTACACATACATTTGGAAAATTATCTTGTAAAATGTTTCTTTCCTTGTGTTTACATTTATCTTGGACAAAAACAGTGCTTAATTCTAGTGAGTTACTTTTTGAGAAGCTATAGTTCAAAAAGCTGCACTACACTGAGCAATATGACGTGGCCAAAATTGTGAATCGCAAAGTCAGAATCTCATCTTGTCTTGTTCTTGTGGACCAAATCTCATCTGGTCGGCATGTATTATACTTGTGATTTTTAGATCAAATTAAGTCCATGTTGTACGTTTTAAACATGCATAGAAGCTTTGACACTTGAGAGAAGACAGAAATATAAAATGTTTGACTAACACAAGAATTATATGCATTTCAGAACATTTTTTATTGAGGTCTAAAAATACTGGTACTGGGTTTTATGTAATGAGGCCCTATGGAGACAATACCACAACTGAATATTTGCAGCAATTGCAATTAACAAATTGCAATCATTCAAAGTATTATTTCTTAGACTTAGACTTAGATAGACTTTATTGATCCACAAGAGAAATTACTTGGACACAGTAGCTCACACATCACATTATATTACAGTAATACAGAGTAAAAAATATTAAAAATGGTAAGTAAGTAGCAAAATGTTCTGTTTTCTTGTCAGTGATTGCGTCCCAATAAACCTCATTTTAAAACCATCACAATGTTAAATTAAGGAGATTCAATGGCTAAAAATAACACCCCACCCCCAAAAAAGACATCACTGGGAATAGACCAGAGAGTGGCACATCCTGCTCCAGAGGGGATCTTTGTGTGGGGTCATCCCAGGATATTTTTACTTCTGTTTAAGGACTCTAGTGACTGTGGGTCCTTCTCTGGCCTTGACCCTGAAGCCCTTCCCTTCCACATACAGATATACATGGAGGCTGCTACTACACATATTTAGTGTGCTATTTAACATGGCTGAGTGTCTTAGTGGGTCAGGCGGGCTGGGGGAAGTGTGCCTGAAGAAGAGCCCCTCCCACACTGCAGAAGATCAGTGCTCTGCTCACTGTCTCAACACTTCTGCAGACAGGCCTATTCTTTTATAGCCTTAGAGATTGACAAAGAGAACAGTCAAATGCATTCCATCTCTCAGTCAAATCCTTTGATTAAACAAGTTTGACAAGTATTTCAGAGTTGCGAGTATTTGAAACTGTAACAAAGACGAGCTGAAATAAGACTATCTGAACACTAAACATCTAGGAATGTGTCATTAAACATCTAGGAGGGGGTGATACTCACAAAATAAATAGATTTTTGAAGGCAATATTCTAAAAATGATATTATGTAAATCCAAATGAAGTGTGTTCAAATGTGTCTTTAAATGTTTATAAGGTTTAAGTGTGTGAAAGGACTGTATAATTAACCAAAAAGTGCCAAAATATCATTGGATACTGCTGCATCTTCATCTAAATCATTAACAACATATTTGATATTCAGAATTTGCATATCTTCACAACAACATTTGCGATATTAACTATGCATAAATAATACAGATTCTTTATGTATGTCTTTGCTCCATTCAAAAAAAAAAAAAGAGTTAAAGATCAGCTGGGTCAACTATAGGACAAATAGACTAGGAAACAAATTCATTATACTGTGTTTTTTCTGATCTGAAATAGACACATAGGGGGCTTCTTTCTGCTCTGTGAGACTGCAGAGCACACAGGAGTCTGCAGATGATGTGACCTACATCTGTGTGGTATAGACTCCATAGAGGCAGAATCCAGCCTGCTCTGCTCCACTGCTTCCTGTCCTCTGCTCCTGCAAAACCTTCTCCTGTAAGAATTCAATATCTGCTATGTGATTAATTGCAAAGACCTATAAGAAAAATATGTGGAGCAGAATCCCCCCCTCCTCTGAGCTTTCTCTCTTTTTGTTTAAAAGCGAGGGGGGTATCTCAGCTCAAGAAACAAGGTGGGTTGACAGATTGTTAAACTGTAGGCTTTCTCATCCTTTCCTGGCTGCAGTGTAGAAACGTGAGCGTGCCTTACCCCTAATCCTTCAACACGTGCCAACATCGCTTTGAGCCTGAGATAGACAAAGACATATAGCCTAAGTAGAAGGGGGCAAACTTAAAAGTCCATATAAACCTAATACAGACAGGCTAACCACTCTGTTACTGTAACACAGAGACAACAAGGACACTCCAGGGAGCAAAGGGCTAAAGGTACGCCTTATTTGGTGAGGTCATGGTATTTGTTAAATAAATGTGATTAGCAGGATCTGTGAGTGGGATAACTGAATGAGGAGACCATCTCACTCAAAATGAGATTCACTGAGGACAGAGGCCTCACTTCCTTCTGCTGCGCTGGCTCTGCAGCACCAGGGCTGAGACGATGCAAATACAATAGATTCTCACATAATTATATGAGGTCTAAAGGGGTGGTGGTTGAGTACTATTAAATTAACATCTGAAACCACATGTCTGCCGATATAACTACTGCCTGTGCTGAGCTCAGTCACTAGGTGCTGTGTTACACCTGCACCTGCTCTGGATGTGACACAGTTTTCTCAACAAGAGTGTGATGTAACACAGCCAGTTTTTCCAGTCCAGACTGGCTATGGCTCTGTGACGTCAGATATAAACACTAGGAAGGTGAAGTTTGCATTTGCATGATGCTAAGGTCAGCACATTATCAAATAATGGAAGACTGTGTAACAGTGGGTTCGAAAAGTAAACTGGTTCCATCCACAACATATGTTTGGCTGGTTGCGACAGAAGGACATCCAGTAGAAATCTGTCAAATCACTGAGCGACTGTCCCCAAATGAATAGGGGATATGTTTTATTTATGCATGTTCATAACACATTTGCTTTAGCGAATGCTCTAGTAACAGTCTTGTGTGTGGCTTAACCAGCTCCTGGTTACACAGTTAAGTGGATATTATTGATTTCTTCATTAGCCACAAAACACAAGCCCTCAGAGCCCAGCCCAAAGAAACCCCAGTTCTCATTGGCAGGAGTTCAGGAGGCAGTGACAGAGCACAACGCGGCCTCAGACAGGTTTTGTGGAGGATAATCCCCTTTGTGTGGGGGTGTGCCACAGTACTGTCCCATAAACAACCAGAACAGAGGGAGTGTGATGGAAACATGAAGAGCACGAAGGACATTCAGAGGAGAGGACACAGAGCAGGCCCTGCAGTCAGGTCAGCCTGTGCCCAGCGTCATGCCAGCAGCCCTGGTACAGCAGCAGCACAGGTCTGTTCAGTTCAACATCTTATCACCCATTTAAGAGGGCACAGCCCCTTTAAGAGCCCACAGCCCCTTTAAGAAGGCTAACACCCAAATCCTGAGTCCACAGCAACCAGCCCAAGAGTTCCCCCAGAGGAGTTCTCCTGACAACAACATTCAAGTGTTGTGATCATGAAAGAATGTGCCTGTGTGGCATTTATTTTATTTCCTTTTCTTTGTGGATCATTTGCTACTTTGTAATTATTTAGGGCTTAGCCTATACTTTCTAGCCAAGTAGCCTAGTATTTCTGGAAGGTCAATAGGCAATAGCCTATAGGCATAATCATAATTTAGCCTATCCATGCCATATATTACGTTCTTTTGCCTCTGCAAAAGGAAAAGAGGCTGCATCGTGTTGTGCGGGTCAGAGAGGATCAGTGCGTTACCGTTACAGAACTGGAGCAGGGATGAGGTGTCGTAGAGGCTACTGTAGCTGGAGAAGCCGTCTTCCATGCTGCTGCCTCCGGTCCACGCTTCTACGCGCTCCCCGGATCCGCTGGTTCCTCCGGTGTCCGCGCGCTCGGTTCCGTTTGTTTACGGCTCACGCGACGCTGACTCCATTCAGTTCGCGCGGGTCAGGCTCCTGGCTCAGTCACCATGGCAACCTATTCACTGCCATTATGTCAAGTGAACTCCAACCTCTCCGCTCCCTTTCGGATTTAGAGAATATGCAGCGAAAAGGAGACCTAGTGGGACTCCTGAGTTTTCTCTCCCCCGGTGTCCTTTAGTCTCCTTTGGCCTGGAGACAGCTGCGGGTCGGTGATTGAGCTTCGGTAAAAAAGAGCACCCTTAAAGCGACATGTCTAAGCGGCTGTCATAAAGGGAGGGCTGCTCTTCACGGCTGTGTTTACATGCGCGTACAAGGGTGGATGATGTGCGCAGATAAAGCCGGGGCTGCCCTGCCTCTGCCCTGTCACAGACTCAACGCGGGGCGGGGCTTCTGGTGCAGACCCCACCCCTCCGCTGAAGGAGGATGTGTTTTACCAAAATCTACCCTAAAAAAAGAAAGGTCCAGATCAATCTATCAATGCGTATCAATGTGTAGTGCTAAAATTAGATCACAACACAATCCAAAAAGTCCATATTAATAAATAAATAAAAGCACAGACAACAAAAGTACAGAATACACATATTTTCCAGACCCCAAGTCAGAGCAACTGAACTTTCTCATGGTGCTACAGTGGGGGTCTTATCTGTACCAGACAGACGCCCCAGGACCTGAGGGGTAAAGGAAGGGAGGAGGACACACGCAATGAGGGTAATACTGAGACTCAGGAGTAAAAACTGGTAGGGGGGACATGTTGAGATGGGGAGAGGGCACAGGTGGGTGGCACATGAGAACATGATAGAGGGAAGAGGGGCACGGAGGCAAGAGGACAGAGGTTGTTGAGCAGGAACTAATAAGACTGATAGGAACGAGACAGTTGCAGTGTGAAGGGTGAATGCAGGTTTCACCAGATGAAGTGCTCAAGGACACAATGACACACACTTTGGCCAGTAGCAAGGATTGAACCACCAACTGTAAGTTTGTGGGTCTATGGTCTATACCAACTGAAGAGCAGAGAATGAGCAGCTTTGTGGTGTAAAAGTACACTGTCTACACTTCCACAGAGCAGGCGTTGTTTTGTTAAATCACAAGATTGTGGCCCCAAGGCTGTTAACCTTTAACCTTTTCAATCACATTTTCAAAAGTGCCTATAATAGTGAAGTGTAATGAAATACTTGCAAAGAGTTGTTTTGACTCAGAAACTCACAAAAACGGCACAGCTCCTGTAAACATCATCTGTGTGATCATGAATGCATTGTTTTGTCTGAAGATCTGCAGATTATTGTTAATCTCATTCTGGGACAGATTTGGAGTAGATTAGGGGCTTGCATTTTTTGGGAGTATTTATGTGAGAGGAGAGTGAGAACAAGCAGATTTAAACACAGACAGGAGTCTATTGAATAAGGAGGAGAAAGGCAGAATGGCCACAAGGAACAAGTGTCAAATATGGAAAGTAAAAAAGGCTTCAAAGATTTGATCTTGAAAAAATTATAAAATTAATTGATTCATTTTTCCCCCCAGTTTTACAGTCCATGTTTTATTTTGATTCTGTATTAATATTGGTCTATATATATATATATATATATATATATATATATATATATATATATATATATATATATATGATAATTATAACATGTTGTTTACAGAGGAAATAATGTAACTTAAATAATGCATTCTTTTTTTTTTTCTTTTTTTTTAACAACCACCATCTAAAAACAGGTCAATCCTTGGCTCCATCTGGGCAATAATCCTGTGCTCATAGACTCAGACTAGAGGGGGCATGGGGTTGTTGCACCAAGGATAGACTTTCCTGGACAGGCTGTATATTATGGAGGAGGGAGCATACAGAAAATGGTTTTGTTTGAGTAAAGACATGCCCTGCTAATCAATTACTTGACTAAAAAGGGGGCGTGTCAAAAGATCTCAAAACTATGCAACAACTATTTATACTGGTATAAAGGTAGCTGTGTATTTATATGTACAAAGGCCAATTCAATTCACTCACAAAGATTCAACGGACACACTCTACTCCTCCTTTCCGCTGTTGCTCCAAATAGATTCTTAAAATAAAAACAAAACAATTAGTCAACTGTCAACTAAGAAGAATAAAACAAGTAATGGCCCACAAGCAAGACACTTACATTATATTCAAATAAAGCAGTTTAGTTTGGAGTGGAGTTTGACATGTTCTCCTGATGAATCATGAGGAGGAAGTGTGACCCAGTTCTGCTCCAGGACAGCCCACTCTGTTAACATGGTCCCAATGTGCAGGCAAGGAAAGATGATCAGAGCTTGATTCAGCCCCCCTCTGATCTCTCCACTGGATATGTAATAGTATTGTTTGACTAGAGCTGCACAAGAGACTGCTATCAAATCACAATCAAATCAAATTGTGTAAGCTGTTATTTTTTTTTCTAATAATGTCTTGTTTTCTTGGGAAACACTAGAACTGAAGAGGTGTCTTGTACTACACCTAAGAAATCAGAGAATCATAAGAAATCAGAGAAACACTGAGTTAAGCAGCTCATATTTCACTCATCTATTAAACTTTTTGGTTGGGGGTCCGTCACCTGCTTGTTTCTATGAATATGTTATTGTAGTCAGGCTGGCGCCACCTAGTGCCTCTGCTCAATTTCATTTCTCTCCAGTGATTAGGTCAGGAATAATACAATAGACGGTTCGCAAAAACCACGGAAGTGCAAGTTCGGGCACCAGCCAATCAGCGAAGAGCCATATATTCAGTGTTCAGTGTCAACAATTCCCGAGATTGAGGATTTAAAGCCAGAATATAGAAAATGTTTGGTGAGTTTTATCAAGGGGAAAGATGTTATTGGCCTTCTTTCTATGGGATTTGGGAAAAGCTTAATATACCAGTTAGTATTACATATGTGACTACCAAATAGCAGCGACTGCTTCAATGATAAAAAGTACCACCTACCGTCAAGCGAACGAATTCTAACACTGTGAGGTCAGATGGTTTGTACGAAGTGAAACGAAGTAAAACCGGCTGATGAATCAGGCTAATGTTATTGCCCTTCTAGAAATGTTCTACAGGATGGCATTAAACAGCTCTACTTTACTTTATTCAGTGACAAGTGGTTTTATAGCTCAAAAACACAAAGAAAAACAGGCACTCTGACTGGGAGCGGGGTTGCCTCTCCACTAGGGGTGTAACGATATCAAAGTCTCACAATACAATATCGTAATGGTATGAACCTCATGGTACGATATTTATTGCGATATCATGGGAATGCTCATGATATCGTGGGAATGCTCATGATATGGTGGGGAGGCTCACAATTAGGGATGTAACAATATCCAAATCTCTCTGTACGATATTTTCACGATATACATCTCACAGTGCGATATTTATTGCAATATTTTGTGGAGGCTGCGAGCAAGACTGTTAATATGCTGATTTTTCCTCTTAAAATGCCTTGACAAGACTTAATCTAAAGAACTAAGACTTAAAAGCGCTTAGAACTGTTATTTCTTCTTGTAGTCTACACTGAAATGGAGCAAAGGATCATGGTCTATATAGATCCCTCTGTCTTTTTTTAGCTATTACTGCACCATAACTCTTAATTTAAGCAAAGAAACTTGTAATTTGATATATTATGAGAACTTTGACGATACGATATCACAATATTTCAGTTATTGTTACATCCCTACTCTCCACAGATTCGAGCTGTAACTTGACCTAGTTTCGTCTCCATAAAGATAGAAAGCTTTAATGCCATACTGTGAAACATTCCAAACAAAGCAATAACATCTCTATGGAGAAATACAATTGATGCACCCTACATGAGAAAAGTTAAGCAGTGCACCTTTCCTGCTCCCATGTTTGACAACTGCACTGTAAACTAAGAATAAACTTGAAAACAGCCTTTTTTTTTTTTTTTTTTTTTTTTTGCCAAATTCATGGTTTCATTCCTGTTACAATAAAAAACTGGCATCTTCCTTTTCTACACTCAGAGATGTGTTGTAATGTGGAAGTGAAAACCGAATGTTTCCTTTTTTCCTAATGTAAAATCAGTGAATATAAAATGAATCCCCAATCACCACATTTGTTTAGAGAAATAGCAGCTGCAGAAAAGCCTGAGATGACGTTATGATTCCAAAAAGTGGGTCACACAGTCACATACGCCCCCGCCTCCTCAGCTTCAACCAAGAATTCCACACTCAAGAAAAGGAATAGGACTGTAAGGATTTGGTTTGGTACAGATGTGCTGCAATGTTCACGTGAAAAGAGGAGAGAAAAGAGAAGAGGAGACAGGGAAGTAAAGGAAGAGAGGAGACATTGAGAGAGGAGAGAAGGCTAGTGTCAAAGTGTTAATAAATATGTATTGACGATGGATTACTTGAGATGAGATCTAGCTGTAGTCTCCATCTGAAAAAGAACAGAATTTTTCATATTTTTGTTTTGGTATCTTGTCCACAGTGAGACAGTTCTTCATGGTATTAGTAGTAAACTTCATGCAGACACACCCTGATCACTCTGTATCCTCTGCTGCTCTGCGTCACTCACATAAGCTGCACCTCACAATCAATAACAGCCCAAAATAAACTCGGTGTCAACTGCTGATACACTTAAAAGCTTGGTTCATCAATCACTCTTTGTGCTCTGGCCTCTTACTCATTCTCGCCCTGCAGTCCGCCATTGTTTTCCTTTATAAGAAGCTTCTGATGTGGCTGCTATGACTTGCCGGGTCCTCATGTCTAAGGTGCTTTATGCAATAACACTGCCACCTACGGGAACAAGAGTGGAAATACAACACATATCAGACAATAATTAAACAGTAGTAACAGCTATGAGATATTTCGAAGTTTTAGTCCACATTGAGAATTCTTTTTACTTGTCAAGAGGTTTGGCTTTTTAATGGAGAGGTTTAAGCCAATCTTACCTGACCAGCCAGTCCCTTTCTACATTCTGTTTGAATCCAGCATGAAAAACCTCTGTCCTATGAGCTTGAGGCAGTCCAAGCACAGCTGCTAATTTGTATCACGTGTCTCTGAGATGCAGAAGACATCTCCTCCCGAAAATTCTCATACAGCCTAATTCAGAACAAAATATATAACTTCTTTCACCTGAGAAAAATAAACAGTTTTGTGCTTCGATTTCTGATTCTACAGAAATCTGTGGTGTTTCTCAGTCCTCTGTGTTCATTGGTTCATCTGCCCGTCAAACATGCCCATCTGAAACTGGGGGAGACAGGATACAGGTCCAGACTCACTCGGCTTTGTAAAGTTTTGTGTGTGGTTCTGGCTGGACAACCAATCCTCTACCAGTAAAGCATGTGGTTTGGAGCTCTGCTTTTTGTGGTAAATGACAATTATTCAAAGTCGGTATTGTTTATGTTAAAAAAATTTGGATCCATCAATATGAGGGAAAAAAAAACAAACATGTTATTTGTTATATTTTTGTCATATCAACCAGCCCTATTCTGAAGAGATCTCAGGCTTTTATGATAAATTTTATAATAAACATTATATTGGGTATTTTGTACCTACGTTTATGTAAAGTTGCATCTCCATAACTCGCCTGAAAAAGGATGTCCTGCTTGCTACCACAGAAATGGCGTTCCTTTGGATATAATATTCCCCAGTATGGGATAAATGCACCCATTTCCATGGAGAATATTCCAAAATATTAACTTTAGATTTCCGTAGAATTATGAGTCATCTCCAGGCAACATAATGTATCTTTAAATTTGTTATTGTGTTTTTACTTGTGTTTTATTAGTGCTTATTTTGCAAATAACTACCAAGTAATTTCCCATGTGGATCAATCAACTGCAACTGATTGAGCTGTAAACCTTAAATGGTGTTTGTGCTTAGCTCCACTCTACACCACAACCCACAGTCAGCACTGTTCAAGCTGCCATAAAAGAAGTCAAGAAAACTTAATACTTTCGCAGTATTAGTAACTTTACAGGTTCTACCCCTTACCGTCTGTAGCACTAGGTGGCTCAACTGGAGACTGGAGATTCACAATTCCTGACTCATGTTTAACTTCCTAGATTCCAAACAATAAGTCAAAGTTTCTTAAACTTCCACTTTTCGCTCCCCTTTCCCGAACTCCCTCCCACCAGACTCTTATCTCAGCCCAATCTTTCTGCATTATTTCAGTGGATGTGGGAGGAAATCACCGCACATTGCCTTATAAGGTCTTAAAATCCTGTCAGCAGCAGAGTCCAGGCCCTTGTGTCCCAGAGCCATACTATGGAGACGTGCTCATTCATTATGTCCATTCACCAACAGCAGCAGAGCAGAACATCAGCTCACGCACATGAAGACTGTCTGAATACACTGTGCGGAACCAAGCACTTCTGGATTCCAGCAGGCTCACATTTTATATCAGCCTGGACTTGATCAGAGATGAGAACAAAACAAAGGCCAAAACAAAAAATAAGAGCATTACAAAACACGACAAACCAAATCTGATAGAGGAGAAAAACCGGTCTCAAGCAAATACAACAAAATCTGAATGAAAAGTAGATAGGAGGTAACAGAATCGCACCAGGCCTCAACCTCACTTCTTTCACAACTAAACCAGTTCTTACAGTCATCTCCCCAGAGAAACTAGACTTAGCAAGTAAATCAAAAATAGAAATGCACTAATCCAATGTTGCAATCTAGAAAAACAATAGGACTAAACAAGGATTAATGTGGTGCTGTTTGGAGGAAGCCAAGTCTGAAAATGGAATAAAACTGTCTTAGCGGTGCACTTTAAAGCGGGGAGGGATTTTTTCTGTGCGGTATTGACTGTTAACACATAACAGTTAGATCACTATATTACCTTTTATTGTTTTTTAAATGCTATTTTAGCTGAAAACAACGTATTGTTTAAAATGTTTCACTTTCAAGTTCCCCCCATCTTTTGCTCTTCAAGTTATGTCACTCCCCATTCAGAGCGCTACCACAACACAATCCTGCTAATGAAACTACTGCACATCACATCAGGTTTGTCAAGTTGTTGCTTTTGTGTATTTATTGAGAATTATTGTGTGGGAGCATGGGAGACTTGTGAGAGGAGCCTTGCAAAGAATCTGACAGCTAAACATAAGGAGGGGTCGAATAGGGCCCGGTAGAGATTGCTAAATTACTGAAACACACATGGATGATATAGAAAACCTCTTTGGGCTTGCTTTAGATGAGGGAACAACATTATAACATGGTCAATTTTGCAGTCTTTAAAGCTTTTCTGATGGAGGAAATGGACAACACCTGTGACCTGTTTGTCTTCATTCATATTGTTTTGCTTGGAATGTTCCACAGTATGTCCTTTAATTAACTCAGTGGAGACAAGCAAGGCCAAGATACGAGTCAGATCTGTGGAGAGGCAACCCCGCTCAAAGTAAGAATGCATGTTTCCCCAAGGTATTTTTGAGCAGTGAAACACCTGTAATTGAAAAAAGAAGAACAGACAGTTTATTGCATTGTTTCCCAAAGACTGGGTCGTGATCCTCAGGTGGGTGCAAGAGATTTTTGGGTCGGCTTGTCACGATCTGCATGTAGGTCTGCAATATACAGGGCTAGATTTAATGTCCAAATAGGGGACTTTGTTTTGTGAGTCATACTAATTGTTCAGAGAGACACTATCACTCAGTCAACAATAAAATATCCACATTAATGTTCAATAATGGTCAAATTCACCTTTATTTTGTGATTAACGAATAATGTCTATTGACTTGGGTTACTGTGGAACATTTCAATCAACGCGATAATACATCTCCATGGAGACGTCACAAGAAAGTTGCATACACAGACACAGACATAGTGCACCTTTAAGCGCGGCTGTTGGACTGCATGGACATGGACATCGACACAGACAATGTTTCTTACCCACATTTTGGCCCTCACAGTCGGTCATATCCCACGATGCACCAGGTTAGGCCCAGATGTTCCCTCCGCGCTCAGTGAGTTTTTCCTCTAAAAAAAATTCTTCTTTGGTCTTTGGACGTTGTTTGGACTTTAGACAAGCCTCTGTGTCTCCCCGCTCTAAGCAGTGGACACGCATCATGCCACTCACATCGACCGCTCGGTTCTATTGGGCACTAAATATAGGCCTAAAACTCCCGTCACTGAAGGTCTGGTTCGCCCATGAACTTGGCGTGGGTTCGTATTCATAGACCTACAACACGCCTGAGAACACCGACACCAGAAGACCGCCGTGTACCACTAAAACTCACACAGGCTAATTTTATCCCCGCAGACCGGAAAATAAAAACTTGAGGACAGATTCCCTCAGCGCTTCTGGACTGTGAATTCAACCCAGTCCTTTCCGCTAGAGGGCGCCAAAGGCGTACTCGGGCACTTAGAGCCAGGCCGAGTTTGGAGGCCTCTGACAGTCCTTGTGTTTCTTGAATCAAAATCAAATGTGTCAAATGTGAACTACGTGGAGAAAGAATTAGCAAGAGAGTGAAAGGAGTTTCAATTTATTAAAGTTTGAGGCCCTTATTCTTGGTCAAAACTTAAAGAAGTAGCAAATTCAGCATTTTTCCCCCTTCAGAATGATGACTCAATTAAAGGTACAAATTCATGTTAAAATTCACATTTATTTTTAATTTATCAGTTATAAGTTAAACTATGACTGCAGAATTTAAAGTTCAAAATTCAAAGTTAGCTTTATTGTCAATTTCTTCACATGTACTAGATCAGACATGCCAAATTTGGCTCACGATATAAATATATTTGGCTCACGAGATCATATCAAATATGTATTAGAGCTGGCCCGCTGGCTACAGATAGGTTATAAACATTATTTACTTAAAATGTTGTTATTATTTTATTTTTGCTTGTTCTGGATTCAGTGTTTAAGCAAAACTATTATTAAACATTTAATTTAGTAAGAAAAGGTTTAACATTACATATCTCGAAAGAAGAGAAAACATGCAGATGTTGTTGAAATTTTTCAATAAATATTTAGTTTGGCCCACGACTTAGTCCCAATTTTTAATTTTGGCCCTCTGTGAATGTGAGTTTGACACTCCTGCACTAGATAAACAAAGGAATCGCTATTTTGTTTCTCTCTATCCCATGTGCACAGATACAACCAATAACATTAAACAACAATAAATCTGTGAATATTTGTGAAGTGAACATCAGTATTTCAATTCTGGGTTCACTTCTCTAGGAGAAATTCTCTTTTTAATGCATACAGGCCTGACAGCTACTTTTAACGTTTATAAGAGTTTCAAAAGTATAATATAGATAAAAGTACCCTCATTCCTACCAGTGAAAGCCTGTTGACTTTGAAGGAAACATGACTGATCTTAGACTTGCAGCATAGTCTGAGAAGTCAGGAGTGATTTATAATGATGTAATGTCTTTTGTTTAAAAACTGCTTCAGCTACATGGCATCAATGAAAAAGCGAACAATCTGTCTGCAGTCTGAATCTTTGGATCTCTCACACACGCTTTTATACAACTCTTTCCCTTTACTTGACTGGTTTTAAAGTCCAAAAGCTACTACCACTATCATTGATTATATTTGTTGGTATTATGTATTATTTTTTTGTTTTTTGTACTGCTTTTGTGTTTTATTGTATTTTATAAGTTTACAATGACTAATAGGTCTAATAGATGCTAGGGTGTAGATTTCATTAAACATTACATTTAGAGAATATTTGCGTATGTTGCTTTGTACTCAAATCTAGTATATAATAGCACTAAAGAATCTGACAGACCTCTTCAGATTTTGGCCCTTTAATTCCCCATTAGTGGATGAAGGGGGTTGGTACAGTATAATCACATTAAAAGCCTTGACCCAGAATGACTAACATTTTTGAATGATTTGCTCAGCCACCTCAAATGCAAAGCTGTATGTTAATGTACCTGGTCCATGCAGAAGCTCTAATCAACTCTTAATAGTGTGAAATCTTACAGCCCCTCTCATTGCTCTAACTGTTTTATGGCACTGTGGGCAGAAGCCTAATTGGGAACTTGTGGCAAAGAAGTGCACTTCACAGGTTTAACAGCCTGAAGCAGCCATTAGAGCCTCGCTGACGACATTAGCTTTCACTAATGTTATTGTGTTCAGGGACAATAATGAAGTGTGACACATCAACAACCTTAAACCCTAGAAGGATCTCCCATGAACAATTATGTGGACTAAAAAAGTAACTAAATCACAAGAGAAATCACATGGTTACAGTAGGTTACAGAAAAACATAAAAGTCCCCAACAGCTCCTTTAAAGATGACCCTTAGTCATGTGATAGTAGAAGAGGTCAGCACAGCCAAATGTTCTCTAGCTTTGAACTGTCTGCACCAAGCTGCAGGAGTTCACTTTCACCCAGTGTGGTGGCCCCAACAGGACAAACTTCAATTACAACTAGTCAAACTTTGCATTGTATATCAGAAAGATAGGAGCCTGTTTTACTGAAATAAGACCACAGTGAAACCCGAGGCTCCAGATTGAGTTCAAGTGTTTGCAGTGGAGATTAACATAGTTTTCCCTTTGTTGTCATGTGTCACCATGACGTAAATCCCTTATTATTAAAATATAATGGTTTAAAGTTCAAATATTTGTTAAAATTGTTTAAAGTTATGATTTATTCATGTTAAGCAAATAAAAACTATGGTTAAGGTTAGGATAGGTCTCCAGGAGATGAATGTAAGGATGAAAGCCTGTGTGTGTGCGTGTGTTTGTGGAGGGGTTGGAGGGGTGACCCTGCTGAGAGCCGGCCCTGCATGTTGGAGGTGTGATGGGGAAAACTCCAGGAACAAAAGGCAGGTCTTTGATTAGAACAGCACACCACTGTCCCACTGTTTGTGATCCTCAGCAGGCCGTGCCCTCAGGGATGACCTACAGGCTAACGGCTGGGGGCCTGGGGAGGGGCGGGGGCTCCAGATGCTCGCAGTGGAACGGGAGGGGGAGAGTAATGCATGGCGTTTACCAGCGGCACATTAATGACAGTGCGTAGGGGTATGTGGAGGGGTTGTCCAAACAGAGTGTGTGATGGATGGGTCTGTGGAATTGGGTGGAGGGTGGGGGCTCTGTGGTGGAGCAGCGGGGGAATCTGCAGCACAGCACTTGAGAATGTCAAAAACCAGGGACAGAAAGAGCATGGTTATACTTTAAAACAAACACAGACGGTCAGCATTCCACCAGTGACCAGAGGCTGGGGACTGCACCTCAGAAACACTCCCACTAAGGCATCTGCACAAAAGATGCCTTCTGTTCTACAATGATTATTAATAAAATTATGTGTTTGGATTATGAGTCTCTTCCCTGAATTTAGATTTAGGACAATACCAGGCTTGCATTTGTTCTCTGTCATTCAGGCTCATTATAACTGCCAGAACTGTAAATGAAAGCAGAACACTCCAAAGAAAAGAATAGACTACAGTAGTGAGCAACTTAGTACACACAACTATATGCACTCACAAATCAAAATACACAAGCATTAAAAGTAATTCACACACTACCACAGTTTTTAAACAGCCACACAAATCATTCAGCTATAATTGCTCCATATGAGTTTGAGGAGGCGAGTCTCCAGCCCAGCTTCACTCTCCCACACTTCAGCCTTTCCTACACTTCTAATCAAGTTCATGGTTTACTACTGACCTGTCATTCTTCCCCACAATTTTCCTGTGTCTGCTCAGGGCTCAGTCCCCACAGACACAACAATCTAGAACAGGGGTGGGCAAACTTTTTGACTCGTGGGCCACAAAGGGTTCTAAAATTTGACACAAGGGCAAGACCAGGAGCAGATCGATGGAGTTTTTTGGTAATCCATCCCATAAGAGAAAAAAATAACATGGGATATATAGAAAATCTATCTCATGTTATTGAAATATGCCATATTCGAAAATCATTACAATCACAAGAAAAATGTATATTTTATTAGTTTGCTTTTACTTTTACGTTCAGTTTAAAAGTGTAGTGGAGTAGAAAGTACAAATACCTGCTCTCAGATGCAAGGAAGTAAACGTAAAATTTTAAAATGTACTTAAAGGTGCATTGTGTAACTTTTCTGGGGAATGGTCTGTCAAATGCATTTCTCCAGGGAGATGTTTTTGCTTTGTCTGCAATGTTTTACATTATGGTATTAAACCTTTCTATCTTCATAGAGACCAAACCAGACCAAGTTACAGGTCAGACCTGAGGAGAGGCGACCCTGCCCACAGTCAAAATGTCTGTTTTTCTAGATAATTTTGAGCTACAAAACATTCTGTAATTAAATAAATGTAAGGAAGAGCTGTTTAATGTGATACTGTGGAATATTTCAGGCAGGGCAATGGCATATCCATAGAAACAAGCAGGTGATGACCCCCAACCAAAAAGTAACACAGTGCACCTTTAAGTAAAGTACAGATACCTACATTTTATAGTCAAGTACAGTACTTTTACTTCATTACGTTCCATCTCTGATGTTTCTGTAGCATAATTTGGTAATAAAGTTGTGTGTTGAATGTTGCTTTTGAAGGAACCTCCTCTCATACAAGCGTACACAGGGTCAATAGATTATAGTCCAGACAAATTTAACAGGCATGTAGACTCAGTGTTTTGTGTTATACAAAAGGAGTTGCATAGATAAACATTAGAAATATAAAGATCAGGCAATCAAGCAGAAGAGAGACCAGACATTCCAAGCAATACACTCATTCTCACCACAGAGCCGCACAGGGCTCGCACATGCAGCATATGCTCCGCTCCAGAAGTGCTGATGGCTTGTTTTCATGAACAGATATTATTTCCAGATGGGGGTCATGAATCAATCCCATGGAAACAAGCCGAGCGAAACTAGAAACGTAAAAAACAGAGCAGGAGCATGGGGCGGTGAGAAACAACAAGCAGTCCGCTGGACTCAGGAGCATTCTGACACATGGGAACAGCAACACAACAAATAATTTGGACAGAGAGGGATTAGACCCACTTCACACTGGTCTTTCCGGTCGGTCTGCTGAAGCCTTATCTCACAGCTTTTATCTGCTCTATCAGGCTCTAACCAGCAGACTTTGTCCAGACAACAAGGGCCAGTGGCAAGCAAACAGAAGCCCGGAGCCTTCTTAAAGAGCCCATAAAGGTGTAATCTGTGGAGGGGACATCCCCTCTCAGATCAGTATACAAATCAGTAAGAGCATGTCCTGAGAGCTGAGAAATGTCTGCCCTTCACCTGTGTGTGTCGAAAATATGTCTGAAAATTTAATAATAAAGGGACAAAACAAAACAGAGCTAGTTGTGGGTGTACAAATCCTCGCTGAAAGCTGTCCCAGGTCCACTGGGTCTAAAGCCACAGATGGTGGTCCATTCAGGTGCAAAGCACACGTCAGGGTCTTTGTCCCAGGCCTGCCCCCTGAAGTATCAGCTCATTTACATGTATTAATTAAGGCTGATAATGAGCTCAGCATGGCACAGCATGAGAATGCATTCCACTGGTATTGTGCAAACTCTGTGGAGCTGTGTGCTTTGAGTTGGCCTTTTCAGATGGTGCACAGATTGTAGCAGGGCAGGCACGCGAATAGATAAAGATGTAAAAACACACAATAGTGAGTCAGCACCCCCTGTGCTGCCCTGTGCCCCCCGCCTGCACTCATGGAGGTGCTAATGACAAACAAACAGGCTCTGTAAGTGCACTTGCACAAAGGCAAAGAGCATGTAAATAACCACAACACAAGGTTGTAAAAAAAAAAAAAAAAAGACATTTGTATTATGAAAAGCCCAGATTTACAGTAGAAAAAGAATAATCATTTTTCATTGAAAATATAAGAATCACCCACAAGGTGCATGTAAAATCAGATGCACAATGATATAAACATTGATCATATAAATTATCTTCATAATTCATATTACATTATCTTCATAAAGGAATGATTCATGTGGTGCATAGAATGTGTGTGGATTTGTCCAAGCGCTTGTTTCTTGTCCTCAGGCTCAGTGAGGCGGTGGCAGCTCTGTGCCGGGACATCCCGCTCTGATCGCACCTAGAGGAAATCCCTGTAAACAGCAGCTGGCACAGGCAGCCGCTTGGCTCCGCTTCAGACACTGTGCAGAAGAACACAATCCCTCCTGCTGATCCTCATGTTCACAGGTACAGCTCAGTCTGTGCCACTTTATGGTCCATAATTCTGCACGAGAACAGTCCCGCTGAGTCCTGTCAAAGTGAAGGCGTGTCCGAGACAGTGGTTTTCTTCACATACACATCTGATGTGCCATTGGGAATAAGCTGAGCAGAGCTGCTCCGGAAAGAGGCCAGGAGACGCCCTGAAGAGAGAGATGAGAGGATAAGTCCACAGTACAGACATGTTCAGACGTGATATGAGTAATGACTGTGTATGTTTGTGTTTAAAAACCCCATTAAAAGATTAAAGACACTGATCACTCAGCGCTACAACAACACAAAGGATGTAGAGCACGTACCACTCCATGTCCTCTGTCCTGTAAGAGTGAAGCTAGAGCACTGAGAGTGAGAATTACAGATGTGCGCAGCCTCTCGCGGGCTGTGCACTGACAGCACACAGCCTTGTGCACTATAAGAGAGCCGCAACGGTACTGCCCCCCGGAGGCACCCACATGCCGCAGCAGCCAGTAGTCTGTGGAACAAACAGCAGAACATCATAAGACATAAGTTATCTGGAGAACCCAAAACAGTACATGTCAGAACACAAGGACACATTCTTTAGTATATGGTCTCAAGACTTCCAACATGTGTGAATTAGAGATTGCCAAGCTATAGATCTGAGATCAAACTGTATACTGAGCCCTACAGTTCAATCACAATCATAATAGTTTAGACTGAGTGAAGTTGATTTATAGCTGAGAAAAGCATCATCAGCTCTTTATTGTTCTGGTTGCTGGCCAAAGTCAGTTGACTCCACATCCTGCTCATAGTGAACCAGACTCAAAGCCTGACCTCCACCTCCACCAACTGGGCTCCATTCATCAGCCGCTCTGCTCTCCAGCCCTTGAATCATCTGCTCTGCATTAGAGACACACATTTGTGCAGCAGCGGACAAAGGCTGGTGTGTGAGCTGTGCGAAGAGCGCTGCCTGTTAACCTTCTAACTGGCAGCAGCGGATGGGGCATTGGCGAGGGGAAAACGACACGAGGATCTGCCTCTGGCTTTGAGAAGAGGGAAGAAAAGTGAACAAGGGGCGGAGTGTTCAGCTCAGAGGAGAGAATTCGAGCCTGCTGCTGCAACAGACAGCCCTGAATCACCACTGTGTCATGGGCCATCAGGAGAATGCTCTTTGTCTGAGACAGAACTGCCCTGGAATGGAAAGCTCTCCACTCCTCTTGACTGTGTCCACACTCAATTCTACCCAAAATTCAACCAAATATATGCCACTATTAAGAGGGTTAAAAAGAAATTAAGAACTTAACAGTGTTCTCTTCTTTTCATCTGATGCTAGCTAATTTCAAGGAATGAGCTAATATTTAAAGAAGAGAAGGTACGTAGGATCCCATCTGTCATCACTAGGTTACTCCCATATTTGGAGGAGTGTTTGTCTGGGTGTGGTAAATGCGTAAAAAGACATGTTTGGTGAATGATGCACTTTAACAAACCAAATGGGCATCGCAGCTATCACTTTCACCACCTGTTTGCGGCTATGCACATTTGATTAGGACATTGTGACATCTCTCTACAGATTTGAACCATAAACTGTCCGTATTAATTCATTTTGTCTGTTATTTGAGTGGTAATAACACTTCCTGCTGTGACATTAATTACATTTAAAGATTCTTGCATTGACCCCCAGCTCACTACTGGTGATTCAATTAGCAGAGGAAAACATCAAACAACTGCTGAACTCCGTGCCATACCCTCTGTGGAGGGGCTGATAAGCCCACTGCCTTTGTGCCTTTGGCCCCTGGCACCTCCTTGTTAAGTCAAAGCCTTTCCTCCCCGTGTGAGCCTCCACACTCCTCCATCAGTGATTCGATTCACATAGCACTGCTATATAAACAGTCCTGCATCTGGGAATGGAAACTCAGCGCAGGAACGCAGCCAGCCAGTCGTTCTGGTATTAATATTTCATACAGCGGGGGAGCGAGGAGACGGGAGGCCAGGGGTGCAGGGAGACTATGCACTCTTTCAGAGGCAGACAAAGTTTCAGAAACTTAATTTTCCAACTTAAAACAAGCCGAAAAGTCTACAGCAGAAAAGTAGTCTGAGACAAAAAAAGGTTCAGCCCCCATCAGTTTACAACTCAAGGTTTTGATACAAAAATTTCTAAAAGTAAAAACACATTTACAAATTTAATACATTTAAAAGCATAATCAAGCTTGTGATTATTCCTGTGAGACCTCAAAGAGTTCTTGGACTTAAATGGGTTAAACTGGTGAGACTTTGGACTAATCCCTTCTTGTTGAGCTTGTCCTCTCATTCCAGCTGCCTAATAAACCTGTCAAAACAGCCTGGAGAGGTAGAGACACCCTGCCCCCGACTTTTCTCCCATTCCTTAAGAAAACAGCGAGCCGGCCCGTCTGGGATTAGAGCAGTTTAGACTGGAATAGGTTGGTCTGGTTATTGCACTGGTGTTTCCCGTGTCACTAACTTGAAAAGTAAGAGCTGTAAACTAGGTTTATTTAAATTCAGAATTTCATCCATATTACCACTATAGGTCATTTTAAGATGTTTGATATAAATAGTTTGTGTACCTACATTGAGTAACTGAAATTAAATTTATTTCATATTTGAACATGCCCAATTTAAAGTAGAACTTTACAGTACAGTTCAAGTGGAGTGTACCCAAAGAACTGAACAAAGAAAGTCCTGGTACCTGAGAGTTCAGAAGCCGGCAGGTTGTCCAGGTGCGCTCCAGACTGGTACTGAGCCAGGAGCTCTTCAAAAGCCTGCAGCGTCTCATTGATGTCACTTTTCAGCTCCCCTGCACAAACACCACAACATCCACCATGAGGCTCCACTCACAGCTTTTGTCTGACTGCTATTCATTAAGACAGAATAAGCTGAGACATGTCAACACACGACTAATGCAATGGCTTGGTTAGATCTGTAATGCTGCTCACCTGTGGAGTTCATGATGTGGTCCACCAGGTGTGTGAGGGTGGGTGGGGCTTGGTGTGGCAGCAGGTACGTGAAGAAATACCTACAGCCAGACAGACAGAGTTTTAGATGGACATGAAATATTAGACATATTAGACAAACCATAAGTCACCAGTGCCACATGACACATGATATCCATGTTCACTAACAAGGACTGCTATCAACATGATTGTATTCACAGGCTCAGCATTGGCTACACTCCAACTCTTGAGGGCAGAGTGTATTGTATAAGTTCATAATAACTAGGACATCACAATCTAGCTGAGAATTTTATTTAAAAGCTGACAAATACAAGTACCTTCATCTAAGATTCCAGTATTTTCCTTTACAGATTGGGTTCAGCAGATTATAGTGCACCAGAGATTACTACGACACACATCAGAATTGAAAGCTTTCACTTGTTACACATCACAGTAAAGCAGTGTTGCTGTACCTGTAGGCATTATACATGTTCCTCTTCTCGTTGAGCCCTCGCACAGGCCGTGCACACAGGGGATGCTGAAGTTGCGCTGGGGGAAGAGCAGGGTGCAGTCTGCACTGGTCTGACACTGGGTGGGCTCTGCACTGACATCGTCCAGGTCCGTGAGCTTCAAAGTTCCGGACACCATCACAAACTGCCTCGGCTGAAAGTCCAGCAGCACCACAGAGCCCAGAGGAGAGCTGGAGAGAAAGTGCAGCAGGCGCACCAAGTCCAGGCAGACCTACCACACAGCAATTATGATTATTTGGATTTATTGATGCTTTTCAGGTTCTAAAATGTGATTATGTCCTACTCGCAGACAGGGGGCAAGAGTCACTTTTCACTATTGACTGTTTATAAAATATAATAAAACATTGTGATGTCATTTGAAACACTATAATTAAGAAGTTCTGGCCGATGTGGAAAATGTAAGGTTTATCCAACAACTATCCAATATTGCAATCTTTTTTGTCTATAAACTCACAGTTCATAGAGGTCATCTCAAAAGGCTCTAGACAAGTTGTTCAATTTTATCCCCTTTCATTAAATTGATAAAAATAGCAACTCCAAAGTCTCCAAACACACTGCGATTCCACTGACCACATTTGCAAGCCATTTCCTGAGACTGTTTTTATAGTGCCCTTTAAACACCATTATAAAAACAAAAAGAGAAAATAAGTAGGCTACTAAAAACCAAATAACTGCATTAGCTGGACCAGTGGAGGAGCAAAAGCTGCTGCGGCGCTGCACACATAGCTCCAGCCTGAGGTCATGTGGACTGCTCTGGGACGTCCTGAGCACTAGGGGCGTAACCCAACACCCCGCATTACTGTAGTGAGATGGAGAGGCCCGCGCAGCTCCAGGGGGCTTGGCATTATTACAGCTCTATGGGTGATGGAGCCTGGGACATACATGCTCCTTTGTTAGAACTTTATAAAATCTTGTCCAGAATGTTTAGAGGTTTTGTTTGCCGGCAGATACTTGCAAGCAGGGTTGAGGGGTCTGCCGTGGGACCCCTGCCGGGAGCATACCTGGGCTGGGGGTGCACTAAGCCCCTCTGTTAGCGCGGCTCAAATTCCTGGGCTGCACCGGATTATGGCCTTCCCTCCCCGCAGACACACGACGCAGCAGTTTCCAATGTCTGCCGCACTCCTTCTTTTATCACACGGCCTCAGATCACCGTGTCAAACTGCACTTTACCGAAGGCTACAGCAGTCAACCCCAGTCCCATCAAAGGCCAGAACAGCCACTGTCATACATTTATTCAGAGTGACAATGGAACATTTACATATCGGGTTACATCCAATACATAAAAGCCTCAATAGGGACACAGTTAACAACTTTATTATTTATAACTGTAAATTTGTATTTCAAGTGAAAATGTCAGGAAAAAATTGATTTCCCTATTTATCCTAATTATAGATTAATGTCACAGTCATTTTTTTTTGTTTAGAAAGATAACTGTGGAAAATATAAACCACAAGAAATGCTTTATATATTCACTTAATTTGGAATATTTATTACCACAAAAACAAACTCCTGAGTCAAAAATGCCTAAATGTGTAACTGTAAAAAAATCTTACAGTATGCCATGCTGCTTTACAAGTTTGCCAAAATTGTTACAGAATTTTTGTGTGTGCAGTATTCTAATTTTTCTGCTCACCCTGAAGCGATCCTCCCAGGGGCTCTGCAGCAGCTGGATCATCTGCAGCGGCATGCCCTGCTCCAGGATGACAGCCAATCTACCTCCCTCTGCTCCCCCTCGGCCCTCTACCTCTCGGGCTCCGTGCTGGCCCTCGCAGTGCCCTCGCAGCTAAAGGGTGGATAAAACACAGTTATTCATGGGAAATGCACACAAGGTATTTGAGCTACAAGTGAAAGCCGAGGAGAGGAAAAAACATTAGGACTGTGATTTTAAGATTATGCATCAAAACCGTAAACACTGATATTGCGAAAATAAAATCTACTACACTAAAGTATATTAATATGGTTTTACATTATTAAAAAAATAACTCTATGAACTTTACTATACTTCAATTAGTTTGGAGTAACAACTGTAAATTTATTTTTAAATGAATATATTTTGATAGACTATTTATGTTGAGGACACTATCTGAATAATCAAACACCACCAAGCTCATATACAATTAACTCAGTCTTTATAGACAAATATTTTAAAGTGAGTTGGACGGTTCTCAATACCTAAAAAGTATAAATAGCCTACTAGTTTGCTCCTTTGTTTATCGCTTACTTGAAAACTAGGTGTACCACCATTCTGGCATCAAGAAAGAACATGAAACTAGAAACTACACAAATGAACACAGAATATTAGACTGGGTTCAGGTGGTTGGAGGCTATAAGTGCAGAAGTTCCTGGTAGAGCAGAGTCAGCCTCAGGACAGACAGGAGGACAATTGTCTTCTGGAGAGCTGGACAAAGGTCAGTGCAGGGTCAGCAGTGCTCAGTTAATCAGAGACTTGCTGGTACGAGACTGAGGAGCTTTTCTTCCACCTCAGTGCGCACAACAAAGAGGTTAGAGCGGTGTGTTCATGATTATGGGAAGTATGGAGGCTATCATTATTATATTAGGGCCGGTCTGAAGATTAATATAAACCTATATTAGTTAAGTTATTAATTTTGAAAGTCAGCGAAATAATTATCTAATTAATTAAAAAAAAACAAAAAAACAATTATGTCCAGGTCTGTCTACAAGATCTAATTCGGGGCAGTTTCAATGTAAGAAAAATGAAAATTATATTTTACATAAACTAAAACATAGGCTATTTATTTAACGATGCCTTTCATAGAGGTCTGATCAGTCTTTTTCCACGGCCGCTCTAACTTACCCCGATGACGTTGGGATGCTGGAGCCGCTTCAGCAGCACCATCTCCTTCTTCAGTTTATAAGCCACGAGTTGCCGACACGCCTCTGGCTCGTTAAACTCCTCCACACACTTGCCCATGTCTATGCCCTGCTCATTGACCAGTTTCAGCGCCACGGCCAGACCCCCGGCCAGGTTCGCTTTGACAACGAGTTTGGTGTAGCCAGAGCCGAGTACCTCCAGCCCCTGCATGTCCACTAAAGAGTCACAGCCCATCTCATCCCCGGGTGCACGGCTCGAGCCACGCGCGAGCTTGTCCCATACTCTATAGTCCCACGTGGAGTCCAAAGCCTGGTCAGAGAAGCGGGGCTCATCCTCATTGAGAAAAAGCAGTGGTACAATTTCTTTGCGCCTCTCGGTGAGTTGAGAAATCAGTGCCTCGGGGAGCTGCTGCTCGCCACGGGTCACGTTGGAGACGACCCGCGCACCAAACTGCTGCACGCTACTGATCAGTAGAGAAACTAAAATAGAAAGAACCACAAAGGCCAGCAGTGCGGCTGCACGGAGAGAATTGCCCATAATTTTCCGAGCCACTCCGAAAAAGAAGCGCCGCTGCCGGGCTCTCGCACTCAGCACACAGCAGCTTGCTCAGTGAAAGTTCTGTGTGAGTTTGTGCTGAAGACGTGATCAGCTCCTGGTTCCTCCTCCCAGCAACTCCCTCCAGAGGTGTGTCCTGTTCGCTCGTAACTCTACACCTCTCAACAAGGCCTCGAGTTTGTCACTGTCACCCACGGCGCTGCTGGCAGCCTGGCATCCTGGCAAGCACCTTGGCACTCCGGCACCAATTAAGATTAAAGGGAACTTTAAACATTTTCAAGGCCAAGAGACATGAACAGCACAGCGGTTGACGATTGTAGAGAGAATAATCGATTGGCCAACGCAAACCATAACACTTCATAAGTGTTGTGGGCATAAGAAGCCTATAGTACTTAAGTAAGATTATTTCCATAATAGTTCAAGGACATGATTTGGGAATTTTCTTCCAACTTATCTGATCATGTTTAAAGAAGGAGTTACAAAGTTGTCCACAAGGTGGCAGCAACCAACCAGTCATCGAGACATGGAGAGTCAGTAGACCGACGCTGTCGTGAAAGGTGTAAGCTTAAAAACAATGTTATGTGTCTTATCCATATGTCTCGTGTCTAGGTTGCGTGACACTATATAAGCAAAAGATAAACCCGTAAACATACACTTTAAACGCATTCACACTTTTTTTTTCACACGCCAATTTGAATTTGCCTCTGTAATAAACATGTCTGTGTTCCAGCAACAAAGTTACAAAAGAATGTAAGACACTATAGGTCTACTAGGCCCGTTTAAGAAATGAAATGATTATAATGGTTAATATTATGTTATAGGGCTGGCGCTTTCTCATTAATCAGCAACGATCTTTTTTCCATCAGGAAAGTAGGCAATTTGGTAATAGTCCCTTTTCTATCTTTTCTTCACAGGACTAGAGACTGGTCTGTATACTGGCTGATACGCTCTAAAAGGCTGATCCTGTTGTTGTGCCTGGATACGGTGGCATCGACTCTGTCACGCTGTTGTCAATCAGACAGGTCCTACTTGAGCCTTATTCAGATCCTCTTGATGAACTGGCTCAAATTTGGACATAGGCCTGTTCTACTACAGGTAGGCTGGCTGGCTGTTGTGCGCTTTACTATAATGGAAATCTTGCGTGCAGTGTGCCGCTCCGATAGGACCAAGTGCGCATCATCAGCGGATCTGAGCCAATCACCGCGCTCCTCTGCCTCACTGCCTCTTCTGAGGAGGCGAGCATCACGGACAAACAGGCTGCCTGCGTGACAAGCGTGTGGATAGATGGATGTGAACATTCATTAAACAGCTGTGGAGTTGGACGGTCAGAACACGATGGAGGCGTGCTCGCGTGAGGAGAGCACGGGGGCTACAGCGATGGAAGACTTCCCCCCCGGAGAGAGGGGGAGAGACGCAGCTCAGAGGTGGGCGCTTTTCATATGCATCTCATTAAGATATGGAAAAGCCAGTTGAGCAGACTGTCGCTTATTGAGAAACAGAGACCAGTGTAATGAACTAAAGGACAGAAAACCCAGCGTATTCTATTTTACTACATTTGCACTGTCGCTACAGGCCAATAAACAGAAATGGATTGGCTAGCTAAACCAGCGGCACAGTTTTTTGATCTGATGTGCTTGACTATAGAGCCTATAGGCCAGACATGTCAAACTCAGGCCCGGGGGCCAAATTTGGACCGCAATATAATTATATTTGGCCCGCAAGATCAGATCAAATATGTATTAGAGCTGGCTCGCTGGCTACAGATAGGCTATAGAAACATCTTTTATTTAAAACATTGTTATTATTCTATATTACGCTCTTTCTGGATTCAATGTTTAAGCAAAACTATTATTAAATATTTATTTTTTAATAAGAAAATGTTTAACATTACATATCTCGAAATAAGAGAAAACATGCTGATGTTGTTGAAATTTTTCAATAAATATTTAGTTTGGCCCACGACTTAGTCCCAGTTTTAAATTTTGGCCCTCTGTGAATTTGAGTTTAACACCCCTTGGTATAGGCTATAGCTCATGTGTCCGTGTGATCTGCTGTTATCGCAAGTTAAACGGTCTCTATTTTTTAGGATTTGTTTGTATTGGGAATGCCATATAAAACAGGGATCATAAACAGGTTTTTATCTGCCATGTTAAGTCATAGTGTTGAGACTGAGTTACTTTTGCATCCTATTGGCCTGGTTTCCCCCACCCTTGGTCCTCCTTGGTAAATTCATAATTAAGTAAACTGCTTACTTTTATTTAAAGGGAAAAGCAAAACCCATGCAGGAATTCAATGAGCAATAATTCTGACTGCCACAAGCAGAGACCACTAAATAGGCTATTCAGTAACAAATGTGAGCTTATTTAGGCTAATACAATTATGCACATAAAGATGCTATACTAAATGTACAGGAAAACAGCAGTCTGTACTGTCACTTATTCTATTTATCCTTAAAAGAAGTAAATGTAGCCTGTTGTTTTGGGAAAAAGTATTACAATCACAACTGAATCTGGGTTACCAGTGCCTAAACCTGCATATCGAGGACATAACTTTTTCTCAATGTTTCTGAGTTTTTGTCAGAACACAGAAGCCACTGTAATAGCACTGATTAATGATTGGCGGCAGGTACTGGGGTTCAGGTAGTGACAATTCAGATCAGAGAATTTTTAGGTTCAAAACTATTGGGGTTTCATTGAAACTGGTGACCCAAATGAGACTCATGTGAGGCTCATTCTGCTATTTGATTAATCATCCAAAACACAAAATTATAATAAATAAATGGGACATCATGTCCAATGTTTTTGTAAGTAAGAATGAATCACCATTAGAATTATTACAAGTGCAATATTTGATTTGAACATGTTTACCGTACCTTGGGATACAGATAGATCAGGTTTATGAAATTTTAAATAATCAAATCAGATCTTACATACAGTTCTTTAAAATGATGTCTGATGCCAAACAGCCCCAGTTCTAGTCTATTGAATTCGGGTGGGCAATAATTTCATTTGTGTGGGCAATGCCTGCCCTTGTCTATAACCAATGCATTTAACTGAAGAGCATGAATAGACTTATTTAGCAGATTTATTGTTTAAAAAAAAAAAAAAAAAAGAAAAAAATCTCAGGTTAATGAGGTCATTTATCCTGTGACAGTGTACACAAGACTATTCATTAACTCTGAACTCCCGGGTTATTATGGGATAACACATCAGTGAATCGACTGTTGACTTTGTCGCCCTGGAGACAGAGCAGGACACAGCAAAACATTTTACCAAAGACCCTAGTGGAAAAACAAACATGAAACCCCACTCTAGCTTGCATCCTGCTCAATATCGATAGATGCACACAATGTTTTGTCTTTACCTATTAATTATTATAAAGCGTTTAACTAAGCACACTGGACCTCTCTTGCATTGAGTGCTGTAGTCCATGAGTTGTATGTTCTGTACTCAAGCCCCCCTTCATGGTAAACGCTGGGCCTTGTGTATTCCATAGTGATCCCCCATCCATCGCTCTGTGTCCCCCTGAGCACCAGTGCACAGTGGATCATTCTGAGGAGGGGCTCCTCTCTGAGGGAAGGCTGTGTGACAGCTGCAGCAGCCTGGGAAGGCCCTCCTCCTCCTGCAAGCTTTACCACCAGGTACCAATATTCAGCTCAACACCATCACCTTAAAGTCACTTGTCCTGCAGCAATTCTAAACTGTGATTCTTAACAGTGTGAAGCAGTACACTAAAGAAGGTTCCTCTTGTTTCCAGGTCCCACAGATGTCCCATTTGGAACCTTTCGACTCTCCTTTACCCAGGACATGCCCTCACTCCAGCCAAGCGGGCACCTGCAACAGCTGCCCCAGAGGTTCCAGGGGAAACCGTGAGAAGAGGGGGGGTCAGAGTTTCAGCTCTGCCCAGTCCTCATGTTCTGGACCAGTCCGCTGCCACTGGCTACATAGTTCAGTTGACAGTGGACCGCACAAAACAAAACAGGCACTGACTGTCAGGTATCACTGTTTTTACTCTGTGTGTGTAATTAAAATGTGAATGGCTAGTTCCATTTACAGAAGCCTTTTTCATTTCCTGCAGGGATGGAGGTCTCTCACGGATCATCAGGATGTGAGTGTCAAAAAACAATCTCTGCTGTAAACATGGATAACCCCACTTGTTTGTGTCTGGTTTAGATATAGTCAGTTGCTGGTTGAGCACCCATTAGGTTTGCTGCTGGGTTGTGCTCTGCTACTCTTGGGCTTTTCTGGAGCAGCACTTCTGATAGGCCCATTACCAGATTTCTCCAACCCTCTAATGGTGAGTCTTGCATAGCTGCTTTTTGTTAGACATAAACTGTATCCCCATCTATTCTATCCAAAACTGTAATTGCTTTTACAATGCTCAAGAGCAGTAATGGGAAAGAGTTGGTTTCCTTTGAGCCTCATGTCAGTAGTACATACAGTAAAGTTCAACGTTACCATGGCATGTCCAGAAGCTTGTTGACACTGATGGAGAACAGAGGGCACTCTTTGATGTCTCTGTGTTCGGCTGCAGGGCTTCGAGCCACGGGGGACATATATCAACCTGCGTGAGTCCAGTTTGCAACAGCTATTGCAGAACACAGGCCCTGGCAGGACTCTGTCTTTGCTGCCACAGGCACTCAGTCCAAGGTCAGCATGCTATACTCTGCTCTGTGCCGGGTAAACATAACTGTAATGGGAGTACACAAGGACAGTATTCTGGTTATATTCTTTTGTCCATAATACAATAATAAACCCCACAATAAAGCCTTTTTTATTCATTCAAATTTAAATAAGAGCACACAGATATTCTAATATCCAATTACAAAAGAATAGAGTGCATTCAGTAATGTAGTCTGTTTTGTGCATGGTGCAGAGTGGGAGGAGATGTCAGTCAGAACAGCAGCAGAGTGCGTGCCAGAAGGATGTTGGCCAGACACTCCACTCCAGACTCCTTCCTCTGTGATGCTCCAGGTCAGCGGCACACACATCATGTGTCATGCAACTTGGCACACACACTCAGATACAAGGAAGTAGAGGTCAAATGTACAATATAGTCCTAATGAATGAAGTCTACCACATGCAATCTTAAGGTACTCACAATGTACCTCCACAAATCCTCCTTTGTGATTGTGTGCATTACATATATAGGTGAGCATCTGGCCCAGCTTGTGTTCAGATCTGAAAATGCAGCCAGTCTGTGGAGCCTGAAGACCATCCAATCCATGTGTGAGATGGAGCAGTCCAGGGTATGCCACACAATTTCCTAATATTCAGTCTTCATGCAGTTGCCATTGTGTATCTTTCTTCCTTTGTTCAAGATCCGGTCCCAGGCACACTTTCAGGATGTTTGCCAGCGTCCCCTGAGAAGCGAGCCTGGGCTGAGCAGCGGCTGTTGCCCCAGCTGGTCCCTAGGAAACTACTTAGCTGTGCTCACAAATGCATCCCGCTGTCTCAGCCTCACTTCACACCAGGTTACTTTTACATACTGTAGATAAAATACAATTTCACAAGTTTCTACATATCTATAAAAGACATAATGTATGTCTCTTATAGGTTTCAGAGTCTCTGAGCCTGCTGCGTAAATGTGCTCCATACTATCATGAAGGACATCTTGTGGAGGCCTGTGTGGACAGACCCAAACATGGTGGCTGTGCTTTTGTTCCCAGCCGTTGTAAACAGTCCCGTGTGGTGTTCCAGATACTGCACTTTCTGGTGGATAAGGACTTTCTTGGTCCTCAGACAATGGCATACCAAATCCCTACCTTAAAGTACAGCCTCTTATTCCTCCCAGTGCAGAAAGGAGAACAAATGATGGAGATCTACATGAATACTTTGGAAGGACGAGATCTGTCTTACAATAACACCACGATCACTGGCATGGACTTTGGCATCAAGCAGAGCCTTTTTAGACTTTACCTTTTGAGGGATTGTGTTTACCCTGTCCTAGCTGTCTTGTCCCTCCTTTTCTCCATGGCCATCTATCTACAGTCACCATTCGTTGTAATGTTATCGGTATTAGCCATTGCTGGCTCCCTCCTCACATCGTACTTCTTGTACAAAGTCGTTTACCGTCTGACTTTCTTTCCTCTAGTGAACTTTACTGCAGCCATTATTCTCATAGGGAGCTGTTCAAATCAGGTTTTATATTTGCAGATTTTTGGAACCTATTGCTCTCCCAGAGACCTTGTATCTCTCTAGAGAAGAGAGTCAACAGAATTCTGCATGAAGTTTGTTATCTAATTATAGCCTCAGGACTGACCTCTAGTGCAGCGTTTTTCTCTGGTTTTCTAAGCAGCCTTCCAGCTATTCAATGTTTTGCCATTTACTTGGGCACAGCCTCCTGTATCAGTTCACTCCTAGCATTAGTGTGGCTGCCGTGTTCTTTCATTTTGCGTGAACACTACATGAATTCATCCCCTGTCATTGTTCAGGGATGGAGACCTTGCTGCTCCCAAAACACCAACGGATTCTGGGAGACAAGTTCACGTAAGAAATGTCTGTTCAATCTCAGTCAGAAAGCAAGAGAGATTAAAAGAGGGCTCAGTGATACGTCAAATCTGTTATTTTTGAAGATCCTTCCATGTGGAGTAGTGAAGTTTCGGTACATTTGGGTATGCTGGTTTGCTGTGCTTGCTGCTGGGGGCACATACATGGCCTGTGTGGAGCCAGGCATGAAGCTGCCTACTTTGGAGAGCAAAGTTACTCAACTGTTCCGCTCCAGTCACCCATTTGAGAGGTATGATGCAGAGTATCGCCACATGTTTATGTTTGAGCGCCAGAGAAATGGGGAAGACATGCCTCTTAGCCTACAATTAGTTTGGGGGGTGAAAGCCACTGATAACGGAGACCATTTCAACCCACACAGCAACAACTCTTTAGTCCTGGACCCAGAGTTTAACATGAGCAGCCCTGACTCCCAGGTTTGGTTGAAGGATCTGTGTGCACATGTTCAGAATCAAAGCTTTTATTTGCCGCCATCTCCTGAAGATAAAGGCATGGTAGAAAACATATGCCTGGTAGAGCAGTTAGTAGAGTGGGTCTCAATGCGGCGTTGCTCAGAAGCCAATGACCTGTGCTGTGCCAACCAGACCTTCCCCTTCCATCCTGCTGTATTTGAGCGGTGTCTGAGTCTGCTGCTGGCAGAGCGCTACAGCCAGGGACGCCTAGCTCATGCTGGAGGAGTGTATTTCCACACAGATGGACAAATCGCTGCCCTTGTTTTAGCATTCAGAACCACATACCTCTACAGCTTTAATTACACCACCACCAGTGTTTACTACGGACAAATCCTTGCATGGTTTAATAGGGAGAAATCTGGTGCTCCCCCAGGCCTCGGTCGTGGATGGTTCGTAAGCCAGCTTTCTCTGTTGGATTTGCAGCAGTCCCTGGGCTCAGAGACATTGCTGGTATCAGGTTTTTCTGTGGCCCTGACATTTGCCTTCCTTCTGGTTAGTACCTGGAATATTCCTTTGAGTCTGTATGGCATGGTGGCAGTTGGTGGCACTGTCTTTGTCACTATAGGCCTCTTGGTTCTGCTTGAGTGGCAACTGAGTGGCATCGAGGCCCTCTTTATATCCTGTGCTGCGGGGTTGGCTGTCGACTTCATAGCTAACTACTGCATATCCTACAGCCTAGCTCCACACTCAGATAAAATTGGGAAGGTGGTGCATGCCACTAAAAGGATGGGCTGTCCTGTTGCAGTAGTTTCTGGGGCTTTCTTTTGTATGGGGATTATTATGTTACCATCAACTGCTTTACTGTTTAGAAAGTTAGGTATTTTTTTGTTTTTGGTGAAATGTGTGGCCTGTGGATTTGCTACGTTCTTTTTTCAGTCTCTATGCTGTTTTTTTGGACCCCAGCATAACTGTGGCAGGATCATGTTTCCTTGTTACATGGAACAGACTGAATCTTGTGTGACGGTAAACACCAGCTCCTCATCTGCGGCTAATGGAGCTTTTGACAAAAACAGAGTGAGGAGGAGTTATGACCACCAGGATGGAGGGGGCTATCTGTACCCCAACCACCATCGTCCGCAGAGACAGAAGCTCACTGTTGGTTCTGGTCAGGGACATGAGCAGTATGAGCTGCAACCTCTAGCCTATAGACTCAGTGACAGCTTTGAAAATAGTACTTGTACCAGCAAATTGTCCAATAGACCTTCTGTCCTCTCAGATGAGATCCAGTTTTGTAGCAAAGAAGACATGTGCATTCATCAACACAAAATGTGTCCTACGCCTCCAGCCTTGCAAACATCCTCTCCTTACAAAGAGACCAGCATGCAACCTAACCAGTTGCATCAAGACAAACTGCTGTGCACTGACTGCAGGGGTCACTGCAGTGGCCTTAAACACTGGAGTAACACACCCTTCTCCTCCTCTTCCAGCCTTGAGGAAACTACAGCCACTCACACTCTAGAGACAATTGACCATCTGTCTGTGTGCAAAGACGAGGCCAGAGCACATAACAAACCACTGTGGACCCTGTCACAGAGCTCATATGAGGGCCTGGAGGACTCCAATGACACCTGTCTGAGCATTATAGAAGCACAGGCCTCCACATCACTGCAATCCACGGAAGAGGAGCAGCAGCCACCTGGACACTTAAATGAAAAAAGGGATACTCTTCGTTTGTCTCTGAAAGACACACCTTATGAGAGCGAAAACAGAGGCAAGAGCAGTGAAGTGGTCATTTTACCCAACAGTAAACCAGACTTACCAGACGTGTGGATTAAGAGACGAGGAGAGCAGGATGACAGCTGCTGAGGTTAGCAGCACTGTGCAATATGGTAGCAGTGTCCCAAGTATAGTTATGCATACTTGGATGTAATATGTTGTCTTTTTCTGTGTATAAAAACAACAGTAGCATGTTTTACCGTGCAGTATAATTAATTTATGTAAGATTTTATAGGCTGAGACCTCAGATATGGAATCATCATTGCCTTTGCAGATTTACTTATTAAGAGATACAGTACAAATATGGCACACTATTCTTGACAAACAAAATAATTTCCATCAAAAAATTTTTTGTGTCCACACAAATTTTGCACTTTTTTCAATAAAGTATGTAATTTTGGTGTGTGAAATGTTCATTAAAATACTTGCAATTCAAGGCATTTTTCATTGCAAATAGCATCGCACTCCTCAGCCTCACCAGTGAGGTTTATTCCAGGGTACTGGAGAGAAGTATCTGACCGACAGTCGAACCTCAGATCCAGGAGGAGCAGTCTGGTTTCCGTCCCAGTCACAGAACACTTGACCAGCTCTACACTCTCCATCAGATGCTCGAGGGTTCATGGGACTTTGCCCAACCAGTCCACGTGTGCTTTGTGGATCTAGAGAAGGCATTCGACTGTGTCCCTCGTGGTGTCCTGTAGGGGGGTGCTCTGGGAGTATGGGATCCGGGGCCCTTTGCTAAGGGCTGTCCGGTCCCTTTATGCCTGGAGCAGGAGCTGTGTTTGCATTGCCGGCAGTAAGTCAGACCTGTTCCCGGTGCATGTTGGACTCCACCAGGGCTGCCCTTTGTCACTGGCTCTGTTCTTTGTATTTATGGACAGAATTTCTAGGCTTCATTAAACAAGGATCTCCAGTATGCATGTATCAATTAGTCACAGCTGTTGTAAAAAGGATTAAAGCCTTTACTTGAACCCCCCTAAGTGGTACTTATACTATTATATATATATACACTACTACTGTACACATGCATGTGTACAAAGTAATACAATAATTTAATAGGGCATAAGCAGAATGAATATAATTCCCTTTCTGAAATGGCCTCAATTCAACTAAAATGCAATTATATATTTTTGTATTAAAATAGTGCATTTTTAAACCAGGGTTAAAATACTGCTGTACGTTCATATCACATGCAACCACTTACAGAATATTTGCGGTATCAAGTGCTTAAGTCAAGATTTTAACTTATCAATAGTTGTCTCTACCTCTTTGTCATAAATGGAGTTCAATAACAGAAAGCATATCTGCCTGTAAAAGACAGGAAAAACGGTACTAAAAGAGAAGGCACATCTAATCTTAACAGCACAAAATGTCTCATTTAGATGATTTTGTTAAAACCTTTCTCCACCTATTCAGAATTACAATTTTTCTTTGAATACACATGCCATCTTGGAGATTACCATTCCACTGATGTATACATGTCCAAGACTAATGCATAAACATGATCTAAAACAATTTCTTTTAAAAGAATAATGAACAAGTTGTATAACTTTTGTAAATGCAATCTGATATCATCACTTTTAGGGAGACCAAGTACATACAATTATTTTGTATTTAACACATAACACAGCAAAAGAAAATTAAATTAAATTCTGTCAATTGGACGCTCATCCAGAAAGATTCCTCAGTTCTGACAGGAAGTAGCCCTATTGATTTGGACGACTGAAGGATTACAGGCATTTCTTTGTCATCCTTCTTCATTATTTATCCAGGTCTGACAGTACTAACTATACAATTTTGCTATTTCAAGAAATGCAGCCATCACTCCAAAAACAATAATTTATATGATGTATGCATGAAAAACTAAATGTTTCATCCAAACTGCAAAATAAAGTTTTGATGACAGGAGTGGGCCTTAAAGAGTCTCTTTCCAGTCCTCTTCTGCCCACTCTGGTAAATGTGTTGAATATTCAAACTCAGGACCTTTGTAGCGTAAGGCATGCAAATACATAATGAGCTCCTTCTCTGTGGGGTCAGCTCGTACAAGCTTGCATTCACTGCATAGGTGGTCCAGTTCACTGTTCGTTGCAATCGCGCTGGGAGCTGAAAACTCGGCATCAGAGCCTTTGACAGGGTTCTCACTGCTTGAATAATTGTCCTTAATGCTGGAATCTGTTGCATCTGTACTGTTCAAATTGATCACTTATGCAACTATCTGACAGGTGATTGGTTCCACCTATGTACCCATCTTTACAGATATTTTTAGTTTTAATTTCTTCAGCCTCCCTGATGGCATCCTCGGGTAGGTCCAAGAGGTGTAGACTCTCCTGAGACCGGTGCTCTTCCACCAGAGCCTGCAGGAGCTCCTCGTTAGTCCTGTTCAGCAGTCCTCCCTTACCTCTGTGTGGACCCCAGGCAGAGGAGCCATAAATGGGGTCATTGAGGATGGGGAAGCCCAGGTACTGTAGGTGCACTCTGATCTGATGGGTGCGGCCAGTAAGTGGTAAACAGCGCACCACACTTGTTTTGCCATTAAAGCTGAGCCTCTCAAACACAGTGCGACATTCTTTACCTTTAGGATCCACACGACACAAGCCAATTTTGAAGGAAACCACCAGAATGGGCTCCTCACAGGTGATCTGCCCTTCTGGAAACTTCCCCTCCACCCGGCACACATACTCCTTTACAAGCTGCAAGTACAGAACAACTCAGTTAGAGTACAGTGATCTCATTGTAAGAATGCTCTAAGCATTATTTTCAGCTGGGACATGCCTGTCGGTCTCTGACTAGTTGGTCCAGCCTTTTTGAAGTCTCTAGGTTTCGTGCAAATAGCAGCACTCCAGAGGTGAGCCTGTCCAGTCGATGCACTGTGTGGAGCTCTGAGACGCCCTGCTCTTTACCCAGGATGAAGATGACCGTGTTGTGTCGGAAGCGGCCACAGGGATGCACCGGGATGGAGGAGGGTTTGTCCACCACCAGGACTTCACCATCATCAGCCAAGATTTTCAAAGGCTTCCCCACCACAGGAGGCTCATGGCGGTGCACAGTGTTTCTCATGTGGTCATTGTTCTGTGCAGAAGGGAAAATGGAGGGCAATTATATAATCAAATAACTAAATGATAAACAAGATACTTTTACAGGCAAATTATACAAGTGGTTACCAAGTTGGATTATTTAAAGGTCTAAAAAACTATCTCTTTATAATACTGATAATCACGTAGATGTCATTATCAGAGTTACTTACTTTTAGCACAATGGAGAGGTCGTCCACAGGTGTGCCGTTCAGGCGTATGCGCCCCTCTTTGGCCGCTCTCTGGTAGTACTCCATGGACTCAGCTCTGAATTCACTTTTGAAAACCTCCAGGAGAGTCTTGCCAACCCAGCGTCCTTTGCAGTATGTTGTGAAATCATGGTAGTAAGGACGAACTTTGCGAAGACCGTTTTCAAAATAGTAGGTTGTCTCACTGAAATGTTCCTGATTGAAGCTAACTCCAGGGTTGCGTTTCTGCGGCGGAGGGACGTACCTCTCTCCAGGGCAAACTTTCTTTGCTCCCGCTCCTCTTCGCCTCTTCCCTCGTCCTATTCTCTCAGTTTCCTCTGGCTCGTCGTTTTTGCGTTTTCCCGAATCGCACTGCTTATTTTCTGTCCTTGACACTTTTTCTTTAGTGAATTCGGTAATGTCCGAGGCTGTACCCTCCTGTTCAGCCAACAACGTGGGTTCCACTTGCTCCATAAGCACTGTGCGATTTGTCCTGAAGACTGTTGGAAAACTACAAGAAGACAGCCTGCAGTGCGACGAAGATAATATCAAACTATTCTGACAATTGTTGAAGCTTGAAAAGAGAAAATGCCTATATTTGGCATAAAACCTCAGGTGCATTACTTTCTGGCTGCCTCGTACCTTGAGGTCCTTCAAGAGAACGGCGCACAATAGTGACGTCAAATTGTAGTTCAATTCATTGCAGGTTTCAGACTATGGTCATTTGAAGTACAATATTGTCACTTCATAACACAAGACATATTGAGCACAGCTGTTTTTCAAATTATGTGTTTAATATGATATAATATTATATATAATATTTAATAATTTAGCAAGGAATACATTTCTATACATACAGGTTTGTTGTTGTCATCTCTTCAGCTTTAAAAGTGCTGAAGTACCTCTCTCACAGTCAGAAATTATGTCACAAATTAATATCCAATAACAACAGTAATAATGATAATAACTTGCAAGGGCCTTCAATTACTCAAGTCAGAACAAATCAATGTAAAATTTGTAAAACATTTGTAAAATTACGTTCCAAACCAAGAAAACAAATAAAAGACACGCTTTATGTTGGCAGTAACCAAAATAAAACACAAATACATATCATGAGAAGAGTGCTAAAGGAATGAGAAAGGTGCAAAATACAAATAACATTTTAATGTTGTTGGGCTTTTTTGCCATTCATGTCATTATGTTTTTTTACCCATTACTGCAGATCAACACTAAATTTGTCACAATTTATTTGTAGACTAATAAACAAATGTTGTTGGTCATAGGATTACAGAAAAGCCATTATAAGCCTGATAAAAAGCCCGACAAGTCATTAAAGACATGATCATTTATAATTTAAGAACCATTTTGTTAGCAGCACATTTTTGACCCTATGAAAAGAAAAATCCAAGGACACAGGAAGACTGGCAGAGACATAGCCACAATGTCCTCTGGGCAGCAAACCACACAAACACTACCTGGGCTCAGAGACACAGCACCAGCACCATCTCCTGTAGAAGCAATAACACGCCATCAGAGCTCCCCTCTGGAGAGACAGAATCATTTGTTCAAACACCCCGTCCTGTGAATGTATTACTTGTATCTGACAAAAGGGTACATGTACACATCATAAAAACATACCCAGGAAACTGATGCCTCTTGTCAGTAAGTGGGACATAGACCACTCCCATTAACGCAGTCTTCAGGAAGGTACCGTCACTCTGTCGATCATATTGCTCTAAGACTTGACTGCCACCGTCAGGACCAACGGGAAGAATCAGCCTTCCACCAGGCTTCAGCTGCTCTAGCAGCTTCAGAACCACAAAGACAGAGACAAAAGAACAGCAATTCATTAAATTAATAATTAACATCCACTTTTTATCTTCTAAGTTGTAATTTCATTGTTATGATATTTAGTAATAATAATAATAATTAATTATTATTATTATAATGATAATAACATGCCCTCACCGCCTTAGGAATGGTAGCTGCAGCTGCTCCAACATGGATGGCATCATATGGTGCCCCTTCTGGGTGCCCCAGCCTCCCGTCTCCAACTGAGGGCAGAGGACATTATGACAGACAGTCATTACTTTGAGCAGCTGGACACACTTGCTTTTGACATCATTGTATTACTCACCAATAAACCTAATGCGGCCAGTGGAGATGAGCTCTGGGTCATCTGTTTGCACATTTTTTACAGACATTTTCACAAGTTCATCAATGTGTTCAATACCCACTACACGACCTGTAGGACCTGTCTACAAGAAATATATAAAAACATGACATAAAACTGTTGCAGCTTCTACATGCTGCCCATTGTTAAAACAAATAAGCACTTACCATTCGTGCAAAGCAGGCAGTAAGATAACCACTCCCAGACCCCACATCTAGAGCAGTTGCCCCATCAATTAGTTTGTCGTGCAGTATTTCAAGAGCATGGGCATGCTGTTACATACAGAAACTAATTTGTTACAACAATAAAATCAGTGTAAATTTAATTTTTTTTTCTGTATAGTAGACTCACCATGTGCGGTGCACTGATAGTAGCTCTGTAACCTGTAACCGGACAATTATGACTGAACTGTTTACTTTAGTGAAAAAATGGAAGAAGATTGGTAAAATTACTCACCTATTGACTGTGGAGAGTCGGCATAGGGATAATCTCTGGAGTACAGTCCTCTGTCCGTTGCTAGCATGGCTTCAAAGACTCTATCATGTTTGATTACACCGTGATCTGCAAAACATGAAAAGCAAAAGAATAACATAATAAAAATACAATTGTGTATAATTTACTTGTAAGCAAGTGCATTGTAATTGCAATCACTTTTAATCTAGTAATGATATTTGTGCTGTTTCCCCCCACTAGGTTATATGTTGCAGCAATGTGATCATTCCACAGGGATGTGTCATTGTGCATGTGAAATACAGTATACAGTATCAGAAGGAGACACACACAGAGACATTTTATAGTTAATTACTGGGCTTACCCATATGAAACAGAAGTAACATGAAGTACAATGTAAAGATTAAATTATTATAATTATTATTTATCCAATTAGTTTATCCAATTGAAACTAATTGCAGTAACATAATTACCTGTCCGTAATAACGTGCATTAACTACACGACTCTCACTGAACGTGAAACTGCCTTGCTACTCATGCTCAAAGAACCATCACCTCTGAGCCTGCTGATGAGTTCTGGGTGAGTTTTCCCGCTGGACATCCACGCCATGGTCCGGGACAGGAGCAAACCCATAGGGACCACGATAGCCACGCGCAGCACGTGCATCTCCTACACTGCCGCAAGATGTGGCGACATGTCGCACCTGAAACCACAGACTATATATTTAATATATGCTTTATACAGTCTATGCCTGAAACCACAGCACACTACGCAAATGTTACTCAAACAGTGTAACAAATAATAGCTTTTTACGAACTTAAAACATATACGTGTATATTAGTTTAAGCGCACGTCATAATATACAATGTGCCTATAATTTATGATACTAATACAACGAGAGATATGATTACATACTTAAATGCAATGCATAAAAATCAGAGGTCAGCAGAATTGTTTACCTTCCCACAGACTGTCTCAAACTTCCGGGAGACAGAGGCAAGGATTGGCTACACATAGACATGCCAATGTAACAGAGAGCCAATCACATTTTAACTTTATTGATGGACGGATTTAATAGCCAATAATTAGTTTTACAACGCGGAAGAAGATTTTTCTCAACAAAGGTAGCTTCAAGGCTTCAAATGGTGATCATTTTCTTCCTTAAATTAATGTTACGAGTTAGATACTTTATAGAATTGGTGTTTCCACAAACATTATATTGGTGAGGTGTGTTGTTGTTGTCGCTGTCGTTTAACAGTGCATCTTCTGTGCATGTGTTGCAGAGTAAATGAATACACTGGACAGAACTGGCATCTCCCATTGAACATATCAAGCTACTTTTGCTATTGTGACAATGGTGGACGACTTTGAGGATGGAGACGTCCGGTCCAGCGGAGAACTCTGGTCCGAAATCTGCTCCAGCCTCCCGCAAGCACAAACTGGGACTGCTGCAGAGGGCAAATCCGACTTCGGCGACTCATTTCAGCCCAGAGCCGTGCAGGTCAATGGCCAAACACATGGGGCCTCTACCTGTTCATCCGGAGCCAAGTGGGAGCCTATGGAGGATTCAGAAATGTACATCGCCAGTTTAGGTGCTGAGGTTTTTGGTCTGTCTTGACCATTGCTTAGTGTTTGCATTTTCATAACTATCAGAACAATATATTCATGTTGATTTTGAATGTCAGCGTTATCGATTAAAAACGCTGCACAGGGTTAAGATTTTGTATTTTCTTATGTTGCAGAAAACCGTCTAAAGAGACTGAAAGGCCAGTCCAGTGATGTAACTTCAAGAGACATGCTGCGTTCACTGTCTCAGGCCAAAAAAGAATGCTGGGACCGTTTCCTGCATGATGCTCAGACATCGGAGCTCTTCCAAGAAGGAGACCTGGATGAAGGGTATGATTCAAATTAAAATCACTGTTGTCACTGTAATCCACCTGTTTTTAGCCACGATGTGTCATTCAATTCATGTTTGAGTAATCCTGCATTATTAAACTCTGTATATCTCCAAACCTCAAAATGCTCTATTCCACACTGTGATGTCACGAAGCAGTAATTTTCAAGTAGACTCTCACCTTTTTGTTTTGTAGCAATTGGCAATTCCAAGGTGGAAATTATCTAGATTATTCTAGTGAAGTTGTATGGATCTTAAAAACACAGAGTGCTCCCTGTATTACCACATGACATAAGAAGGTGGAAGTTTTTACAGCTTGAGGGAATAACAGCCAACTATAGAGGTATGTTTTTGATGATCATAACATGAATCAGAAAATAGTATTATATGCGCCCTTTTAAGTAGACTGTGGGTGTTTCTGAATTACCAGGATCCTCAGCCTCTGAACAACTTCAGAGAGATCCGTGTCATCAGAGCTCCACCCAGTGGTGTTCCAATTCCCTCAAATTCCCTCTTTTACCAAGAGGGGGGATCCTTGGCCACCTTGGAGAGCTTGAAATTACCCACAATAAACTCATTACACAATAAAAAGTAGTAAAATATTTTGCTATTTTAGCCACATTGTTGCATAATAATGTTACTATTATCAGATTGAATTAATTTAAATCAGGACAAAAGCAGCACTACACTACACATACTACACAAATTTTAAAGATTGGTGTTGGTGCACCACCCACTCTGTGAATTGCGTTAATTGAGATTTTAAATTATGAATAAAATTTTTGTGATTTATTTTTTTTTTTTTTTTCTATAAATGAGTAGCCTTAATTTAGGCACAATCTATGACTTGATTCAAAATAAACTCTGACAAAATGCCTGTATATTGACATAATTTATATTACTTAAGAGTCCCACTCTCTCACAGAGAGGATGATGTTTCTGTGAAGTGGCACTGCACATCACTTCTGTCTCTTAATACAGATAAATAAAATTGATTCAGTTATTACTTTGCCATTTTTAGTGCTCTGGAACACTTCAAACGGTGGCTGGTTCCAGAAAAAGTGGCCATCAGTGCAGAAGAGCTGGAGTACCTCCTGACACCGAACCAGAACCAGGCACAGACACAAAGTGAAAGGCCACCAGAACCCCAGCCCCCTGAAGATGATTCCCCCAGCCCAGAGAAATAACCCCCTTTTTGAATATGACCCCCAGTCCCGAGCCATTAGCCCCTCTAGGACTCAATGAGGTGGTAAGGGTGAAGTCCTTGCTACCATTTTCAGAGGATTTGTGAATCATATGTACTATTGTCCCTCAAACTGTCATTGTTAGTGTTGTCTAAAGATATTGTGTACAAAGTATCATATGCAGTGTCATTCCTGATGCAGCAATATTATTTTTAGATGTTCAATAATATTTTTTGTAATGTTTTAATATTCAGATTTTGACCATGACATGATTTGATTTGACTTGTTATTCATCATTAAATTGACATTGTATAACCTCATAAGATGAAGTGCTGTACTGTACATAAAGCTACTCTGTAACTGACCATAACTATTGTATATAGCAGTGATTCATTTGTAGTATTTTTGCAGATAGAAATTAGCTATTCTCAAGTGAAGACGTCCCGTGCAAACATAACTGCATTTACATACATTTACAACCTTTTTGAGCAGTTCACCATAAAGAATCATTACATGACTTCAAATATATCCTTAATTTTAAATCTGTATATTGCCACTTTAAGGCTTTTCTCTATTAGTTTAGTTGTGGTTATGAAAAAATAAAAACCATGATCTGGTGGATAAGTGTAATGCTGCACAGCAAGACACTTAACTTGATAAATAATTTATTACATATAAATATTTGTTCTTATAATACAGAGGTCCTTTTAAATTCATACAAATAATCTGTGCAGTAGTTACAATAACCTACAGTTAAGAGAGAGTGGAATCAACTGTCACAACAGTCCATTTCAGTGAGGACACAAGAACTCACAATTCAACACCTGCCGAGTTGTCTAAGCAAAAGTGAATATAAACCTGAACATCCCCATACACTACATCCAGCATCCAACAAACAGCCAATGTATCAAAATTATTCAAGACCTCCCAGTCTATTGCAATAATTGAAATGTCTGTGCAACTGTGAAAATACAATCCAAACATAGATAGCAGAGCCTAAAAATTTCCCACATTTGGATAATACAGACTTAGTAAAAAATGTATTGCAGGACAAGTTTAAGAGCCACGAATGATGCTGTTTGCAGACGTATATATATATAAAACATACAGATGTGAAACAGGAAAAATATGGGAAGGACATGTTGAGATTGGAGATGCCAGGAAGTAGACGAGGAAGACCAGAGACATTTGTGGATGTAATCAAAGATGATAAGCAGTTTGTCTCTGAGAGCAAAAACTGGTTAGAAAAGGTAATTTTTATCCTTAGTGTAACCTATTTTATCTATCCTAAACATAATTTTTGTTACATTTTGTAATATATTTGTAAATGTACAAAAAACTTCAGTATGGCTTAATGTCAGAGGGAGACTTTATGGACACAGGTCTGTATTGTTATGTGATGGGAGTTCAAAAGAATTAGGAATCACATATGGTGTTCTCCTATACATAGAAAGGCTGGGGTATGGGTATAAGGCAGCATTATCAAGGGCACAAAGCTTTGTAAAAGGGATGAGAAGAGGGCAAAATTGGTCAAAAAGTAAATGTGTTGTTTTACCCATTGGTGGTAAACTACTTTTGTTGTTACAGCAATAAATAATTTTAACAGAAAGAAATGGACATGATTTTTTTGAAAAACAAGAGAGCGAGAGAAAGAGCGCCACATACATGAGTCATAAGGAGATACAAGAATAAACATGACTAAAGCGATGTGGCAGGAAAAAATATGGTCCAGAAGGTGCAATGTAAAGCCACATCTAGGTTAAGAATGTTCAGAGTTCAGATGGACCTGCTGCGGTAAGACGTTGAGAATGTGATCAATGGTGAAAGAAGGTGCTCATTTGAAGTGAGGACTATTAAAAGATACATTTCATTCTTTTGATTTTATATATGAATCAAACTGATTCCTGTTTTTCTGCATTTCTTTGATATATTCTTTTTCCTTTACTCCCTCACAGAAAGCAGCTACAGTGACATTTTATATACTTCCTCTCGTGAGAAATCAACCCCTGCCCTTTGACATTCACCCGATACAGGCATCAGCTCACTGGCCCTGTACCAACTCTGTTTCTCAACATTGTGATTTCAAACAGAGCAGAACCAATAAGGGTTCATAAGTTGGGAAGTGGGTTTCCTATTGGTACTGGTGAACAGAGATGGTATGTGCCACTGGATGAAAAACTCAAGTAGGGATCATGTGACTAGTGAAGGTTCTTGAGCAGGCGACCGTAGCGGAAGTCATAGACATGCCTGCAGAAGAAGACCAGGTGGGGATCCATATCAGGGGGTACGCAGTGGTATGTGGGCAAGCCATGCTCCAGAGCAGGGGGTACCACAGAGGCAGCACTGCAGCCAACACCCTCCTGCTGCCGCTTCAACAAGGCACGAAACCTGCACGAAACAAAATCCTCTCATATGGGGCAAGTCATCTTTTAGAATATAATTGACCTCAATCAAAAAAAAAAAAAAATCTGTCATCATTTGAATAAGTAACCTACCGACAATACTGTGCCAATGTAAGAACGTAGCATTTGTCTTCGATACAGGCCACACTGTTCACATCCTGGTGTCGGGATGCAAACACCTCATTCTGTAAAACAACATCAATGAGAGTCCAGAGAATCACCTTGTGACCTTCACCTGTCTAGGCACTGCAATTAGATATTTTCCCTGACAAATCCATCACTCTATACCGTCACTGAACTGAATAATTGCAGGTTCACTTGATATATGCATCAAAATCTTTTACACCAAACTATTATCACTGCCTTTAAGTAATACAATATCTGACCTCACAGTGAACATTAGGCTTGCGTCCTCCTTGTGTGTGTTCTGGGCGGTAGTACCAAAACAAACTCATCATCAGCTCTCCTAAAAGCACAAAACAATTTATCTTGTGTGAAACGGAGATTTGGCTTTGGTAGACAGGGGACATGTATTAGACCTGAGTCTGGATCCTCCCACAGTGCAGACACCTTGGCCACATAAGGCAGACTCTTCTTCCTTGGTCCAGACTTGAGAAGGACTGTGTCTCGGACCTGGATTACATCTCCGTCTCGCTGCACTGCCTCGAAACAAGTCCTCAGCACAGGAGTCTCCTCACCCTAATAACAGCAGGTGGGCCATGGTTGTCATTTTTAGTTTACATTTATGGTTTTATAATGAAGTGCATATATGTTTTTCATAGCGAAATTTGAGGCTGCAGGAAATTAGACAAGCCTGAAATAGAGTTCAGATTTCAATTCAAGCATTTTTTGCTTATGATTAAGAAAGAAAGTTTTGACCTTTGCTTTCCAGAAATACTCTTAAATGCCCATGTGCAGAAATTAACTGAGTTCATTTTTTGCACTATAACATTAAAAGATTATGACATTATACACTGAGGCTTTTCAGCATCAACAAATCAGCATTAAAATAAAAATACCCCTCCCACAGTAGCAGACTTATAGTAACGTACCACAGTGAACACCTCCCTCTGAAAGGGCAGACCCACGGGCCGCCATCCATTGGTGCTTTTATGGCGCCACTTGTTGACGATAGAGCGCACCCCACTGGCACTGGGTGTGTGCTTTCTATTCCTGATGACCACTGAGTCCACCTGGGAGGCTCTGGAGGCCATGGTACTCTGTGCAAAGTTGTGACGCAAAGGGGCAGCGGGCTGGCTTGGCTCGGAGGGCTTGGCTGGAGTGTGTACTGATTGTCCGGCTGGAGGCACTGGAGAAATGGGGCAGCCAGTGAGAACTCTGGGACTAGGACACATGGGGAGCGATGGGGGACTGTGCAGGCCACTGACTGCTGGTGGGTATTCTTCTGAAGGAAACCAGAGAAAAGACCAAAGAGACAATAATATTCAACAAGCTCACACCATTATTATATTGTTTGAATTCCCTAACCAAATTATCAAATATTTCGAAGTGTTACAGAATAGTATAACGTACAATTTAATTTGTCATTTATTTATTATATTTACATTATATATATTATAGAAGTATTTTTTATCTATGAAAATATGAGCATTACACTTTTCTTACCAAAGAACTGTTTCCTTACTAAACTTCCACTGTGTAACTACAACTCACAAAGCTCAACTGTGTAGTAACTTTCCTGTTAACGGCCCCACTCAGCCTCACATCGTAATGGCTTCTGCAAATATAAATGTGCCTCACCTTTCTTTACAGTGTGGTTGCATGTGGTACAGCCCATGTGGCAGATGGCTGGAATCATACTGGAGTACGACCGGTAACTACTGACTGTACACGGGTCAAAGCAGGGCTCCACAGAGGTGCAGCAGTAGACTGGGTGAGAGATCCCTGAGGCCCCTGAGCTCTGGGTCCCTAGCAGCTTGGTCCCCTTTCTGCTGCTGGGGTACACATGCTCCTGTGACGTGTCAGAGGGGTGGCACAAGTGAAAGTAATATCCAGGGAAACAGGTGTATGAGTGTGTGCCGAGGGCAGGGAGGTGGTGGTGATGGTGGTGATGGTGGAACACACTGTCCTGTCCTTGAAAGGATTTGTCCCGCAGGAAGAGGGAGAGGCGATGGCAGTACTGGACACACTTCTCTTGAGTGCAGCAGTAGCAGGACGATACCTGGTTCTCCACCTGCTCCTCTTTCACCTGCGGAGAGAAGCTGGGAGCGGGAGGATGCTGCAGTGGAGCTTTAGCACAGTCTTTTAGCTCAGGTGTCACAGCCTGAGCAGAAGACCCAGAGCAACCCTGTAGCCTTCTCTTACCCCTGATCTTCTTCTGCCTTGTGTGTTGGGTCCATATTTTGTGGTCGCATTTTCTCTGAGCGTCACACTGAGTGGTGCTCTCAGCGTCATGTGTGACCTCCCTCTTCTTCTGCCTCTTGTTTGTGTACTGAGCACTGGTGAGTTTGAGGAGTGTCGCAGCAGTGAGGCCAGCCTGTCGCCGAGGTGTAGGTGCAAATATACTTAGCCAGTCAATGCTCTGGTCCTGTGTGACTGATGCATTTTTACAACCCACATCTTGCTGTGTTTGTGTTGCTTTCCGTTTGGGTTTGTGGGCTTTGGGCTCATGTTCATTATGATTGTCTTTAGGCAGCTGTGTTTTTCTAGAGCTCAGTGGATCATCCCGGAACAGCAGTAGAGAGTTAACAGCCTCAGCATTCAGAGAGGCCATTCTTCGCCTGCGAGGTTCTGGTGACAACCTCAAAAAAGCATGGGAGTTTTTCATTTTTGGTTCCTCTGCTTTTTGGGTGGGCCTATGCTTTAGTCTGGGTTGATCACATTTATTTCTTTGTTTCACTTTTCCACTCATATTTTTTGGTGAATTCTTGACATCTCCCACATCCAGCCGTGTGAGCAGGACACAGCAGTCTAATGCATCTTTGCGGTTCACTTTTAGGGCCTTCCTCCGGTGTCTGCTCACATTTGTGTTTCTTCTTCTCTCCAGCTTATTCTCCTTTATCCTTCGAGCCACCGAAGTCTTTTCCTTGCATTTCTTGTCCTTGACCTTGCTATATTTGACCATGGAGTTGCCCTGAGCCTTCATGTTCACCCACTGGAGAACAAGCTTGGAGCTCAGATGGGGGCTTCTTAAAAGAATGCAGACTTCAGCATGTTCCTGTTGTGTCTGAGGATCCAACTCCCTGCAAACACAAAAACGCTTGAGCACAGCACTGTGCATGTTCATATACATTCATCAACTCATAAAACAATAGTCCAAACACTTGTGTTCTTGAACAGAACACACCAACTTTCTCCTCGAACTACAAATCGCTCACAGAGTACTATGCTCTAACTGGCCTCTAACACCAGCCTTACCACTCCACTACACACTCACAGCTCTCCCATGTGCAAGGAGGAGCAGATAAAACTGGACATTGTGTCTGTGAGGAGTGAGTTTATGGGTAAATGTGACAGCTGCAGCACACTGAAGCGCTGGGTGAAGCACAAGTCCATAATACACACATTCAATTCCATACTCCAAACGAGCAATTTCAGGAGACTTGGCTCGCTAATTTGACGCTTACTTTTCACTCACAGAAGTTTGACACAAGGTGACATGTGGGAGTCATTTATGCTACAAACTGCTATCCGTATAAACTGCCCTCCGAGTGAGAAACTGTCAGTGCATTGGACAGCTTACCCTACTCCAAGTTCTGAAATATATTTGAACCTTGAAATCTCCTCTGAAGAGAGGAGGTCTTCAACAGAACAGGAGTCACGTCCATGGCCATGCGTGTATTTGCAGTACAAGTCTTACTAGTCACTCAAAAACAACTCGACACAAGCGTGCGCAAAAAAGAAAGTTGAAGATCAGGTCTAGCTGTCTGGCGAATCATGTCAGTCCTATGCAATTTTGTACGAACTTATGCTCAAGATAAACATCCGGTTACACGCCAATCTAACAGTATATTGTCACACGAAGCTCCAGATTAGAGGTTCTCGTAGTTCGGACCGCGGCAGCACCTGCGCGGCTGCAGTCCGAGCTGCAGGGCGCAGGCTTGGTGTGCAGCTGCGCTCCCCCAATCCCGTCAGCTGCGTGACAGCAGTGACAGCTGAGAAGACAGACAACAAACACGGATAATTCTTACCTATTCAATCAACCAGAAACGTGGGATCTCTTCTAGAAGGATCGGGAAAGAGTCAGGTGTACGCTTCCTGTACAGCACGAGGGGGACTGGGAGCGGAGAACTCATGGTGAGACGTCGATAGTCCGAACTGAACAGCGCCGCTGGTCCGTGCGCACGCGATGTCCACATTCCCTACTCCCCAACAAGCAACACTTCAAGCTCTAAAAGCAGCTAATAAACCTCTTCGTGGGACGCACATCAGTAACTCGGGTGAAGTTCAGCTCTGTCAGCGCGCTTTACATAACAGCATCATCCTCTTCTACGGTGACGCACCAAAGAGCGCAAACATGGCGTATCTTAAAGGGCCATGACACAGCGTTTACGATATGCCCCTGTCCCGTGCCCTAGAAAGCTCAAAAGGTGTAGCATTAATTTATAAGATAACGTTCAGAATAGCAGGTATTGCCTCATCATCTCGTGGGTTTATGGATCATCTCCAACTGATTATACCCGATCCACAATGTCTACTCAACTTTCCTAGGTGTATTTATTTTTACACTGCTAAAATTAGATCGCACATTCAAGAAATAAAAACTGAATTTTGAAAGAAGTTTTACATGTTTATAACTTCACAAATACAAGGAACAGAGAAACAGTTGTTAAACACATTATCTACATTATTCTCATCGGCAACTTATATTTTCAGCCTACTATATCATTTACAGCTCAGAGCATTTGCAGCCACTGCTCAAAGTCCAGTGTCCACTTTTATGAATGAACTTTCTTTACCATAAATACTGTGCATGGGCTGACATTTTACAAAATTTAACCCAAACTTTTTGTAGCTTAGATGGGAGTGTTAGTTCAGAAGTGCAGAAAAACTGAAATCATTACTACTGACCAAATGCATTCGTAGACAAAAAAACTAAACAAAACCATATTTCATTGTATGGGTGCAAATGACCAGTTGATTTCTGTTCTCTGTAAAAGTAAATGTAAAAAAATCACAGGAATATAAGGCTGTTGGTGTCAGTAACTCTGCATTCACTCATGAGGGGTCAGTCCACTCCTATCTGAACATGGAGTTGAAGGCCCTTCCGATGATGAGACGGCGGATCTCACTGGTGCCTGCTCCAATCTCGTACAGTTTAGCGTCCCTCAGAAACCTCCCCATTGGGTAGTCATTGATGTAGCCATTTCCACCTGTGGTAATAATGGTACATTTGAAGGTGACTTTACTAGACTTGCAATGCGATGAGCTTGAACACAACTTCAACTTCTGTGCTTCATTAGTTCCCTCAGGGGTAATTATTTCACTGTCATCAGTAATAAACATTACACATATACGTGCTGATAATGCAGTAGGACTGATTGTCTTGTTTAAGCAGTTGGAAAAATTTAGTAGGCCACAAAAACAAAGTAGGCCATTTTAAACCTTTAAGGTGAATGTTGATTTAACTGGAGATGAGGATCGTTTGCCTGGTTTACACACAATCACTTAATTTACTCTGATAATTTCAGTGCCTAAATTCACTACATCTGTTACATAATGTTTCTGAGAGCCTTGGTGCTTATAAGCCCTTTCAACATGGCTGCCTTGGCTGTCCTTTGTCACAGGTTATTTTCATTGTTTTTATGGACAGAATTTCTAGGCACAGTCAGGGGCGTGTGGTTTGGAGGCTGCAGGATCTCATCTCTGTTGTTACCAGATTGTTTTGATGGCTCCACTGAACGAGGACCTGTAACATGCACTGGGGCGGTTTGAGATGAGTGGGAAGTTCCTGCCTCAAGTGGAGAAGTTCACAAAGGCTAGGTTTGGTGGTTAGATGCTCCAGATCAGATACTGAGAGATGGGGGAAGTGTGCGTGGCAGAAGACAGAAAAACAACTGCTGCGCGAATATTGTCATTCAATCTAAACTGCACAGTTAAGGTGGTGTCTCTCAGAGCACTTGAAGCCCTATGCATTGGAAGTAACAGCACTGTCTCCATACACATTTACAATACTATTAATTCTGTTTAATTCCCTGTCCAACATGCGGAGTTAGAATGACCAGCACAATGCGAAGTTGAAGTGTTTAAGGTGGAAGTTGTTGTACTCACCTAGACACTGAATACCATCCAAGGCAACCTGTGTGGCATTCTCGGCACAGTACAGGATGACTCCAGCGCAGTCCTATACAACAGAGGACTCATAAGAAAAGTGAACAAAAATGATAAAACATGTGGGGGGTTAACTTACCATTGCACTAAAGTGCCCCTTATCACAGGCTCGGGCTACATTATACACATACTGTCGACAGGAACTCAGCCTGGTGTACATATCTGCCATCTTTCCCTGCATTAACTGTCAAAAAATGTAAAATTATATTATATTACAGAACTTATAAAAACAAAAGACGTACACTGGAACATTACATAGTACATCTAAATATGTCACAATGTTAGTATAACATAACAAGTGGATAAAACTACATAAAATGCATGCCGATTGAACCCTGCTGACTTGAGTCTTTTTTGTGTAGAAGGTTCAACCTGAAAGTGTCCAATCTTCTGTCCAAAGGCCTCTCGTACGTGTAGGTAGGGCACAGCAAAGTCAAGGACAGCTTGCATGATCCTGGGAGAGAAAGAGTGAACATTGACAAGTCACAAATCCAACTTGGCTTAATGGTTTGTCATTCTGATATGCTCTACTCTGTCGGTACTGTAATGAGTCCTGTATCGGGATGAAACGTTCAGTATTAACTGACCCAATTGGTCCAGATGACAGAACAAGCCTCTCCAGGTCGAGCCCACTCATCATGACATACACGCCTTTATTCAGAGGTCCCAGGACATTTTCCTCTATGAAACATGAGGACAACACAAGGTTCAATGTTCTGATACAATACAAATATCAATAACCTCCACATCTATAGACTGAAAATAATGTATAAACATATGTTATTTATACCATCATCAAACTTTTATTACAGACTCTTTAGAGTTTAAAAAAAACATACAACAAATAAACATGCTCCAACAGTATATATACAGCAAACTGCTGTCCCAGTGTCTCCACAGTTCAGACACTGGGACAGCAGCTGCAGCTGCCCCAGCTGCAGCTCCAGTGTCTCCACAGTTCAGACAGCAGCTATAATTATTTTAATTAATACACTTCAATTATGCTATAGATATAATATATATATATATATATATATATATATATATATATATATAAATAAAATATTTATTGTATTTTATAATATTTAGTAAACATTTTTTACATGAACTTAAATAGCTATAATTTTTTACCAATCATTTCACCAATAATTTTTTAATCCTATAATTAACTTTTTATACAGTTTTAAATGAGTGCATGAAATGTAATATTTGAAGATACATTTTGAAACATAAATACATTGTTTTTTAATTGCTAAATAACATATATATATATATATATATATATATATTTAACTAGAGCTACTTAAACTTAGAATTTACATCATTTTCTTAAAATCAGATTTACTACTCTATAAATAAACAATTTAGTTACTCAACTTAGCTCTATTTTGGCATTTTCAAACTTAAATTGAATTTATTTACAATTTCCTTTAAACTTAAAACTAAGTTTAAAGGTAAATTTACTCACCAGTAGTGTCTCTGTGTTTCCCCTCACATTCCTTGGTTTGGTTTGATTTGTTTGCGCACACCTGGGCCTAATTAAATGATTACAGAGACACACCTGGTTACCTGGTTTTTTGGTCTTGCTGCCATCTACTGGCCAGACTAAAAATAACCTAATCAACTAATAAAAAAGGGGAGGGGAGGAGAGGGGAGGAGCAGTGAAGAAGAAGAGGAGGGAACAGAGGTGAGAGGAGACAGGGCTCAGGAGTGGAGGTGAAGACTTGGTGCAGGGGCTGGGCTTTTTGACTTGACACTGCTCTTTGACCTAAATACTTTCTTCATTACTCTCACACTATCTGATATGTCCTTGTTAAACACTTCTACAATTTGTACCCAAATGTCTCTGAATAATATGAATATTGTATTTTAAATAATCAAAGCTAACCTGGGATTTTGCAGTCTTCAAAGATCAGCTCACATGTGTTGGAGCCCCTCATGCCAAGTTTGTCCAGTTTCTGTGCTGTAGAAAATCCTGGCATCCCCTGTGTAAAGACCACAGACAGTATAAAGAAGTAGACTAAGCAAATGTGACATCACCCATAGCATTTGGCTCCACTCAAATGAAGCTTGCAATGCTAAGAGTTACAAGGCGAATTTGGAACCAGGCTCCAAGATTAGGAATAGAATTTTTTAACCGTAAAAATTGCTAAATTAAAACTTTGGATAAACAAAAACAGGATCATGTAGAGTGGGTTAATACAAACATTTTAAGACCAAAATTACAAGGCTCACTGCAGCATTTACAGCAAGATGGGTGACAGTATTCCAATGTAAGTCAGTGGGAGCTAGGGTTACTAGGAGTCGGAAGAACCTGCATGCAAACTTCCTATTTGGAACGCGGTGGCAAGAGTGTTAGCTAATGGCCAAGCATTTATACCTACCTGTCTTTTGTGTGAACTTGTGGATTTATAAAATGTACCTTTTCCACAATGAAAGCAGTAATTCCTTTTTGATGGGCCTCCGGGATAGTTTTAGCATAAACAATGAGGACATCAGCATCTGGCCCGTTCGTGATCCAGAACTTGTTACCATTAAGAACATAGTAGTCACCTGTAAAAGCCAATGTAAGCAGTCAGCAATCAGTGAACAGTTTCTGCTTGTAAAAAATCTTGTTGAAAAAGTTCTACTGGCTCCATGTTGGGCACTGGGAGAGGAAATGCAGCAAATGTGGAATTTTTTTGCAGAATGTTCTATTTATAACTTCTGTCATCTTAAGTTATAAAAATACCACAATGTGTCAAATGTTAATTTCTCCAGGTCCTGTACTAATTTGAATTATTTGCACTTTTGAATTCCCTTTGGCCATTTACTGCAGATGGGTGGATAGAGCATGTTTACGAACTATCAGTGTTTACCTTTCTTCTTGGCTTTGAGCTTCATGGAAACGACATCAGATCCAGCATTTGGTTCACTCATAGCCAGTGCTCCTACATGCTCCCCGTTTAGCAGCTGCACAATAGTAGAAGACGATCACTATTCTGTCCTATTCAGGTTAGAGGAGAACATGAAAGCTTTTGGTCCAAACCTTGGGTAGATACTTCTCCTTCTGTTTCTCGTTGCCGTGGCGGACCATCTGGTTGACACAGAGGTTGGAGTGGGCACCATAACTCAAAGCAATGGCTGCTGACACTCGGGACATTTCTTCCATCACAATCACATGGTCCAAGTAACCCAGCCCAGTGCCCCCATACTCCACTGGGTGCAGACAATGAGGTCTTTTATATATTTCACAGTTTTAAGAATTTGCTTACTGAACTGATGAGAAAATAATTACCTGGAGCAGTCATGCCAAGGAGGCCCATCTCACCCATGGCTTTCCAGTAATCCTATAATAAAAACACACACAAATCAGGATCATATTGAAATATATTTTCTTGGAGGGTAGCAAATAGCCACATTTAAGTACAAACACAGATATGATTATGATATCAGTAGTTTTATTTAAGAATGATACTTACTCTCATTTGTGGAAACTCATTTGTCTTGTCAATCTCATCAGCATAAGGAGCTAATTGTTCAGCACAGAATTTGCGGACACTTTGTCGAAGCTGTGCAAAAGAAAAATTTTAAATATGACAATTCAACATGTTTGCAAAAGGCAATCCTGAAGATAGAATGGGAGAGTTGGCTGAGGCAAGTGAGACAGGCCATAGTTTTTGAAGACACATTACATAGTGAAAGTTAAATGTCTCATTTTCTATCCCATTATTTAAAATGTAGGGTGTGTAGAATTGGTTTCTCAAACATGGCCCATCACTGTCCCCAGATATGAGATGTACATGCTCTAATCAAATATTGCTTTAGTTTAGCAGATAACCATTGTTTGTCAACCAGACAATTTAGTCATAATTACAATCATGTTCAATATGATGGTCAAGTTGTTGTTGTTTCATTTTGTGTGTTGATTCCCAAGTCAATTATCCAATCAGAAAGCAGAAGCATGAGTAACTGACAAATCCATCTGATTTTAATTTAAAACTCTCAGATGACTGGTCTGAAGTCTCACCAACACCTTCAGTCAGTCATTATTCCGTGCTAGTGCAACCAGTTCAGTGAGTGAATTATGAAGGTTATGAGCTTTCACAAGTGGCTTGGCCTGTCCTGTCCATATACTGAGAATGACAAAAAACCTGTGCTCCTCAATGTACATGTTAAAGGGTACACATGATGTCAGATCAACTTTCATTAGCTCTTTTTCATGTGAGACGAATCCTGGATTGTCCTGCACTGTCCCCCCATCCCTGCCTACTGATCTGTACTTAAAGGTTGTATAGAAGATTTTCCAAGGAAAGAGAAATGCAGCGACTGTTTGTCTTTTTTCAAATGTCGCGCTTCGTTCCTCTTCCCCTTCTCTTCGTCTTTCATCGACGTCAAAAACAGACTTTCTGGTCGTGAATTCTTGTCTGCCATTACAACAAACTTTGTGCAAACTAAGAGGAAGCTACAGTTCGAAAAAGACGTTAATAGTGTTAATTTCTCAACAATTATTTAAGATAAAGAGCACGTGGACGCGTACGGGGCATGACGTATGGTCATCCAATCATATTCAGCCCCTAGAGCCCACCCCCGCACTCTGCACTGCCTACTTCCATGGAGGTGACCCATCACCTCCTCACTTTCATACTTTTAGATACAACTTAGCTTAGCTACTGAATATTTTATATCTTGAGTAAGAATAACATAATTTTACCAAAACTTAGACAGTCTTTCTGTGACTTTTGGGTATTATCAAACAGGTCATGTCAGGTTATGTCACCACCCTCATGTGCCACACTTACACCTGCACAACAAAAGCCCTCCGCTCTTGGATCGTTTCATCAAGTGAATATTCTCAATCCTCATAGCGGCTAAACGAGGCTCACCTGAATCTGTTCGTCCGTGAGACCGTTTACCACGTCGTCTACTGGGATGGAGGCTCCTGCGCAGCCCCGTCTCTGGAGCCCCTGAAGCGGGGACAGGCACCGTGTGCAACCCAGGCGCAGAGCGGTTCTGACGGCCAACATGCTCACAGTTATTGGGTCGCAGGGATAAGGCTGAGAAATATGAAAAGCCTGTGAGACTAGCCTTGATGGCAGCTGTGCTGTGTGCGCTCTCAGCTGATACGATACCAAACAACCCTTCTTCTTCTTCTTCTTCACGATTATCATGAAGTGGCAACTGCAGCACCGTCTGGTGGACAACATCAACACAGCAGCCCGAGGATCAGGTTCCTCAAGTTCAAGAAGAAAGATGTTGTAGCCCAAATTAAAGCTACATGCTATTTGACATGCAGAAACATTGCAATAACTTATTTCTCACCAAATACAAATTTCATTATTATGCTATACAAAAGAAAAACTCATTATGACAGGCAGACTGAGAAAAATATGGCTTTAACATTTAGATTTAGATTTAATATTTACATTTATCATATAAATTTAGATTTAACATTTAAGATTTAGATTTAGACATAAAAACATGTAATTGTATCGGTAGGAAGTATTTTCTGAAGTAGAAATAAATCAATGCCTAAATGTAAAGCTAAACATTCACACGTAGCTTTCTCCAGTTTTCTCTTGGAGACAATATATTTGTAACATTTTATTTGTATTATTTGAAACTTTATTTTATAGACTGCATATGATATTCATGTTTACAACTACAGGGTACAGGTAGAGTATTTGATCATTACTGTGAATGAAATACCCTTTCAGTGACTTTATTTGGCTTTTTCAGAACATGTCTCTTTGTCTCAGTTGGTGGTGAGTTTTTTCTCCAGGATTTCAAACACAGACTGGGGGTCCTGTTGTGCGTCAATGTGGATGGCATCAGGGTACACTGCACTGAGTCCAGCTCTCTGAGAGTTAAAGTGCTGGACCTTCTGGAGCACAGCCTCCCTGTGGTGGGCTGGACTGGTCTGCAGGCGGCTCTGGACCTCAGCACTTGGAGCTGGGCTGCTCATGGAGTGATAGCTGATCCCTGTCACTGGGTCTGTGGCTCTCAGAGACACTCTGTGAAGGCTCTCCTCCTCACTGAGGTCCAGGAAGAACACTCGATTTGGATGATGAAATGTTTTCTTCAGTGCCTGGGCTTGGTTGATCTCTTCTGAGAAATCATGGAGGACCCACCCCCTGTAGCAGTCCTCCCTATTCAACCGCTTCTCCAGGACCTCCAAGACCAAAGAGTCCGGTATGGGGCGCCCCACATCTAGATAGGATTTGATCTGAACCCCTAGTTCACAGCCGTCAGTAGCCACAGCCCTGAGGAGCTCACTGCAGCAGATGTTGACCAGGTTGTACTTGTGACAGAGCCTTTGTGCCTGCAGACTTTTCCCTGCACCTGGGGGACCCAGCAGCAGCACTCTGGGGGTTCTCTGGCAGTCCCGGGTCTGAACAAATGCCAGCACTTGTTGGTACACATCCTCATGTGGCTGGTCACTGTTGAACACCTTCAGAGAATGTTTGTAGGCAGAGCTTAACCCAGTGATCTCACAGCGGTAACGATGTAAACGTGCAGAGAGTGTCTCCTCTGTCAGGACCCGGCCCTTCACCAGCCGGTCAGCAACAATCGTGTGGTCAGGCCAGATGAAAGTCTGGTGATACACATCTCCAGTGTCTGGATCCAGCAGCCGCCCTCGATTTCGCTCCCGCAGCACGTCCTCAGGTGCAGACAGATGAACCACGTGTTCAGGAAGGATTCCTGCTCTCTGTAAAGCCAGAGCCTGCAGTCTGCTCTGAAGAATGCCATCCAGGATCCAGCCCCTGACAGCAGAGTCACATCAGGCCAAGTTAAAGCCAACATTTTGCTTATGGGTACTACATTTTTAGCATCATCACTTTAAATGGCTTTCTAAATAATATTTTTCTTCTTCCAAAATTCAACTAAACTGTACTCAAATATCAGTTCTCTAAATTGCATATAGTTTTAGAATGAAGTTGTGTTTAATTAATTAATGAATTTATTTTTTCAACAAAAACACAAATGTCCTGCAGTGTGACTGTAGCACTTTTCTTGGGTCAGAGACAGATCATAAAGATGTTGAAAGCATGCATTATTTAATAATATTACACCTTTATCACTACTTTAGAGCTAAAAAAAAAAAAAAAAAAAAAAAAAAAAAGATATAATGCCGTAATCTACAGGGTGTCCTGCGGTGTGACATGAAAATTCACATTTATAAACACAAAAACTAAAAGGTGCTCATCTGGCATTTATGCACCAGGAGAGGCTCTGAGGTTAAGGATTTAAGCTACAGAACAAATTTAATAATTATCATTTTCTTGTTTTTGTAAAAACGCAATTTAAAAATAAAAATAATAAAAATAAATAAATATGTGGTGTGACTATTTCGTAAACATTTTATTTTAGATGGGACAGCTGCATAATTATTCCACTACCACTCTAGACATATTAAATAAGTTATTTGAATATTTTGACATGACAATTTATGTCCAGTAGAGACAGGAGAGGTCACACCGCAGGGCATGTTAAAACGTCGTAAAACTAAAGAATTGCACAAAAAAATGTGGGTGGTCTTTGTGAAAAAGCTTATTTACAATGGTTAAAGAACTGATTTGTTTTTAAAAATATATGTTTTTTATTTTGCTACAAAGGTGCGCAGGTGTGAAGGACAATAAAAAGGCTTTAAACAAACGTCCAGTAGGCCTCTCCTTATATTACCCAAATATCTGTTAGATTATCTGATCCCTAACCTGTAATAGGCCTGCAAGGTGGATTCAGGACAGAATTTTCCCCTTTTTCATCCAATCTCATGTTAAATATTAACTCGTCCTGAGTCGCCCTGAGCGTTACCTGTTAAAACAGTCTGTTTTCCCCAGTCTGTGTTGCACCAGAGCGCACAGCAGATCAGCGGGGATCTCCTGCTCCTTTTTCAAACAGGTGCGCGCCTGAACGCTCATGTCCTTGTAGTCGTCCATTAAACACTCCGTGGTCACATGGACTGCTCGTAGCTTCACCGCCAAACGGGATGCCACGCTGCGTTTGCCCACGGCCGGAGGTCCCAGCACCAACACCCGGGGAAGACGCTCCGGTTTTTTCAGTTCTCTGATGAGCCACTCCAGAGGCTCCTCAGGCTGCTCGATCACCAGACCGCGAACCATCTCCCGAGTCAGACTCAAAATGTCATGAGTTTCGGCGTATGCGCTTATCTCCAGAGGAATCCTGACATGCTTCACTTTGTCCATCGCTCTGTAGTTACAGGGGACAAAAGGACAAAAGGACTACAAAAGGAGCGTGTGTCTTCGTCCATTAGTTAGTTTATGTTTCGGAAACCATAGCAACCAGACTGTACCACGTGGGCTACCTGCAAACAACGCACCAAAACCCCGAATACCCGGACGGACACCATGGATCTATTAAACTAACATAATAATGGCACCTGTTAAAAAATAAATACTGTATACAGTCGTGGACAGTCTAAGTTCGTGGACAAATCATGACGCCAAATTAGCAGTAAAATGAAAAACCTGTGCTAAAGCCTAAGGCTAGGGGTGGAAATAATTTGTGGAACTAATGTTTGTTGGAGATATGCAAAATTTTAATATCGACTAGCCTACATTGTCTATAATTGAAACTATATTAAAAAAAATTAGCTTACACCCAAAAGAAACGGAAACGTCAAACTAAATTGACATTTCTAGCCTATACATCGAGATACTGATTTCTGTAAAATCGCCCACCCTGTACATGCCTATATGGTTATTGTCATGATTTCAGTAGTTCAGATGCCTAGTAGCCCAACAGATTAGGCTACAGAGCATGTAGGCTACTTCTTTCGTAAAATACAGCCGAAAAGGTGATCTGGGACAATGACGATGAGCAGCTATAAATTCACTTTTTATGCAGGTCATATAAACTGAGGAAGTGAAAAAGTTACGCGGAAGGTGATTGGTGCAGCTGTCTGTGTAGTTTAGAGAGTTCACTGACGGAAACCGGCCCAAAGGGGTTTCCCTTCAGCTCAGACTCACACACTACACACACGGATGCGTCAGGGCGCGCAGTCGGTCAGGAAGTGCACAGCGCGCACAGTTGCATACCTATCGCAGTATAATGAGTCAAGTAGGGCTTAATAGGTAAACTTCGAAATGCCTAAAGCGACTCGCAAAAAGAGCACAAGGGATCTGTTAGGGACTGGGCTCTCAGAAGGGTCCCGTTTAGAAAGGAGAACCCACGAGCCGCACGCTCCAAGCATGGCCATCCCGCAGGTTACTATCACCCCTGAGTACGGTTCGTCACTGGAGCTGCAGCAGGAGGACTGGGGATCAACTGAGGACGGGACGCTGCGCAGAACACGCTCCAGCACGTCCATCTCATCCACGGGCTCTTCCACCCTAGAGTCTGAAGACGACCTGCTCAGTGACAGCGAGAGCAAGGGCCGTGGCATTGTGACCTTAGAGCAGCTGGGGGATTCGTGTGAGGTGAGTACGCGCAGCAGTGCACGGACATCTGCAGCCGCAGACTCGGCGTTAATTACGCGTTCATTCACCATGCACCAGTGGCCAACAGTTCTATATGCACTGAAAGACGAAAGGGGAAATTGAAATTGAAATAAAATGAAGTTATACAAGCTGAAGACCGTGTATTTCACTGTGCCTAAATAATTCCCAACTTTTATTGAGTATCTGCTCCAAGATAAAATCTGACTCAACCAAAACACATTTCAAAACCTAAACTACACGGCGAGTAGTGACTTGATTTCAAAGGTTGCATATGTGTTCATTGTAGTGAAAAAATTATGTGAAAAAAGTAGTCATATCTGAATTAGTGATATTATGAAGTTATAACACTCAGCCAAGGGTACAGGCCTGTGCATGAACAATGCGTCATTCTAGAAAGTGTTCAGTCTTGTTGGAAAACCTGCTTTCTTTGGCACATGCGGGTTTTTGTAATATAATGACCTTATCTCGGTTCAGAAAATATTTATTTTGTGGATAAAAAAAACCCTGAGATTTCAGCTAAGTCCTTGTTGTGACATATTGGGCCCCCACCTTTGACAAACTAGTTCAGGGCCATGTTTGTTTGAGACATTTTAGCAGTGTTAAAATGAGCTGCCTTAATAAGAGTCTGAGCTTTCTGAGCTTTGTAGGCATGACTGGTGTTCCTTCTGTGGCATATTCACATTATTCATATGCTCCAATCAGGTCCTGGAAAGTTGGATTCAGTAATTTTTCCTCCACTTCACAGTATGTAGAGCAGAAAGGACATGTGCGAACTGTGTGGACTGCATAATAGTACTGTTCTCATGAAGATGTGAGAGAAGCACAGGCTTGATATTTAACAGAGAGTTTTCCACTGTGTAAACTGTCCCTGTTTCATTTCCTCTTTCAATCAGAGCATGCTCAGTCAGCTGAAACACACACATACTATACACACATATTATTACCGGTAGTAATAGGTTTAGAGAAATGACACCATGACATTTGAATGTTTTTGACTGTAACTATAACTTTGGCCATATACATTCAACCCTTTTTTTGACAACGTCATGATGAACAGAGATGGCAAATGTGTAAAAAGCCTTAAGTGTGAGTGAAGCTATTGTACTGTGTGCAGGTCAGGTCATGGTCGAAGCTCAAAACTTTTGTTCGCTGGCCGCTTCGAGGCTCTCTCAAGAGAAAAGTCAACTGGGTGCAGCTGGCAGGCCACAAAGGCAACTATCTAATTATTTTGTTTATATCATTACTGTGTATAGTTTGAGGGAGCTTAACAGAATGTGTTTCACTCTCTGCAGGGAGTTTTAAATCAGCAGAGGAAGGCACTATTCTGAAAAAGCTCTGTGACAATGAGAGGCAGTGTTTTGAGAAGCTCCAAGAGGACAGCCTGCTGCCCTTTGTGCCACAGTACCACGGGGTGGTGGAGAGTGATGGACAGGGTTTCCTTCACTTGAATGACCTGCTGGTGCCCTTTGACCAGCCCAATGTCATGGACTGTAAGATGGGCATAAGGTGAGAACACTTATGCATTTTTAAAAACTATAAGAGCAATTGAGCTTGTCAGTGTTTGTGCACAGAATCAGAATGACTTTATTTAAGATGAGTTTTTTTTTGTGCTCTACCTCAAACTCCAAGTTGGTCTCCTTAATTCACTTAATCATAATAACAAGTCTGCTGATAACTTAGATTTGTGTTTATGAAGTTGATGTACTTCCAGGACGTATCTTGAGGAGGAGCTGGTGCGTGCTCGAGAGCACCCCCGCCTCCGAGAGGACTTGTATAAGAAGATGGTGGAGGTGGATAGAGAGGGGCCCACAGCAGAGGAGCACTCCCAGGCTGCAGTCACCAAACCCCGCTACATGCAGTGGAGAGAGACACTGAGCTCCACACATACACTGGGCTTCAGGATCGAGGGCATCAAGGTAAACAGTGCCCTGCCCCTAGCAACACACAGGTGTGGTCTGGGCAAATACTGACAACTGTCTGTCCACAGAAGAGTGATGGGACATGCCGGACCGACTTTAAGAAAACACGCTCTCAGCAGGATATTATCAAGATCTTCCAGGACTTTGTTGGGGGGAGCATTGTCATCCTGGTACATGACACAGAAAAGCGTTATTTATTGTATGACATTAGTTTTGTTTATTTTTTCTTTCTTTTTTTTCAATTTAACAAAAACAGCAATCGTACTTGAGCAGACTCACAGAGATTCAGCAGGCCCTGACCAAATCACAGTTTTTCAAGCAGCACGAGGTAATCTCTCTTTGTTATGTTCAGATTCTGAGTTTAAAATATCATGTTAGTAAAGTGGCTGCTTCCAGGTGATTGGAAGCTCTCTGCTCTTTCTCCACGATGCATCAGGCAAGGCACAGGTGTGGATGATAGACTTTGGTAAGACCACAGCTCTCGCAGAGGGACAGCTGCTACACAATGTGCCCTGGAAGGAGGGAAACCGTGAGGATGGATACCTGTGGGGTCTGCAGAACCTCATCCAGACCATAGAGGCCACAATAGAATCCTGCAGCCATAACAACCAGACTGTGCTAACACCCACCCACAACTCATGACCTTTATATTACGGATATAGTTAACTATTAATAAGATTGTGAAATAGTTCTTTGGTGAGTGTTAAAATACAAGTTATTCTGGTGTAGGGAACTTTGTTACCCAGCAACTGGTCCAAAATATGGTTATGCTCAGGCCAAATGACACTGGAGAAAGGTCCCTCACATACCCAGCAGGACAACAGTCAAATCCTCCTTTTTGCCTACGTTTCTGTGAGACACACAAATGGATATTTCACAGCAGATCCACGTGGACTGTTTGCATCTGTTATTACAAAACAAATAAAACACAAAAGGAGAAGGTGTGGAATTATGTTAAGAAACACACCATTTACAACCAAACATTATTATTTATTTGTATAATACAATTGTTTGCTGTTATAGGGGTAATGGTAATGTGAGAAATCAGGAGACAGCAAATTGTATTAGTATGTTCTACAAGCTACATACATAACCATCAATGTGAATTATTCTGCTGTAAAAATATATATATATATTTATAAAAATGAAAAATTCAATTCCAGTATAGCATAATAGTCTACTACCTATTTTGTATTAAATACATGTGTTTTATACACTGGGAGACTCGTCACAAGGGTTAACACTAACTAAACTAAACTAAACACTAAACAATGGCTACAACTTCTAAAATATTGTATTTATTTAACACAAGGATAAGATACACAAAAAGAGCAGCAGGTTGCTGGTCTCCCTCAGTAAACATCTAATGGCAGTGATCTGCTTCAAACACTGTCAACTTACAGTAAAGCAATGAAAAAAAGGAGTAGAGTTAGGTAGTCCAGTGTAAACTCCCTCCCTGCTTTGTACATGTGAAAAGTAAAACAAATTTTACTTCAGGTCATACAAATAATGTTCATAAACATTGCATAGCCATATTTCAAAAATAAAAACACAAAATAACATCCTCTCCATGCTACAGTGAAATGCCACTATGGTCAGGGCCTGTCACTTCTGCAGTTTTGAGTGGAAGGCCTATCAACCCATTTCTATTTTTGAAATCATTTAAAATTAATATTGAAATATATATTGAAAAACATTGAAAGCCTTTGTTTATTATAATCAGGAAAAAGCATATGTAATAATAGTATGTTTTTCTTTATGTGGGCTGCTGATCTACACCGAAAAAGTAACTTAAACATTAACAGCAACACTCTGATCCACTGCTGGAACAAGGTATACTACTATGTATATGCTACTATGTATGCTACTGTGTACTTGTACTGGCTCAGCAGTATTTAAAGCTCTTGTGAGGAAATATTGGGCATACAGTGTGTCTTTTAATGCTATAGCATGCACCAAGCATGTGGCAATGGTGTGCACAGCGCTCTGAGCAAATTCCAGCATTTTATTGTGAGGAGATGAGCCAAGCACAGCTGAGCACAGCTCAGTGTTGTCCTAGGCTTGCATTAGATTGGGGTTACGCTGAGGTCTTCAGACAGAGAGAATCCTGAGTCACGGTCACGGGGAGGTTTATCAGCTTTGGTGTGTCTCCTCACATCCTCGTGTCCATAGCTGGCGTGCCTCTTCAGGAGCAGTTTGGGTGCTTTGGCTGAGGTGTGGAGCCGCAGTCCTAAGCCACTTCCCAAAGACACACTCAGAGCACAGCTGGCCTTTACCACTGGGACTTCAGCCTTTGCCAAAGGCAGGTTCTCTGACTCATAGCTCTGCTCATCATATGCATAGTTGACATTGCCACAGGGGAAGCTCTGAAGCTTAGCCAGGTCCATCCCAGCCTTGGAAGTGCCAGAGGCCACCCCAGGGAGTCTATGGGAGAGTACTGTGGATGTCCCAGGGTGAAGGCTGTTGGCTCCATCACAGGCTGTGTCAGTGCATTCAGAGGTGGAGCTCTGTGGAGGGCTGCTGCCTGAGGACAGAGGCATGGACTGAGTGTGGACCAGGGCTTTCTTACCCCTGATGCTCTCCAGAACCCAGGAGCCATACGTGGGGTTCCACAAGTTCTTGGTTTTGTTCTTAAGTCTTTGACTTCCTGATGAGGAATGATTTATAGAGTGTGGTTGATTCTGAGTCTCAGGGTGGAGCCAGGTCCCCTTGGGGGTCACCTCTGGGGCCTCATGTTGAAGGGGTTGGTCGGCAAGAAGGAGAAAGTGTGGTTTAGCAAGCTGTTGTGGAGTAGGAGTGACAGAGACACTCAGCGATGTCAGAGGTGTGTGGTTGGAAGGGAGCTGCTCAGAGGGGCGTGGGACTGCATCCTCCTCTGCAGCAGGGCCATACTCCACTGGAAGAGGAGTGTTGATCACATCTGGGTCCTGAAGACAATCTGTGGTAAATAACTGCTGAAAAAAGTACTTTGTCAGACAAACGTTTCAAACCTGAGTGCAGTAGTTGATTCTCTCCAGAATTGTAGAAAAGTTAGGTCTGTGTTCTGGACAGTGCTGCCAGCACTGGGTCATGATCCGGTAACTGTACAAAGTGCAGTGTCAGTAATCAGCTATCATACAAAGGTTTCACAGTTTCCAGATCTACCTTACTGTTAAATTAAATGACTTGAAAGACATTAAATTCAGATATTAAGAAGATTAAAACACCACAACATCACAGTACATAACTCACACAGGCCCGGGGCACCCTTTTGGGGGATCCATACGGCCTCCACTGGTGACAAACTCCAGAACCTCCTGGTTGGTTTTACAGGGATAAGGCATGTATCCTAGAGAAAGAATCTCCCAGAGCAATACTCCGAATGACCTCCAGAGGGAGACATATAACACATTAAACAGGCTCTTACTTATTGCAGTATCTATGTTTAGAATGATATAGAACAGGATAGCACTGTTTACACATTATGTGTGTATATCTGTAAAAATGTAGTATAAGTCAGGAGGTGATGAAGTGTTTATGCTAACATACATCATGTAGCCTATGCATGTAGGTAAACTGACCACACTTTTTTTTTTTACCATGTATCAGTTTTGCAGGTAAAAATTCCCTCCATAAAAGCCTCAGGGGGCATCCATTTGACAGGCAGCATGGCTCTGCCTCCTTTCCTGTAGTAGCTGGCCCTGAAAGGAAGAGGGACCTCTTACAGAGAGCAAGATGCAGAGGTTCTCAAGGGTTTTTCTGATGGCTGACCTGTAAATGTCTCGGGCCATACCAAAGTCTCCTATCTTTGCCACTCGGTCAGGTCCTGGACATGTGAGCAGACAGTTTCGAGCAGCAATGTCTCTAAAGGAAAAAAATAAAACATTTAGGTCACTCCAACCTACATTTTTCTAAGCCTGATTCTTTTGAAAGTTTAGCATTATTTTAAAAAATCGTATTAAAGTCCACAGTTGTGTAGAAAAAGTGGCAAGTCATTGGTTTAATGAAGATATCATTTTCTGGAGCCCTTACCGATGGTATTCAACATTGTATTACCTAAAATGATGTACCCTATGTAAAAATGAACCCAAAACTCTCCAGTTGCTGGTGCACTTAAGAGTAAAACTTTCCATTAGGTTAAAAATAGTTGCTGCTAACTCTGCTATATTGGTTGCCATAGCCATGTAGGTTAGCTGTGACGTCAAAGGGTTGATTACTGCAGATTACTCAAACATGTATGAATAAAAGAAAAAACAAACTCCAGCTATGTTTCTGATGTAGAAAAAAATAATAACTTCCTAATTTAAAAGCTAGAATAACTTAAATTGCTTGTGCAAAGCTGTGACATGTGTGAATGTGTGGGGTGGGACTGAACCTGTGAATGAAGTGGTTCTCCTCCAGGTATCTACAGCCACAGGCGATGTCCCGGGCCATGCGCAGCAGCTCCCTCATGGTGAGGGATGAGGTGTGGCCCTGGATACAGCAGCACACATCAAAACATAGACTCACACACACACTTAGCATAGCCCCATGCACACTCACAGATCTGGGCCTGTGCTGCCTCAGAAAGCTCTTCATGTCTCCACCTGTCATCAGCTCCAGGAGGATGAAGCGTGGCAGGATGTTGAGACTCACTCCAATGCAGCGAACAATGTTTTCATGACTAAACTTACTGCACCAGAAACACAAGTCGGATTATGGTACTATCTCTCTGTTTAACTTAATAAAACCTAAAAATTAAGAAGCATAAAATAACCTCATGATCAGAGCCTCCATCAGGAAGTCCATCTCGTCTTGTTCTGAGCAAATCTCAGGAAGGGTCTGGGAAACACAAAGACACAAAGAAAGAGATTACATTTCCTTTGTGAAACACTTGTATGACCAAGTCCATGAAACCCAAGGGAGCTGTTTTGGATTTATAATCTGAAGATGGCAAGATTATTATATTGTCCACTCTGTCCAGAGGAGGTGAATGTCTACAGAGCATGAACCAATTAAAATGACCAGAAACTATTCATGATTCAATTAAGAATATGAACTTTTAGAAATAAAGAAAGTAAAAATATCTTTGACATGTGTGGCCTTTAAGTATAATAATATGTTCTGCCACAGTGGCAGCTGACCTTTATAGCAACCTGCATGGGACTATTATCAGCACTCATCCCCAGGAGCTGTCCCTCGTACACTTCTCCAAACGCTCCATGGCCAAGAGCCCTGCACCACATAGTCAAATAATGTCACTGAGATTCTTATGCTACAGTAGAAATATCTTATAAGAAAATAAAATAATTGATTTCACACTGACCTAAGGAGAGTGATGTTTTTCCGGGGAACTTCCTTCAGTTCACTGAGTGAGCTGGCTTTACCAGCAAAACAGTAGTTTGGATTGTAGTCTGTCATTATGGTGGAGGAGCGAATTTTACTGAGCTTGTACTCTGGACTCTGCAGCCGTCCTCTGACAGCATGCAGGTCACTTTTCCTGCGGTACCACACTGCACACATCAAACAGAGTTTCAGTTACAGACAGAAAATCAGTCAGACATTTGGCCTGCATCAGAGCCCTATCGAGAGGAGAAGTGGTAACACAAAGAGGGTCAAGAGCGGTCACACTGAAGGCCACATTAAATTATTGCTTTTCCTATCATGAAATGATTACAGACTGTAAGTAGAGGTTTTAAGACTGGTGACCACTGTCCTCTCTTTGTTACAACTTCTGGACCATCAGGGCAAGTGAGGGGCACTCACCCGCCGCTGAGGCAGCGACGTCCCTGATGCAGGTGGTAGTCTGGGGGTACAGGTCGTGGTTCCTCATGGGAGGAGGTGGTGGGTGATGGGGTGGTACAGGTGATAGGTGCCTGGGAAGGATGAAGGTGAGGAGGGTATAGGTGGCACACTGCCTGGAAGGGGATGGGTGGGTAGGACACGTGCACATGAGGGGTATCGATGACCCTTAGCCTCATGCTAGATGCAGGACTCAGGGGATCCATGGATCCATGGATGGAGGGGAGGGCAGGAAGAAGGTAATGAGCGATAAGACAGCACATTAAAGAGGCTCAGGGAACAGACTACCTCTCTGCATGGGGAGTGGGGTGGGGGGTCACACTAAACTGACTAAAGCTGACTTCCTGCTCTTTGAAATATCAATATGATAAAAAAAAATGTAAATGTCACAGTTACACAAATACTCTCTGAGAATTTTAGAGTGTTTGAATTACATATTCTTCCACCTCACAAACTGTGTCACCCTCACACACCTCCCATCGCACATACGCCAACCTCATATATGCTTAAAATATTTGTATTAGAGTTTAACAGTAGTAATATGTAGTAGTAGTAGTAGTATAACAAAGAGTATATCAAAGCTTAACACTGGAGAGAAGACAAAGGTGTACATGTGTTAGTCCCTTTATCAGACACACACCTGTAGTTTATGTGAAAGTACTGTCCTTTACACATCATGTACATATTTAGTGGCATCTTTTTCATTGACAGACTTTTTTCTATGTAAACCTGTTGAAAACAGTAAATGTCCATATTGGGCTCCCTTCATATTAGTATTCTACGTCAGTAAGTCTCGGTCTCCTTCAGAGCCGATGGAAGGCAGCAGGCACAGAGTGGGCACAGAAGTGAGAAAGCCTCTTACTGAGGATGACACCAGCACAGATGAGAGCGACACCACTGGCCACAGTAGAGGCCACCACTGCCAGGATCAGAGACACTGACATGTGACTCTGAGGGACAGGGCTCTGAGGGATGGGGCCCTGGGGAGAAGCTGGTGAGAACAGGAGGGTCAGTTAGTCCTCAGTCATCAGATATTGAAAATAGATGTTCAAACTCACAGACATGTCGTACCTACAGCACTGATGCAGGTGACGTTGTCATTGGCCAGGACCTCCCCGTCGTGGCACAGACAGATAATCTGACGCGTGTCCTCATCCCGTCTGCAGTTCTGCATCTGACAGTGACTACAGTTGGGTTGTACTTTGATCTCACACTCCCCATGGCTCTCCATGGCTGCACAAAACACAATTATGTCATTGTCTGTCTAGTTTTTACTGCAGTAACAAAGATAAATCAGTTCTCTATGAAATGAGAAAAATATGTATGCGTTGTGTAAGGCAATGTAAGTGTAACATTCTTCATATACTTTATTGTGCTTGAAAATATTGAGGAGAAGAGTGAAGAAGAGTAATCTGCTTCTATGATATATAAGATATGTATAATGTATAGCATAACTGGAAAGTGATGTGTGTCCCATTACAAGTGGTTACAGTGGACATCCCAGTCACTTAACATTTGAATTCAGTCAGTGAGTCCTGAGGCCTTTTGACACTGAGACAGCCTGACACCCTGACAACATCGTTGTTCCTTATGACACATGAAGCTTGTGCTGCTGAGGCACACCTGCCAACGGCTGCAGGAAGATCTCTCCTGCGGGGTGAATGAAAGAGATTCCGTCTTGGCCGTCAGCCAAGATCTCATCAGTTATAGCAGCATCTCCTCCTGGAACATAAGTAATTTTAATTTCTGGGTGATAGGGTTTTTAAAATGATTTCAACTTAATACTTCATAAACAACACATGTCAGAGCCGTGTGAAGCAGAAATGTAAATTATATTTACATTGTAACTGACAAAATGAAATTTAGAGACCAACCTCTGTAGCCACCTCCACCTCCTCCTGCGGTGCATGCGCCCCCTCCACCTCCAAAGCCCCCGTAGGTTACCCAGCCGAGTTTAGACAGAGCCAATGGACAGGCAGACCCCCCGACAGACCCATCTAGGAGAGACTGTCCCGCTTGGGAGTGAGGACTCAGGTCACCTCTCCAGCCCCCACCTCCACCTGAAAACAGCCAGAGGAAAGTTTGGAATGAGAGATATAATAAGAAATAATTTTATCCCCTGAATTATACATTAGTACTTGGATGGTGTACATATGGTAAGTACCTATGACATGGCAGCTGTAGTTTTAAAAGTAGCTAACCACAACATACTTGATATGAATGAGTAATGCAATATAAACCATCTTTTAGTGTCCAAAAAAGCAGTATATAAATTGAATACATCATTGTTAATATATAATCAATGCTTAAGTCAGTTGTGTGAGAAGGAAAAAACTGTGTTAAAAAGCAAAGGTTGGACCTGTACCTGCTGCTCCTGTGTGCCCACTGCTGCTGGGGGCACTGGTGCTGTTCTCAAACTGCTCCAGAGGGGTTTGATCCAGACTGGACTCTGGGTCCTCCAGGTATGCATTTCCGCCTCCCCCAGCCGCGATAAGCAGAGGCACCATCTCACCCCCCTCCATCTGAGAGTAGAAAAAACATCCTGATCCAACATGTTACGTATGAGTACAGTCAGATACGGCTTGAGGATGTCAGTAAATTCCATAAATATTTACAAATTTCTAAATGAGATAGTTTGAAAGATGTCTGTAAATATGTGTGATTAAAACCATTGCAAATTACCTTAAAGATGTATGTGGCACCACCCCCTCCTCCTCCACCTCCGGCCCACTCAGCATTTGCCCCTTCCCTCAGGTTGTCTTCTATCACTGAAGACTCCCCCAGACAAATCTTCTGGGTCAGCTGGTTTCTCTGCTCCACAGGAAAAGGTAGCTCAATTATTTTGCTCTTAAATAGTAAATTGTTGCCGTGTCAATCAATACAAACAGAGCTTTATCTTTGCTGACGTCTCACTCACCCCTGGACACGCGTCTTCTCCCTGGTGGCCGACCAAAATGTACAGTGTATCTCCCTTCTCCAGAACAAACATCGCTGAAATAAAGACCCCATGGTTGCGCTTGTTGTGATTTTTGGCTCCTTTCCCTCCTGCGGCTCCATACGCTGAGATCCTGGGGGACAAAGAAATGAAATGCAGTGCAGTGACTAAAGGAAATTGTTTTCTGGCACAAAGTCCACACTCCCGATCATATTAGACAGACTGCAGCACACTTGAGCAAACCCCTTACTGTGCATCAGACAGATTGGGACTCCATAGTCAGAAGACACCATCCTGTGACTCAACATCTGTGGTCATATTAGCAGTAGCAGTAACTGTAGTTTATATAGATCACCACCGTTTCTATGTATTGTGCCATTTCTCTTACAGAAAGCCATCCCATTGATAAACCAGTTCAGATGTAGATTTTCAGTGACACCAATCTCCATGCTGGGGTTGGTGCATTGGGGGTGGTTTTGCACTCACTGGTATCGGTTTGTGGCTGGGACCCTCCACATCTGGACTCCTTTCAGTGGACCATCCTTTCCCACAGTGACATTGACGTTCTTGTTCCTGTAGGTGGTGTCACACTGAGCCTGAGTGGGCCCATGTGGACCACTCGCCCCGCACGAGGTAAAGAACCATGTAGTCAGGGAAACCTCTGCAAAGATGGAGAAACTCAAATCATACATGAATAGATTCTGTGATTTATCTGAACTCTGCACTACAGCTGGGCATTTGGAGAACATATTAAATTGTGATTTTTCTGATAAGTACTGTGATTAGGTTGGTGTTAGGTTAGGTATTAGGTTTGTTATGTTTTAATAATACAATTCTGTTCAAAGGTCACATTCTAAACCCTTCCAGAAATAAAAGGAAATATGAACTGACAAACTAACAGAACTAATAAGAATCACATTTTAGAACATGTTTGTACTGATATAAACTACATGGTTCTGTTCTTGCTCAGATGTGGGAGTGTGCGAGTCCTGCTGCTTTGTGTATACCCAGAGGCAGAAAGGATTAACAAAGTGCTAAATACCCGAGGCTGAGGGCTCAGGGAGAGGGCTCAGAAGATCCCCCAGGTCCACCGCAGGCCCCAGCTCATTTATATCTGTCCACAGAACAAAGAGAGCTCTGAGATCATTGGACAATGTTGTAAAACTAAGATTTCAAAAACAGAAATCACTAGGGGTGGGACGAGATACACTTTCCAAAAGCCGAGACAAGACACAAAGTCGGATCTAAGAGAACGAGACAAGACGAGATTTTGACATTATTATTAATACAATTTTTTGATTACTCATTATTTAATATTTCTGGCGTCACTGTAGCTCTGCTTTGTGGGACTACACATTCTCAAAAAATTTAACTCACCAGTACTGTATTTTTTCAAACCAAATGTAAACACATGAGGAAAAAATCTCACAAGATCATTTTTACTACGTATGCACGATCTTGCAGCAATTTAGTTTTGCAAGATCTTATGGCACGAAATCACACATTTTACATTAGCTTTTAGTGCACATAACTCCCACAGAGGGATAAGACAACAAACCAACAGGTCTATGACTTAGATGTAAAGTATTAATCAATGATACCAGTGTAGAAGCAGGCTGCTCCCAAAGAGATTAGGTCTAGGGCAATATCAGCCTCGGAGCCAGGAGCCCACACAGCAGTCACCCTCATGTGAAACCTGCACAGACAGAAGTCAGGGGTGGTCTGGCCTTGTCCTACCCCAGCCCCTCTGCATACCTGTGCTCAATCCCAGTCAGCTGCAGAGCAACATGGTCCCAGTCGTCTGTCCACGGGCCATTCCTCTCCCACACCAGAGGGCTGTTCTCTGTATCACTTTCTTCTACGGCCACGACCAGAGTCCCATTAAAGTCCCCAAAGAGGTACAGAGAAAAGTACATCTACACAAACACAGTGGACAATAACCCAGATGAATGAGACACACGCCCAGCACAGCACAACAGAGCGATCAGAGGAATCAGAGGCATAATGACACTGACCTGGCAGTCACTGGAGGAGACTGGAGCAGGGAACCATGGACTGAGGACGGACACTTTACTGGCAGCACTGCTGTCTCTGACCTGTAAAAACAGGAAGTGCCCTGAGGGCCCCCCACACGTACAAGCACAATGCATTAAGAGTACAGAACATAAGAACACAGAACACACATCTGAAAGAAAGAAGCACACTTAATGTATAGATAAACCTTCATAAAAAGCCTGGGAGAGTATTCTGATTACACACATTTGTGTGCACACACCTGCACAGTATCTCCCCCATGTATACCTCTGTACTTCACTTTACTGTTCCACTTCACGCTTTGGGTCGCCTTTGTTCAGCATGGGAGTAATATATCCCAGCTTCAGCCTTGCTTTTAGTAAGTAGAAGCTTTATAAAAAAGTTCCAGTTCCAAAGTGTGCAGCATACAGTCTATGCAGTGTGACTGACCAGGTGTGGAGAGCAGAACTTCTCCCAGTAGCTCCTGGATATCCAGATAATCAGTTGACAATCGCCTCCATTGAGAGTGCTGCGTGGACACAGACCAGCCACAGTCGTCCTGCTCAAACGAACAGTAAGAGCCCAAGGGGAGGGCTCCTGCAACGCACCAAGAACACTCACCCAATTAGTCACTTCTGCCTCACATAAAGTGTCCATACAGTGTACAACAGGCCGTACCGCAGATGAAGCCTTCATCCTCTCCAAATGGACAGTCAGTGTGGAAGTCACACACACGGCTCGAGTCTACACAGCTCTCAGTGGCATCACATTGGAAGGACTCCCCACAGGCAGTGCTCAGCTCTGACAGAGGCTGCTCTGCACACAGTATCGCAGCACAAACAAAGTCACTATTATGAGGCAGACACAAACTATCAGTAACAGATCAAATGATGGCAACAACCAGAGAGTGTTAAATTAAATCAAAATGACAGACATTCTTCAGTTTAAGTGAAGCCTTTGTCCGAGGATTCGAAACAATGTAAAAAAAAAAAAAAATCTGTTCTTTTGTTACCATTTTATCCCATCAGAAACATGTGTAATATGGACTGAAGAGAGAGTGAAGAGGACAATATAGGGCAGCACAAACTGTCAGGGGACTGAGAAGATATTTTAAACCATGAGTGAGACTGGGATCCTGGGATCTGGATCTCACCTTCACAGTTTCGGAGCTCCAGAGAGTCCAGAGCCACAGTGTTGCCCTCAGCCTGGCAGGACGTGTACAACAGAGTGACCTGGAATGGCTCATCAATCCAGCCAATCACAGCCTCCAGCTCGTCCCACTGCCCCCTGAAAACACACACACCTGCACTCAACAATAGCACAGCATCATCACTACAACACACCAATTATGAGAGTGTGTTTTTAAAAGTAATATTCACACTACAGTCCACAAATGTTATCTGTCTTGTGCCCATAAACTTGTCATATTAATTACATTACAGCTTTAAGTCAACAACAGTAAGGTCTTTGTTGTTGAATAATGGTCCCACTTAGCATCTGTGGAGAATATTAAGTAATTTATTTATTTATGCTGACAGAAAAGAGCCTAGTTTTCATTTCATGTGGATATGCCCAGTAAGATAGATATTGATACTTTGCAGTGATGTTACATACATATATCTCTATGGCAGAATGTTCATCAGTTACCATGGAGACACAGTGCACACATTAGTAAACACTCAATTTTTTTTTTATTTTTTTTAGATGAAATACAAAATGGATTTAAACAGCACATTTTCAGGAGCCTGTAATCAACACAAGCATTCATTTTCAACAACAAGTTGACTGAAAAGCTGTAGTGATTGCAATGTTACTTGAGAGAGCTTTGTTTAACACAAATCACAAATCACAAATTTAGCACAAATCACTTGTCATGGCTCCAGATAGATCAGTTCTTTATGGCCAAAATGTGTTAAATAAAAGGGAGATTTAAATCTAACAGCAATACAGATGTAGAGCCTACATTATCATTCCCAGGGAACGTTGATGACATCAGATGCAAAGTATAAACAGCATTTTCCACCAATGTATTCTGACCTGCTCTCCAGCTCAATTTAAAATACAAGGATTTTACAATATTGTGATGTCACGAGAAGATCCTCTGCTGTCCCAACCAATTACACATGCATTCATCTGTACTGTCTGCATCCTGAATAAAAACAGATTACTGGGACTGTCCTTGCTCTTTCAAAGGCGTGTGTCTGCTCCTGACATCCTCCGTGGCATACCTGCTGTGGACTGAGTGGATGAGCAGAGGCTGGGGGTCTGAGTTCATGGGTGTGATCAGGAGGCTGAAGTTTCCTGGGGCCCAGTTCAACAGGGCTAAGTGCAAGGTGCAGAGCTCCGAGCTGAAGGGCAGGACTGGACTGGTCAGGTAGTACTTGCATTGGCCTGGAGAGGCTCGCAGTTGAAGGAAATGTCCTGAACCAAGACAGAATGTATACCTTTAGAGTTACAATGTGACTATGTATGGAACAATGTGACCATTATTTAAATTTGCCTTGTTCTTTGTGCTACTTTGGACTGTGTTTGGAATTGGGCTGCACAATTTCAGAAACAAAATCTGATTAGATTTACGATTTATGTATAAAAAGTGATATTCTGTTCAGAGTGAACATTGTAAACACATACAGAAGCATTAATAGTTGAGAGAAGACTTAAATATGAACTGATTAACCAATTCAAGAATTCTGTGGATTTCAGAACATATTTTAGAAGTCTAAAAGCTAAAGGGTTGGCATGTGTGTATTTTCTTCTCAATAAAAGGGTATTTTGTTGTTTACAGTAGTCATTCTCCTTAAAACATTGCAGACAGACATGACGAAACAGCAGCAGTGTGTTACCCTTTGCTGTGCCCAGGGAGTGGTCAGTGCGAGGCCTGGACACTCTGCTCTGCTCGGCCTCACCCGCGGGCACCACAAACCAGTCACCCTGCTCACTGTGATTGGAGAACGTCCACTGACACATGGATTCGAAATCACAGGAGGACACTGGAGGGACATATGGAGTAAGCTTAGACATTATTGCAGAGGCATTTCATAGCATTTCATGTGCCCCCAAATGTACAAATCATGTATCAAATCAGCTTTTTAAATCAATACTGACATTTTACATTTCTTTCTAAATCAAAATACAAATGAATTATTATGAATTGTTAATTATTATGCAAAAATTTTAACTTTATGAAATGTCGCTTACATTATTACAGCACCCTCTAAGCTTTGTCTCACACACATGTATCCCCTAACTTCGGTACTAAAAGTAGTACTATATAATCATTCTAAACACTATTATTATCTTGTTTTGACACTAGAGCAAACATTTTGAACACTCTGAATGTAAAATCAGTTAGTAAACTCTAACTAGATATCATCATGTATCACCTACTTATCTGCCATTTTGTTATATATACAGTAACATCTTCAAAAAGACTAAAGCAGGGATCCAACCAAGTACTGTGTAAGTGTATTGTCAACTACTACTGATGTAAGATATTTTTTAAATTCAAATACTATTTAATTATTTTAAAATTTTAATCCATTCTAAGTACTGTGTGATAAGAAGTACTCCCATATCACTGTACTCCTGGTTGAGAAATACTGGCCCAGAGCATGTATTGTGAACACTCTGAAATGTGAATGTAAAATCAATTATTAAAATCGAATTATCATATATCATCATGTTTCACTTAGACCATATACTATGAAAACAAGTCTTGCCTTCTGTCACTTTGATTTGATGCAGCAGAGTTGAACATTCCAAACATGTACACACCTCAAATGGATTATGGGGAAAATCGAATCAATCTAAGCTCTCTGCTCGTCGTACGTTGGCACTGGTCAGCTCCACAAACTTCTTTTTGCTTAACTAAAAACAATGATCTGTGTGTGTGTGTGTTTGTGTGTGTGTGTGTGTGTGGAGTGGGTGTGGAGGCGGCAGGGGGCTGGGATCATGTGACATCTACACAGGAAACTGACCCAAATGTTACCAGGGCCAACTGCCTCCAGGCATCAGGGTAAAAATATATATGCTAAGTTAGCCTTATTTTATTTTATTGTTTTATTATTCTGGTGGTATTGACTTACAGCCCTGAAGGTCTGAGGCCAGAGGGTTAGAGAAAGACTGCTCCAGGAAATGGTTCAGGGCATGGCTCGAGCTGGTCACTGCAACAGAAAATGTACCCCTCACTTAGCAGAGTTACTTTTTTAATTACTCAAGATTTCTTATCTTGAGAGGTAGGAATAAAAGTGTTAGAAACTACTCCTAACTCTATTATGGTTGTCAAATGTATCCAAACTCAGATACAAAACAATGCTAAAATTAAAATGGCAAAAGTAGATACTCATTTGAACTTGTATCAATACAAAAAAAGTCACAGCAACAGGACAAAAATGAACTTTTCCTGAATAACCACATGGTAATATAAATTAAAGCACAATTTAACGTTGAAAATAACATTCTACTGTCTAAATAAAGAGTGTTGTTTATCATCGAGAATCAAGTCTACTCCTGTGTCGATATCGAGATTGAAATTTTAATATCGGGGCAACAGTAGACTCTATGCAGAACACAAAGGGTCTTTCAGGGTCTTTCGAAGTTGACACATATAGAGACAAATGTATGGAAATGATTTAAAATGTTACATATTAGATGGATATAAGAGAGGACCACGGAGACTGAACAGGCTCCTGTGTGTTTGTGTGTTTGGACGGAGATGGGCTGTGGTGTCAAAGGTCAGCTGAGACCATCTCCACTCGTAAAGGCACACATTATGAGGAGGGGCACATTCATTCAGAGGTTATTATTAAATAAGTTGGGGGTCATAATGTTAAACCGGAAAGTAATAAGAGGCTAAAAAAAGACACAGTGTCCGGACTTTTAGGGAAAACCCAGACCCATTAAGCACTGAAAATCACAAAAGAAAAGTAGCAAAAATATTATGGCACTCAAAAAAGAGCTGTGAAATACAATCACTCTATTCTAACTCCTTATCTCACCATCAGTCAAAAATAAGTGATAACCATCAAATCAGCTATTTTCACAAAATTGCCATATCAAGATTCACAAATTTTCTTTTGAAAGCAGCCCTGTGCTCAAACTGATTTTTTGTTTTTTTTTATGCCCATGTCTATTAGTCAGCCTCCACAATGCTTTGGGCGACAGTAGCCCACTAGAGTGTTAGTCCATTGATCTGAATGTTGGGGGTTCAAGATGAACATCATTGATAGAACAGTCAGATGAAATCTGTTTTGTGTGTCCTTGGGCAAGACGCTAAAGCCACCTCAGCCCTAGTGTCTGTGTACACTGGTGTATGAGTGTGTGTATGAACAGGTGAGTGGTTCCTTGATATAAAACACTTTGAGTGCCTTGAAGGTGAAAAAATGCTATATAAAGACAATTTGCCATTTGAGTTAGTGGAAGGTGGATTTAACTAGGCTAGAAGTTGCCGATACAATACATACATAGGCCACAATACCATACATATCTCGATACAGTGATCTTACAATTTGATACAGTATGTTTCAAATAGATTCTATACAGTTTGTCTTTGTTAAATCACTTCTTGTGTGAAGTTCATATGAAAAAAGTCAATTTTAATCATCAAAACAAAAGCAACAAATCTGTAGCACTGTAACAAAATAATTTATTAAAACATACAAAAAATATTCTTGGTGATAAATCAATACAGCAGCCCCCGATATTGATACTGTATCATCACATTAAACGATACGATATATCAATCTTTCAAAATTTTTGCACACCCCTAGATTTAACCAATTACAGTAATAATAAATAATAATAATTAGTTTTATATTGTGATTTTCTGGACACTGAAAGATGCTTTACAGAGCAAACAGAACTACTACTACTACTCGCCACAGCTGCCCTGGGCCACACTGACAAAAGCGAGGCTCCCAATCTGCACCATCAGCCCCTCCGACCACCAGCATCACTCACACACACACCACTTTCATACTAGACAATGTGGGTGAAGCACCTTGCCTAAAGACACAATGGTGCCCCACTGTGGCATCTGAATTGTGATGACACTGAAATCTGATCTGACACCAAGAAAATTGTGTTTTGGCATATCGCCCACCCCAGTTCCCTCTGTCGCAAACACTTTGTAGCGGTAAATATTTATTTTTTTAAAAACTCTGCAGCAGAAGCAGTGTTTGAATGGAGGGTGGTGTTCTTGGTGCGTAGCCAGGCCGAGAGCACAGCAGTTGGCTTTGGTGCAACTGTAAATGCATGGCTCCCACTGTACTGTGCCTCCTGCTCTGCACCAGAATGTGTCCAACATGAGCCAAGATTGTGAGAAGTATTACAAAGTGAAACCTCCAAGGACCACTGCTGACGTAATCTAAAACCTGAACCATATTCACCACCATGTTACCACGACTACAAGGAATTCGAAGAAACTGCTGGATTTTTCTTTATCTAAGACAGTGTTTTTCCTTTGAAACCAAGATGATGGTTTTGTAGTGAATTGCAATGATGGAATGATTTCTTATTACTTTCTTTTTTTATTCATCTATAATTTGTTTTTGTGCTACTCACTGTTGCAAGACCCAATTCCTGACTCCAAAAAATTGAATGTCCTCCCTGCTCTTCACCATTTCTTTCTATACTGTCAAGTCTTATGAAGCCAGCAGACTAAAGAAGATTAAATATATGATTTGTTTTTAAGCAAAAGATAAAACAAAAACAAAATAAAAAGGTAATTCTGTTGTTCTGAGTGGCATATGAACTAACTGAACACGATTATAGTCATATGCAGCCTGTTTAGATAAGTGGATTTGCATTATTAGATTAAGTGACTGATGTGACCAAATTTAGGAAATCAAAGACAAAATCTGTTGTTTACATGAAAACTACTTGGAGTCAAAGCCCAAAAGTGATAATAACGAGTAGGACTTTACTTCTCTCTATTTACTTCTCAAAAACAATGTCAGAGTATTTTGGTGTACTGGTGTTTAGAAATATCATATCACACATCTGTATTAAGCACATATCTGCGATGCTGTTTTTATAACACTTTGGTGCAGATGAGACCAAAATAGGATGCTCCAGTTCTCATTTGCAACTTTCAAAAAATAGCCATGCAGCACTATATTCTAGGGAGCTGACTGACTTCTGTGTAGTCTGGTCAATGCATCTTATTGTTCTTATGCAGAAACAAGACAGACTCACAGCAAAGTCAAAATCTTGGTTTCATGACATGCTGAGAATTATCAAACAATTGGATTGGAGTGAAATGTAGTTTGAACTAACAGCGGCAGACCTCAACATGCTGCCCAGATCTCAGGACATCTTGCAAACAGGAAGCGGTTCTGAGATGCCATGTGGCTATAGGTCACCGGGAGAACCTCCAACTCCAAACCCAGATCCTTCAAGTTGAGTGTGTTTCGTCCCCTGGGTCCTACAGGTCTCTCACTCATGCCTCACAGCAAGAAGGTTCCAGGTTCGATCCCTGGGCCTTTCTGTGTGGAGTTTGCATGTTTCTCCCCGTGTCTAGATGGGTTTCTTCCAGGCATTCCAGTTTCCCCCATCAACCCAGAACATGCTGCATAGGTCTCCAGGAAGAACAGTTGATAGCTAAGATCAGTTAAATACAATCAATCAATGAACCTGCCCAGGGACTACAGGTGGAAATTAGCACTGGTGCTACAACCTGGCACAACACATTTCTCCTCTTTGGGTTAATGTATATTGTGCACTGTCCCTGTCTTATTAAATAAATAAATAAATAACAGCAAACCCTGCAAGTCCAAAGAACAGTAAGTAAAAAAGGTAATGCTATATCAGCATCATAAAGTAGAGATCATCATTGAAGAAGATTGATAGTGGTCTGGAGATGGATGAGCTGATCGTGTATAAGCTCATTATGTAAATCTATGGGTAGATCTATTGCCATCTTCTGAACCTAAAAGTCGTAAAAAGTTGGACCCTGATCTAAATGAAAACAAATCTGTCAATCTGTGTAGCCTCCTGGACTGTGACATGGCCCTGTCACAACCGTTTCACTCAATTGAAATCAGTAAACAGTAATTATGCTTCTAGTGTTGAAAACAAAAAATGTACTTGTGTCTAAATGTACTGTCCTTGAGAACATTCACTAAATATTGCTTTTACTTTTTCAACATTTTCAAGCAAATATCTTTCCTCCCTGGTACATTTTGGAACTGGGTCAATATAAATGTACAAAGTATTGGTACCTGCGGTTTGGGTCCTGCTGCAATACCTAAGGGGATAAGATTGTGCATGGTTATGTCTTGGTGACATTCCTACCACATCTAAGTTAAATCCCTAGCTTCAGCAAAAGAGAAAATTAAGAAACCAACTCTACTGATCAAAATCTGCACATTTCTTACTACATTTGATTCCTTAGGCAAATCAATCTAAAATTTAACATTAAAGTACATTTCAAATTGTTATTTGATGAGCACCTGAATATTTTTATGCAGTACTTTTACTTTTAATGTTTTTTCATTTGCTCCAGTATCTGTAAAGTAATCTTCCATCAACAAATAGTTTGGACCTGCTCCCATTTATTCCCAAAAACCCTTCTCTCTGCCCGGACCAGAGGAGGGGCTGCTTGTGCACATGTCTGCAGTGGTCCATGTGAGGCACCGGTCTTCTGTTTGTCAAGAGGCCTGTAACTCAATTTGGATGTAAGTGACTGCAGCTCGGTTTCAATTACCTGTTGTCTATGGGGACATTTTTGTACTCACACAAACACCCAGGACACCATAGAAATACTTTGCATGTACAAATGAGTACACATCTGTTTGAGCTTGGTAAACAAACTCGTACACATGCTGCATGCCGGGTTCCTTTAACTGTCATCTGTCAAACCCAGCTAGTGGTTATGTTTATTAACAGCGCACATAGAATGAAACAAAAGGTTATAGTCGGAAAAAAACTGACTTTAATGAAGGGCTGTGCGGTTAATGAAATTTTAATTGAGATTCAATCATATAATCTAATGGGCAGTGATCCACTTTTTTAACAGAGTGGGCTACAGCCAATCCATGGTCAAAGCATGTGGTTTAAAGCAGAGTTTAGACTTTGGAGGAAGAGATTTGATTTGACTGAATGGCAATGATTAAAAGTCTTATCGTCAGGAAATTCCAATTGAAAGACATTTAATTTGTTTTCATTGAATCGAAACCAATATGGGTGAAAAAAACAGCCGCCACAGCAGAAACACCACTACAAACATGTGCTCTGCTCTCATCTTCATGCTCCATAAAACAAACTGAATTTTCCAACTGTCCCTTCACAGCAGGGGTCAGGACATCACCGTGACAGCGACAGTGTAAGTGTCTCATGATGTGGCAACACGAGATTCAAATCCCTGTTCTCCTTCTTATCCGTCCACAAATCTGTCTCGTCTTAAACATGAAGCGCACGTAGCTGTTCCCCAGCTCCTGTGAGGCGTTCAGGTACAGGTGTATCTGTGGGTGATTGAAGAGCTGCAGACACGTCTTGCTGTTTAATCAGTGTGATGAGCTCTTCTCATTTAACCCACCTCCGCTGTCACCAACTATAATCCTGACATTGGCGTCGTGGAAGTACGCAGCAGGAGACGTTATGACTGACACACGCAGCACACTCAAACGCTTTCATTGAAAACATAAAAGACCTTTGCACCCTTCACAGACAGCACTAAAATGAATGCTAAATAGAGGAGGAGACTGCCCGTTTCATCAGTAAGGAAGCACTAAAGCCCACATATTACCAAGTAAAGCTGCTTTCAAACACATCATGGAGCGCTGATATTTGAGATAAAGGTGCACTGCCCAACTTTTCCGGTGGAGGGTCCGCTACCTACTTGATGATATGATATTGTTTTCCCTGGAATGCTTCATAGCATGACATTAAACACATCCATCTAGCCTTTATTCATTACTTCATTATGGGTGTTTCTGTTGCTCAAAAATACAGTAATTCCTTCTGTGAATGCGGGCAACTTCACAGATCTGAATTGTAATGTGGCGTAGTGCTGTAACGTGCTTGTCTCCCTTGTGATAGACAGGTTTAATCTATACTGTGGCAATAACATTTCCATAGAATTAAGCCGGTGGCGGACTGTCCAATAGAAATGTTATGCAGTGCATCCTGAACTAATAACTAACTACAGGTTTTTTAATAAAAGGATCACATAAATTCCAGGACACGTTTGTGAAAGTTTGATTACAGGTTTAGAAAAGTACTTTTCCATAAAAACAGGATATTTTGTTATTTATGACGGAAATGCTACATTTCCCAAATAATGTTTAATATAATCAGTTTTAATTCCATTGCGATTAATTTTGCAGCCCTATTAAATCAAATTCTAGTTTGTTTTCAGAGCAAGTTCATACTAGCCAGGCTGGCATCACCTAGTTCCTCTGCTCAATTTAATTTCTCTCCAGCAACTAGGTCAGGAATTGGAATTCACTAGACGGTGTGCAAGAACCTTGGAAGTTGTAGACCACGCACCGGCCAATTAGTGAAGAGCTGTGAAGCCATGACATCAAACTCAAGTGCCTGTCTGGGTCCCTTTTGTGGTACAACACAACAGTAAACAAAGCGGTCAAGATGAATGTAGATGAACTCAGACATTCTGTGTTGGCAACGAGTCCCGAGATCGAGGATTTAAAGCCGGAACAAAGAGAATGTTTGGTGAATTTTATTAAGGGGAAAGACATTATTCTTCTTCCTATGGGATTTGGCGCATTACATATGTGACAACCAAATAGCAGCGATTGGTTAAGTAAAAAAGTATCCGCCTACCGTCGAGCCAAGGAACCCTAATGCTGTGAGGTCAGACGGTTTCCACACAGTGAAAGCGGCTGATGAATCATGCTAAGCTCAGACACCACTGATAGGAGAGATGCTGCTGCTGATGGAACCAGCCCAAGATCTCCTCCAAGAAGAAGAAAATGTGAGATGTTTCAGAAAGTAGAAACTAATAAATTGATGTTGAATAACATGTGCAACTCAAATACAGATCTTACTTGTAACAGTTGCAACACTGATTTATTCCTAGACTGAAGCTTTATTTGCACGGGAACAGTAGACGTGATGGCCAAGCTGTTTGTTATCATTTTGTGTTTTGGTTCTCAACATGATTATCCAATCAGAAAGCAGAATAAGCCTCACGTGAGTCTCTCATGTGGGTTGAAATCCAGGTGGTTAAAAGCTAAGATGACTCTCTGTGAATCTGTCCTCTGTATGCAGGTTAAAGCACTTTGCCCAACCCAGATTAATTTTTTTTAAACAAAGTCTACAAATAGTTCCTTTCACTTAGATTGTGAGGAAGTGAGAGAAGCACAGAAAACCCAAAGCTATTATGACTAAAGACAGCTGTTGCTTCTTCATGCTTATACATCCTGTCAGTCACATGATCTACACCAGCTTAGATCTTCAACCATGAAATCTGACTTTTCCTCTGAGGAACAATAGTTTGAAACTTCATGTTCATCAGAAGTTAACGCAGTCAAGATTCACAGAGTTTACAAGAGAAAAACTTTGCACATCCCACTTTAGGACACATGCACCCCTCGTCAGACTTAAGAAAGTTGCAAAGTTTCAGGCAACACTATTTGGGTGAAATATTGCAACTTTGTAAATTAAAGTGGTGCTACAAGAAACACAGTGAGACTTCTTTATCAATACACAGAGAATGTAATAGATAAGAATATACAGTAGTTTCACTCATGACACTGTGTGAAACTATTATTTTAGATCACAGAAAAAAGCATCTTAAGGGAAATCACAGTCCCAAGTGTACACCCATTACAATGCAATATCGATATAATTTTTTTGTGAATTAAAGGTTAAAATGAAACAATGTGGTGACTGTGACAAAATGTGGTGATTGTGGCATAAATGCAATAATAGGCAGAATATTGTTTTGAAGAAAGTACTGTGTTATTTAAGCCATGTGAAAAGCATTTATACTATTTCTTTGAGCACAGTGGATAGAGATGGACCAATATAAGTTCCATAGCCGATACACTGATGCACATTTTCTGGAATCCATAGGAACGCCACGGTATTTCAACAACTACAGCCCTGTTTTACACATGTAAGAGAGGAGAGTGGTCTCATTGTGCAGTGCAATTTTCATATGAACTATTCAATATTATATTTTGGACATTCCAATCACAGCTAAACGTCCTTGCATCAGAGCAAAATATTTAACTTGTTTTAACCCAAATTTAAATGTTCAGTTTATTCTGCAGAAATGTGAGCCCTCTGGTTAGTCCACTTGGCAAAGTGTAAAGTATTGTAAAGATTCCTGGTGGACCCCATCAGAATAGCTATACAGTGTACATTTAAAGCTGATTGCCCATATGCTAAAAATATTGGCCGACTGATGTATCTATAATTTAGTGGGTTTAGACCAGATATCTGTGACCGTAGGGCCCAGTTCCGGTATAATGGAGTCTAATGGACAGACATCATGTACAAAAATGCTCTGTGATGATTTTTATTATTTTGTTACTTTCAGCACAGCCCCATATTGTCTGAAATATTATCCTTCCATTTGATCACTTTCATTGCACATTTGTGGACTGGTGCCAGTTTGTCCCAGCTGTGCACTCCCGGATCAGTGTATGAGCCTCTGCATCACTGCCAGAATGCATTTGTCCATGTCATCAGGCTTTTCTTGTGTGTTTTGTGAGCAGGCAGTCCAAATGAACTGTCCAAATGGAAAGTTGAGTGATGGTTTTCAATAACAGGTGAATCATGCATTTGATTTATTGCTAATTTGTGCGTATATAGAATCAAACCAATCCACCTGACGCCATCTGTTTCTGAACGAAGCAAAGCATACACAAACCAGACACAAAAATATGGCTCTGACAAGATTTGTGTGTAATTAAAGCAATATGTGTAAAAATGCAAATACTGATGCACATATACTTTTTGCTACATCTTACAGTGACAATGAATAGGCCTACAGAAAATATATCTACTGCACTGAAACCCCATGAATACTTTCTGAAGTCATTTATAGAAAGACAAGTCATAAACACAAAACTAGAAGAAGAAAGTAGACGGTCCAAATGTCCAGGTACATCACATAAGGGGTTTTAACATTTTCACACTGTAGGAGTCTTAATTTCCAATCCTACCAAGAACCTTTTGGTGAGAATAGCCTACATGTAAACACTGCCTTTGTTGGGAAACATTATTTGATCTACAAGAAAAATTACTTGGACACAGTAGCTCCAAAATTTAAATACTTCATTAGTAAACAGTCATTCAAATTCTGAGTAACTATGGTAGGCCTAATAATTGAGTTTAATTGTTCATGTAGGCTAATTCAGTTTTTAGGTACAGTGCTCCATAAAATAACATTTTCTTACTGTTAACTAAATGTACGTACAACTATTCAGATGCACATTTAAAGCCATATTAGCCCCAGTTCCAGCCACTGTATCTGTGCAAATGCACGAAAGGGAGACGGTCCCTCTGATTAAACAGGGACTGTGGGATTATAGTGTTTTGGTTGTTATGTGTGAAAACGCCCAGAGAACAGTAGCTTAGTTTAAAATGGTTGATTGGTTTTGGGCAAAACTGTGCCACCACAAAACAAATGTACTTATTTACAGATTTAACAAACAAAAACTCCATATAGGACTGACGCCTAATGAAATAAATAAAGTTGTGGTTTAGAGTTAAAATGCTGTTTCCGAGCTCTGCTAAGGTCCAAGTAACAATTCCAGCGCAGAGCGCACTGTGCTCCTCTCTGTCGCTCCATTAGCAAAATGCATTTAACTAACTATATGACTTACTGTACATGAGCCACAGCCGCAGCCACAACACAGCGATGCCAAAAACATTAGGCTGTGTAGATTTAGTGCGCACAGCACTGCAGACTCGGGGCACCAGCCTGATAAAATTCAGTCATGTGACCTGTTGGTTTTGAACAAGAAAGACACCACAAAAAAAACTTATCCTGTAGCCTATAAAGCGTTTAAAATATAAAGTTTAGCCTCCTATATCTGACAAAAAAAATCTAGTCACACATAGGAAAATACTAAGTGGGCTGTAGCCTTTTGGGTACACTACAACATTTTAAAGAATGGTCCAGATCAAGTTCATAACTTGTGCCGCTTACCCATCAGAATAAGAGCCGAGAGAAGAGGAGTCCAGAGTTTAAACTGTTCCATGGCTCCGTGGTCCGTGCACTTTTACCCCGGGTACGTCCACATGGATGAAGGTGGTCCGGCGCTGGGCTCCGGGAGAAGCTCTCTCCTGTGTGTCTGAGGCTGCTGATGCTGCAGCGTCTGTGACGACACTCTGTGCCTCTGAAGATACCAACATGACGCACGAACTCACGTTTACGCTCTGCGTGTCCACGGTACGCCTCTTAGTCTGGGTAAAGGTTGTACATGTAAATGGTTAGTTGTCTGATCATATATTCTTATAGAACTCATCATATTTTCCTTTGGGTTTCAACGTAAATAAAAAAAAGTGAGGCAAGTGTGTCCAGTGGGGCTCAGACTGGCACATTGTGAAAGCGTTCTGGACATCTGTCCACTTTTCAGGACTAAATTTAATTCTGGAATGTGTGATGAGGAAGTTCTGTGAGTTAAGTAGCCTACATTTGGATATAATACGTTGATGAACTCAACTCATGTCAGTTCTACAAGTGGCCATGTATTTTCTCAGCTTTTCAAAGAATTAATCAAACTAAACAGAGGTCTATACCACAGAGAGTGTACTACTCTGCATCACATGTCGACTCTGGGAGGCAGAGGGAAATTAGGTAAATAGTCATTATTATGAGAACAAGATCCTGCATGGAAACTCAATGTATGTACAACTCTCCCGTAGGCCGACATCTACTACCAATCTTACATCCATTTTACAACATGACAAAGACATTCAACTGACATCACACCATGTTTGTTGAAAAGAGTCTCTGTTAACATAGACAATGAGTAAAATATATTTATGCTGTTTCTAGTCTTGGCGAAGAGCATTGTTAAGCCAACAGTCCACAGCCACAAACGTCAAGTAGCAGAGTTCACACAGCACACTCTCTAAAAGAATAAACCCAATTTCAGGCAACATTTTTGTCCTGATGGACTTTTACGGCTCCAGGACTCCACATGACTCCAAAACCAGACACAATAGATTGAATGTGGGGACAGGTGCTTTATTTCTTAGAAACTATGGTATGGTACCGGTCTATAGGAAACTGTTTTCAGTTGTGTGGTTTGTACTCATGTGTCCATGATAAACACCCTGTGGCTGTTTTGTCTGACGCGTTAGCGTGACCGCCAAGCTAAATCTGTGCCGTCTAACCTTGTGAGACCCTGTCCCCATTCGACATTTCTTTATTGTCTTTATTGTCATAGAACTCAGACACAGTTGAGTGTTCCTAGAGCATCAACATTTTCCATTGTCTTAAGTTACCACAGTGAGAATCCAAACATCAAAAAAAAAAAACAAAAAAAAAAACTACTTGATCATGCACAATGGTGTGCATGGTGATATTATACAAGATGCCCTTCCACATGCAATCAGCCACATCATTTTTACTGGAGTTAGTGATTGAGGGGAAGGGTGAAGTGTCTTTCAAATACAGAGGACAAATTTCCCTATGAGAACAGTGCATCTTAACCTAAAATTCCCAGGGACACAACAACTGGACAAGACTGGTATGCCTAGAGAACCCCCCAGTTCCCAGACACTTCTTTACTTGACTGAGAGAGCTGCCCAGAAAGTCAGTGATACAACAATAGTATGTAACTATTTTTTGTTACTTCTTGTCTCCATGATATTGCTTTGTGTCAAATGTTCTGCATCATGACATTAAACTTAAAGTCTTGTCTTTAAAGAACCTGGTTTAATATATTTTGTATATATTATGATAAAAATCCATGAATTTAATCATTTACAATATTAGTCATTTACAAAAAGGTAACAGTAAAATACCATCCACACTGTTTCAGTGAGATGGAGAGAGTATCAGAGTGAGGACAGGCATGGTGGGTAATAATGTGAGTAGGAGAGTACGATTGGAGGCCTCTTTCCATTAGAACATCACTCACACAAACTAAAATCAATCCTGGATAAAGGAAAGTTAAAAGTCTCCGTCTGTAACTGCATGGAAAATGGATGAACTAAAGCAGAGCCACATGCTTTAAGACAGACAGATACATCTAACCTGCATGTTAATTGAGTCTCTAAACTTTCTGAAGTGTTTCAGTATCTCCACCTCTTCCACACCTACTAAAAGTCTATTTTAGCACAACTCTGTGAAAATCCCACCAAATTTAAATTGAAGTGAAAGGGGTCTAAAAATTGCAGTAAGGCCAAAACTACCAGGGAGCCAGGGAGTATGAAGCCAATTCTGTCTCCACTGCAGCACACAACCTTTGGCCCTCTCAGCCTCTCAATTTACTTCTCTTCACTCACTGTTTAGGCCTGGGTGTAAGTTAACTCAAGTTAAAAGTGCACTATGTAACTTTTCTGGTAAGAGTCTAGCACAGTATGGCTTATTATTTAATTGCGTTGATGTGTTTGCCCATCTCTCCATGAATCTATAAATTGTCGTGGTGCTTGTCTTTGTGGAAATAGACCATTTTAATATCATAGTGTGAAAAATTCCAGGCAAAGCAACAATGTCTCCATCATGACAGACCCTCCTCTCAGAAAGTTACACAGTGAACCTTCTGTCAATGAATTGTGCAAATTGGTCTGTCTTAAAAAGTCCATTGAGTTTAAAGGCCAAGCAGATTGCTCCTCCTTCGTTTCCTTGAAGTGTGAACATTGGGTTTTCCTTGTGTGTCCCACCACTACTGGGTCAGTGTTCACCCCACGTCAGCACACCTCTCTGACCTTTATCCACAGGCACAGTTTCCTGGGATCATCTCAAATCGAATCAGCTGATTCAATTACAAGAAGCTCATTACTTTGAATTGGTTGGTGAAATAATGCTTTGTCTTGTTCTCATTTCTTGACATTTCTTCTTAAATGAACCAGACAGCGTAGCAGAGAAACTTAAACCCATGCATAGTTTGGAAGGGTTGCCATGTCATAAATACTATGACTTAAAGGTGCACTGTGTGAACATTTTGGCTGGGGGTCCGTCACCTGCTTGTTTCTATAGATATGTCATTTCTCTGCTCGGGATGTTCCATAGTATGACTTTAAACAGCTCTACCTTACATTTATTAAATTACAGGTGGTTTTCATAGCTCAAAAGACCTTGAAAAATGTGCATTCTGACTGTCAGCGGGGTTGTCTCTCCACAGATCTGCCCTGTAACTGGGTCTGGTTTGGTCTCCGTGAAGATAGAAACGTTTAATGCCATACTGTGAAACATTCCAGACAAAACAATAACATCTCCATGGAGAGCAGCATTTGACAAACTGTCCACCAGAAAAGTGCACAATTAAAATGTGTTCCCTGATCAGATTTAGGATCTTTTTTTTTTCATTCTTTGAGTCTGTGAATCAGAGCGTACAGTCAGAGTACAACATACAAATAGCACAGAGAACTCCGTACAGCAAAGATTATATTCTCAAAAGTGCTCCATTATGTGCACACAGTAATAAATGGGCATGTAACATTAGGATTCAAGCAGTTCCAGTAGCCTGTGCAATGAACAGGAACACTTAGTTAGTGAGCCCGGATAGAATGGATTACATGGTGTATCTTCCACTCTCAAAAAGAGTTTTCAAACACAGTGGTCACTGTTTAAAGGTCTGTCATTTGCTTGGTTCTATTTTGCCTGGAATGTTTCACAGTATTGCATTAAACATATCTATTTCCATAAAGACATGCGGGTGAAACCATCAGGTCAAGATCAGATCAGCTCTACAGTGAGCCATATAATCCTGGTAACGCCTGTAAATGAATAAATGCCAGATAAATACTTAAAGTGCAGTGTGTAACATTTCAGGCAAAGCAATAACATTTCTATGGAGACAAGCAGGTTATAATGTTACAAAATTATAAAATCAAGTCACATATTGATACTTTGGAATTACATCATTTTGGGTGTGCTTTGGCTGTGTGTCTATGACAGAATCTTGAGTAGTTACCATGTTGAGACAGTACACACTTAGGCAAGGCAAGGCAAGGCAAGTTTATTTGTATAGCACAATTCGTACACAAAGTAATTCAAAGTGCTTTACAGAATAAGAAATACATTAAAATCATAATAAAAACAAATCAAAACATAAATAATCATGAAGATTAAAATTAAAAAAGAGAGACATAAATTGGAGAGAAGAGTGCGGAATGAAAACCTTTCAGTTATATGCACAGTTAAACAGAAATGTTTTGAGTCTGGATTTAAACAGCGTCACAGAAGAGTCTGTCTCACATGTTCAGGAAGACTGTTCCAGGTTTTAGCTGCATGAACCTAAAACGCTGACTCCCCTTGTTTAGTTCTGACTCTGGGCACCAGCAGGAGGCCGGTCCCTGAGCTCCTCAGAGTGTGAGATGGTTCATATGACACTAACATGTCACAGATGTACTTTGGTGCTCGGCCATGGAGAGACTTGTACACAAGCAGAGCTGCTTTAAAGTCTATTCTCTGAGGCACAGGAAGCCAGTGCAGAGACCTGAGCACAGGACTTATGTGCTCGTACTTCCTAGTTCGAGTAAGGACCCGAGCTGCAGCATTCTGGATGTTCTGCAGCGTCTCACAGCTCGTTTGGAGAGACCAGTGAGCAGACCATTACAGTAGTCTAACCTACTGGAGACAAATGCATGGATAAGTTTCTCCAAGTCTGATTTAGACAGTAAACCTTTGATTTTTTCTATGTTTTTTAGATGGTAAAAGGCTGCAGATGTTATTGATTTTATGTGACTGTTAAAGTTCAAGTCTGAGTCCATTATTACCCCTAGATTTCTTGCCTGATTTGAAGGTTTTAGAGAGAGAGACTGGAGGTGACTGCTGACACTGTCCCTTTGTTTTTGTGGACCAAACACTATGACTTCAGTCTTGTCAGAGTTTAGCTGGAAAAAGTTGTTTTGCATCCACACACTTAAACACATTAGCCAAAAACTTTTTAAGATGATCTGAAACCTCATTAAAGACAAGTGTCCTTGGTCCTGTTTAGGTGTTTGATTTTCAACTAAAAAGTGAAAGTGAATAAATAACTGATAAACAAAACAGCACAAAAAACACCATAAATCAGTTCACCTGTTGTATTTCTTAGTCAGTACTTTATGGTCAGATTGTGTTAAAACAAGGCTCAGATAAAAATCAAACTTGTGTATCAGAGAT